TTTTTTTTTTATCATTCTGGTTGAAAATTTATATTTAATGTGTTGCTATCGATGTATATACTATACATTAGTTAACAAAATTGAAAGTAGGTAAAACGGGAATGAATACCTGCATATGTGTTGTATTACAGGTGCTGCTTGGAGGACATTTTCGATCATTGTGACCTTGCTAGCAACGTGTCTTTTATGCATAAATGGATACCTTGTATTCCGCAATCGGTCGTTGTCCAGGAAACTCAAATCACAAGCATCTGAACAGCAACATATTACAAAAAATGGGACAGCAAACGGAAACAACGGCAGAACTGTTTTCGACCGAATTCCTAGACCACCCGCAGTAGATCCATCCCCTGACTTTAGTGGCGGTTATGTGGTTTATGATTATGCTGTGCCGACGACTGGGTACAATAATCTTCGGCGCGATAATCGCGATAAACGTTTAGCTGAACCATATACTGAACTTGCAGGGAATATCTTGCCGGTGACTGCAGCTGATGGTTCTGTTGCCTATAATTACATTACAATTAATGATGATGCCCAGGTCCAGTTTAGCAAACTCAGTGCTCATGATGAGTGTATCATATATTGATATGCTATTAGCAAAATTGTAACACCGTAATAATAGGCAATCATCCAATTGCGTAGAATGAAAGATAATGCGTACATTTGGCAAATATGGCAGTTTTTGCAGATCATTTGCAAATAATAACTTCCAAATATAGATGTAAATAGATGTAAATATAAAGATTCACAATCTACACTGTTGAATTACTTTAATAATATACATATATAACATTCTGTCGACCTTATCTGATCTTTGGAGTATGAAACTTGAAACACGAAGCTTTACAAGGGTATTTTATATAACGCAGTAAAATGTGAATATTTGTACTTTAATTTTTAAAATTACAGCGTGTACTTTCGTTAATCAAAAACTAAAAGTATTGGTATTGTTTAACTCACATTTCGATGTCTGTCAGTTTGCATAATTAAATGCTTACTTACTTGACTGCAACTTAGGGGAATATTGTGTCAATTGTTATTTAGAATATTTCTCAATTACCTTTTATAATCGATTGTTTTTTATTACATTGACATTTTATGCTCTTTAGGAATTTTTTTAAGAATCACCGTTAGAGTAATGTGTAGTATAACATATGGAATTGTTAATTATTTTTACATATCTTTTTTCTTGATTTTTATGATATCTGTTTTCAATATATAAATTTTTTTGAATTTTTTAAGATACCATTTTATTGTGCTTTATAATATGTCCAACAACTAAAAATACCTAATATTTTCATACGAATTCACCAATAAGAAGTGAAATGTGTTATACTAGAAATTTGTCTGTACGTGTACGTGTGTGCAGACGTGCGCGTATTTGTGTAAGCGGGTGTGGGGGTGCACACTTCATTACGTTGCATTTTCACATTTTGATAAAAGACCTAGAAGTCAAGGTTACCTTTTATCGCTGTGACTATGTGTTGTTAAGATATCACTGTAAAGAACCGCCTTAGATTAGCTGTATTTTCTTACAAACGTTCACAAATGGTATATATTGCTTTGTTCAAATGAAGAATTGATTTCAAAAGTGATTAGCCAATTACAAGCTTTTAGAATTGCCAGCTTGTTGCCTTATCTCTCTTTTCAGGTTGTATAAAATTCATAGCTACCTTTATCAAAGGTTGATGAATGTTGCAGTAAGGTATAAGCATGTTGATCCGTGTATGTGAAGGATTAAAGCGTCAGCATTTTTTATTTACTGCTAGTTTGGTTTATTTTCACGAATGTTTTGTAGCATATAGTTAAATTTTAACCAATCGTTTTAATCTTTATGTACTATTTTAATCCAAATGTTTTTGAGTAAGAAAAGATAAATTGTACAGTGCATTCTGTTTTTTAATTTGGAAAACAGTTTGATGTTTATTTAGATCTGCACTATAAAGTGCTGGGAAGTTAAAGTGATATTCACCTTTGTTCGCTTGTTTTCTTGTTGTTTATTCATTAAAATGTTTTATTTGAGTAAAATTTAGAATTTGTAGAAAGGGACTTTGCAGTTAATTCAGAAATGGAAGCCCCTTGATGTCATACTCAAGACTTTGTGTTGCAGGTTTTCATGTATGCATCTATTGTTAAATAAAACCGCTTATAAAACATTTACGTTCATCGTGCAATCACTTGACAGTTACTTTTTGCATCAGTGAATCCCAGTTCCACTATGATAAATTGTTTCTATGAGGTACCACTTTTGTGAGAAAAGTGTGCCTTAATACAGACTCTGTACAGTGTGGTAGTTGCAAAAGGCAAAATTCAATGTGTGCCACTAATTGAAACATTCAGTCAGTTGGCGCGTCACCGTGCACACTTAATATTTTGTGCCTATTACTTCCCATTCACGAGTATTCTAAAATGTAGTCTACCCTCAGCTTTCAGTGGAAATGGGACAGTGAACCTTTTGGAGGTGTTGTGTTGAAACAGGATTAAATTTAGATGCAAATGTGCTAAAATACACCGTAATGCAAAGCATTTTACTTAATATTAGACTTCACACCCAGGACTGGGTTGATTTTATGAAAAACTGTCCAAAGAAATTATGAATTTTTCTATTTATTATGTTTCAATATTATCTGGCCTTCCTTAATATGTTTCGGAAAATAGAATAGCAATGATCAGCCCTGAAGTACAGAAATAAACCGATGTTATAATTTTCCAGCATTACTTTCTGTGTACCGCAGTTTAATTGTGTTAGTTGTACTTTGTTGATTATCGTGCAGCAATGGTGATGTTATTTTTAGCTATCAATAAAAATCCAAAGAGGTAACTGCAGCTTATTGAGGTACTTAGGTACTTAGACGTGATGTGTTTACGTGCTGCTCCTTGTAATTCTATATCCAACTGAAGGTAGAAACTAAACGTGTCGTTGTGTGTTTTAAAATAATTTAATCCCTTGAAGATTTTCGACTTAATCTCTGTATAAACAAAAAGAGGATCGCCTCCATAGAACTCTCAAGTGAAGCAGTTTTTCAAACGATGAAGAACAAAAAAGACTGCATACGCCATCATTTAACCAAACTGATGATAATTTTGCACCAGCAATACAAAAAAACCCTTTATAACTCTCTTAATAATCATGATGCTACATGTTATTAATGAGAAGGATCGTATACTACTTCCCGCGTTGTAATGGTACTTAGCTCACGATAAAAGTTGAATGATAAGCCAATAAAATAACATAAATATATTTACCTTTCTGCACGTACATGTGTAAACTTTGTTAACTGTTTTTTTAACGAAGCAGTTATATAGTCTACAGCTCAAAGCCTGTCAACACAAGACACGTCAACAAATGAGGCAATTGGCATTTTATAATATAAACCAATTGAATCACATCACATCACACCACATTGTGACACTTAACACTGCAATTACCACTTTGGAAAGCAAATTGATAATTGGGGGATATACTGACAAACACTTCCCCAGGATTTTTAAATATAATTCTTTATATTTTTATTTAATTGGTTTTTATAATATAGTTTAACAGGCTACATTAGTTAATTTAACTCCAAGTGGGTTGGTCATGAATCCTGAGAGCGTCATCCCACCAACAGTGGGTCTGTAGTTACACAGTGAATGGGACGTGCATTCCTAACATTTTAGTAACATTTTAACAAAAACAACACAATTCCCATAGTTTTTCTTCATTAATTTTATTTTGTGTATTTTTCTTGTAATAAAAGCATATTTTACATGTGTCATTGACCTTCTTAGTCCTTCAAATGAGGGGAATATCTCTTTTCACAAAACACGGGATCTCCGTCCTTAGATTAATTTTTCGGTTCACACTAACATAAATTGAAAAATAACCCCAAAATGGAAATTTGCTCTTGGATTTAAGGCAAATCAAGACAGTTAATAATTTGAAATTATAAATAATGTTCTGTGATATTCCTTTGGTATTTTGGCGCTTTGACTTGGATTACTGTTACACCGAGCGTAATACAAACCATTTTACCCTCTATATATGTGTACTTCACAGCCATGGTTGGGTTGACTTTCTAAAAACCCGTGTAATGAAACTGTAGGCCCGTAGCCAGTAAAATCAATATGGGTTTCTTTTTCTGAATTAGTGGACCTTTTACAATGAAACCTATCAGCACCTATTCAACAGCACCTATTATTGACCACCTGGATCAAATTTGATCCAGACTGGACCTTTTCCTGATAAAAAAGGGCAGTTCTTTCCAAACCCCCCTGGTTACTGGCCTGAACTGTGGATGTTACTTTTCTATTTATTGCGTTTCAATATTATTTGCCCTTTTTTTATCATATTTCGAAAAACAGAATAACATTGATCAGCCCTTAAGTGTAGTAATTTACCGATGTTGTAATTTTTCCAGAATTACGTTCTGTATACCACGTGTAAATNAAGAGTTAATGTATTATAAATACCCTACTGGTATGACACTGACCACTGAAATAAACACCAAATACAAATTGAATAATTGGGGGGTTTATTGCTAAACATTTCCCTGGATTTTTAAATAAAATTCTTTATAGGTATTTGTTTTTACAATATAGGCTTGGAGGTAACATTAGCTGATTTACCTCCCAATGGGTTGATCATGAATCCTGACAACGGCATCCCACCAACAGTGGACCTTGTGTGCAGTTACACAGTGGATCCCGGAGAGACGATGCAGGTCGTGTATTTCTACAAAGATGGAACGACCGATTCAGACCAAATAGTGGGGATAGTGATTTCCGGCGGGAGTTATCAGCTGCAGAACTCTTTTGCCTCAAGAACTGACGTGACGGTTACAGTCTCTGATCCATCATTTACGGTGACAATTGGAACAGTCACATTGGCAGATGAGGGGAGCTATTACTGCAAAATAACAACCATAGTCAAGATACCCATGTCAGTGTCTTCGGCGCAGAACCTAAAATTATTATGTAAGTAAAAGTCACTCTGACATATCTTATGGAATAATGAAATGTTTGGATGTAAAGCAGTCTTACAGTGTATGAAGGTGTTGACACATTCTCAAAAACCTTCGCGTGCTTAACACCTGGACCGCTTTTCAAGCTACAAACTGGTTTCCATCAGTACAATTATGAAACCTTTATTACGATCACTTTTTGAGTTTAAACTATAAATGCAAAGTTTCCACCATACCCAGTGACCCCGCTATTACAACTTCCGCACACATCCTTAAATTACTATGTAAGTAAAAAAATGCGTGATATTTAAATGTGAAAACATATGTCAAGAAAGCTGTATCTATTCATTATAAGTATTGGGAACAGTATAAAGCGAAACGCAAGCTGGCTGCCTATACATATCTTTTTGTCTAGCAGTAATTTACTAACAGTTGTTAAAAGCATACGCAAATATATGTAATACAAGCCATTATATGTTATCCCTTTTTGACTTTAATCTACATATCGGGCCAGTCCAAAAACATATCACACCATTTTTTCCTATCAAAACGCACTGGCGTTACTGTCCAAATATGCAAAGACCTTCTAAAACGGAAAGGCTATACCTAGAAACTAAAACATGATAGACAAATGACTAATGATAGACTAAAAAACTAAAATTGGTATTGACGTTAACATGACACCATCCCACAACTAAGGAGAGCACATATTTTTGCTTATTTGTATCATTTACAGATCGACCGAACCCACCCCAGATTACACGAAGACCCCAAGTTGCCACAGATACCTACCGGGTGACTTGTTCTTCTGATGGCGGCAGACCAGCACCTGAGATAAGATGGTTTAAAGTAAAGAGTTCTGACCAGATGCAGGTCACGTTAAATGAAACCTCTGGAAATGTGCAAAACCAGGGAGACACCTTTCTGGTCGAAAGTACAGTAGAAGTGATGGCAACCCAAGCAGATCCAGTGGAATTAATTTGCAAGCTCCTGCACGACTCACTCATAAGTCAGACCACTACAAATATCACGGTGCCTGGAAGTGCTGGTATGTCCAAATTTGTACACAAAAAGGTAGATGTCAAAAGCTGAAGAGAATGTGTCAATATGTTGCCTGTAAGACAGGAGACAATTGTCAGGGGGGTAGACCCTTTTTTTCAAACTGAAGCAAAAAAAAAAAAACAAAACATTTTAATGCTCACTGACTTCGTGATTCATTTTAGCGCTGCACAATACTGAACCATTCCGCTTTCCGCTTTGTGTACTGATCATTGGATAAATGATGTCTATAATTCCAGTTTTTAATGGGCTAGAAGGTGAATGTATATCAAGTATCGTTTTTAATGCTTTCTTTCAGCTCCTTCAACAACCACCACAGAAAAACCTACAAATTCGACAGGTAGGTACCATTTGGAATGCATTCAGTGTTCTAGTGCTTCAAAATCTTCTGTTTTTGTTTATGAGACTTTGCTATGGAACCTTTTTCATGGTTGACTGGTGGATTTCTTATCAGTTGTAAATGTCATTCTATCTGTACTGTAGTAGAGTTCTTCGGATCTTTGTTAATATGAAATCTAATCCTATGCCTAAGAAGCCTGTCCTGAGTGTAAGGGCCACTGTGAAGCTAGTTTGCTAACTATTCAAACGTTTTCATGGGATAGCTTCACAGTGGCCCTTAGGAACAGCGACAATGTCAATCGGCAATCCTCGGCTGACTCCGCAAGCTCCATACAAACCTCGGACGTTATAGGTGTAAGAATATGCATCAAATTGACTGCCTTTTCACTCAACCAGGATCTATGCACAGAGAAACAAGTTCCCGAAAATGGAATTTTTGTGCAGTATCATAAAGACTACTCAGATAAAATGAAATTGCACATTGTCTCTGAGCTATCCAAAACCTGGTTCTAAACTGCGACTAGTCTTCCCAGTGGGCATGGGACCGAAAGCAGTTCCTTGCCAACCTTCAAAGCGTGCTACGGATGCCATTGTATCACGTCCGAGGTTATTGTCGAGTGCGAAGACATCCGAGTAGCTGCGTATCCGTTTACTAAAAAGAACTGCTCCGCGGTGAATCTGCAGTTGAATGTCATTAGTCCATAATGAAACGTGAAACAGATTTTATTAAGCTTTATTAAATTTTATTTACTGCATGTAAGATTTACATTGAAAAATAGATTATGTATTTCTAAAAGAAAAAGATATATCAGATGTTTTTGTATTATTTGCTTATCTAAAAACATTTTCTCATGGAGATGTAAACACAATACACGTGTCGTGTGCCAGGTTTGATAACTACATAGTATACCCGATACCACTATAAGGACTGCGCAATGGCTACACCAAAAATCAGTTTTAAAGCAGAAAGTTGCTTGTGTTGTGGCACTGACCTTCGATATCAAGGTATTCTTAGTTCGAACTTCAAACTCTGCGTCAGCCACTTAGCTTTTTGTCTCGTCTGCACGAGATAACGTCAGCGCAAGGCGGGAAAGGCAGCACAGAACTGCGACGTACGAGACTTGTGACTTCCAAATATGTCAAAATTTTGCCAAACACGCCCATAGGTTGACGCTAGTGGCAAGAGCCAGTTTTGCTGATATGGGTTATATGTGAAATCAAGACCGAGCTGGCAAAACTGAAATCTAGAACCTAGGGTAAAGAAGCCCAGACCCCATCTTAATTAAGGCCTGGCTGAGACCAGTGTTATGGTGTGTTTGCATTGTTAACAGCATAATAGGCAAGTTGATTGACCAAGCTAATTGGCCAAGCTGCCAGTTTGTTTGTATGGCATGTGTAGGGGATGTCTTAGACCAAGGCACATATTATGATACTTACAGGTGTGGCAAATGATATGGTTGTATTTCATTACCTGTGATTTGTAAAATACATCCGAGGATGGCACTTTTAATGATATTTAATGTTTAAGGAAAAGGCATGTAGATTGATTTAGTAAAATTTACTAAAGAAATGTTAAATTAGTTTGGCTGCCATTTGTTAGTGTGTTATTTTAATAATCTAGATTTTATCACTCTTAAAGGTGGTTTGATCAGCCTGATCACAGTCAATGTAACTGTTGTCTACCTGAGTTTTTCGCAGCTGATTGCTTAAAATTTACTTGATTAATGAAGATCACAAGGTTTTCACAAGGAAAACCCCACCTGAAATGTATGATCAATCTTATCAAAGTCACTGTACCTGATAAAAAGTTGCCTTAAAGCTACTGTGAAAGGACCAACATAATTTTTGTAGGTTTGAACAACTGTATTTGGTATTATTTTAAACGTAATGAAACTCAAATAATGTTACATTAGCATGATACCAATTTATTCCTTATCCTGTATTTTCCCAAAATATATTATGTCTCGAAAGAGCTCTTTTATCATGTTACATGCTGTCATCGGTTAAGATGTACACTATGTGAAGGAAAACCCAGCAAGACCCTAATATAGATGGAGTCTGGGCCTCTTAGGCATAGGACTAAATTTGGTCTGGGCCTCTTCAGGGTTCATTCGGTTATGAATGTGATTATGAATTTTCACGTCAAAGTTTTGACGTCACAATCATATCTGGATAAACAATAAGATTGATTGTTGGATACAATTTGTTAAAGTTCTGATAGGGACCATTCAGATCGAAGACCCGAGTGCTAGCTAGGCCGCGACCTAAATATGGCGGATCTACATGAAAGCAAGACCGCTTAATCCTGTAATGGTATCTCCGCCTCCCACACGCCTCCCTATTTGATATTTTCCCTCAACAATGCTTTAGAGTTTGCAACTTTTAAGTGACGTACTCATATTGGTTAACGGGAATTCGGATTACGAAAATATACTAGTACTTGTAGTCAAGGCTCCCCGTGAGGTATGGTAGCAATTACTTTTCTTTAAGAAAGTGATCAGTTGAACAATTATTCCCTCTTTATGTTTTTTCAGTCCCTTCAACTACCAACACAGCAAGATCTACAGATACGACAGGTAGGTGCAATTTGAAGTGAATTGTTTTCTTTTGCTGCAAAATTGTCAACCTAATAATTAAGTACTCGTTGGTGCAATTCAATTCTCACGCTTTATCTGGCATAGCCATTTGGAAGATCATGCAAGTATAAATCCCAGTGTCTCCAACTGCAACAGCATCTTATTAAACCTAGAGTTTATTTGTTTATAGAAGTGATAACGGTTATGACATTATAATTGTGAATTGTCACGTCATATTTGTGACGTCACAATCACATTTGGATAAACAATAAGACTTATTGTTGAATACAAGTGCATTAAGTTCAGCGATATTAGAAATGTAAATTTGACATTTTCCCACAGCACAGGATACTAGGCGAGGTGTCCACTTCATGGCAACAATCAATCCTACAGACTTGACATTTAATATGGAATTTTTTTTTCCAAATCACTTTTCATCAAATTTTTCCTATTTAACTGACTGATAAATGAAAATAGGGATTAAAATCGTGTTGCCGACATATGGATACTTTTTTGACAGAACCATGCTTTGGCACACCCAAGCATGGACCAGTCCAAAGGAGCACTACCCAATTAAATCATTGCATAATACACAATACAGCAGTGCAATAGACATGGTAGTCAGTTCATTAGTAACGACACACCTGACTACACACTTGTCCATTCACATATCTTATATGAGATCGGATTTTTTTTGAAAAAAGAACGCATTTTTACCAAGGCATACCTTCGAAACTAAAATATTCCATATTAAATGTCAAGTCTGTACAATCCTGTGGTTAGGAAAATTTTAATTTTTCCCCTTCTGTCAGAATCATCGAGGCGTAGAAGCTTATCATAGGGATTTATTAAACTTTTTGAGTCAAAATTAAAATGCCTGGTCGGTAATTTCAAAGCAAATCAAAACAAAAATGAAATAAAACACCGATTCCAAGTGAAGGGAATGATTCGTGAGTAGGTGAAACACCCAAACCCAATATACATGTAGAAGTGCATTTCACATGCTGAAGTGTCAAAAAATAAAAATGAATAAATTTGTATTCAATGTTTTAAAACATATATGTGTATAGAACAAAAATCCACGACTGTCTCAACTGAAATTCAAATTTTAATTTTTACCATGTCTTTAACATTACGCGAAGAGCCCTATATGGTAACTTATGTTCCAAAAACGTACGGTAACGTATGTTCCTTGCCATTTAATTTTCATTTTTATGCCGCGTTCCGATATATATTTTTAGTGATTCAGTCATGGTAAATTAGACATGACGTAATCGTTTTTATAAATATTTAAACTGTATCTCAAAGGGCTTTGCGTCATGGCTTATGCTAGGTAACGTATGTTCCATAGAAAAATTGTCAAAATGTTTCATTTTGTTCAAGTACTTGTGTGCAAGAGATTCAATGTTTTCTTTTGCCGACCGAACAATATATTGTGGTTCCATGATATTTTGACATATCAGATATAATATTTGGATCTTGAAGGGAAACATTTTTTAATGCTTATTTTACTGTCGGTAGGGTGTATTTTCCCCATTTTTTAAATATTCTGTGACAAGCAAACTAAAGTCGCTCAAAAACAACTAACTGCTCTATACAGAAGATTATTATAATTTTTTAGCAACGTAATACTTGTAGGAGATAAATCAATGAACAAAACCAATGATGACTGAATTTTCAAAGTGAGTAGAACGTTTCACAGTTAGGCGTTTTGTATTTGTGACAGTAACGTATGTTTCTCTTTGGGGTTAAACGATGAATTATTTTTAATTATTCATGGTTCCAGGAGAGTGAAACTTTTATACAAGCTTCTTCATGTGGGACCTGAAAATAATCAAACACAGTTAGCAATCTGTGCAGTAAATATTTTTAATAACATGCTTGTGACATCAATTGCACCTCTATATTGGGTTTGGGTGGAAAGTGTCTTTACAGAGGCAAATTCATTATGGCAGGTAAATCCCGTACAAAATGCCTCTTACATAAGGTCGTAAAAGTAAAATATCTAGTAATATAAAAGTGCGTCAAAAAGTCTTGAAAACTTAAGGAGTGGGCAACATTTGAAGTGATGTACTCACATTGGTTTACGAGAATCCCAATTTTGAAAATAATCCTCATCCCTAACTTGTTCGTGTTTTGTTCCATTGCTGCACATGTTTGAAAATTTTTTTCTTTGCAAGGGGGTAGAAAGACCCCAATGAAGTGACCAGTAACAATTACATTTTTAGGCTGGTAATCAGTTAAACAATTACTGCCTCTTTATGATTTTTCAGATCCCTCAACTAACAACACGGCAAAATCTACAAATACGACAGGTAGGTGCGATTCGAAGTGAAATTTCTTTTGCTACAAAACATAATAAAACTTTTCAACCCATGGCCAATCATTAAGTACTCGTTGGTTTAATTTAATTCTCACGCTTTATCTGGCATAGCCATTTGGATGATCATGCAGATATAAATTTCACCATAGATCACTGCGGAACACAAACTGAGGGGTACACCACTCAGTAGGCTCAGGGGGTTCTAGTAACTGATTGTGAAATTCTACTTGATAATGGTCTCTATAATTCGAAAGCGTCGCGAACTGCATCGGCACGCAAGTGATGGCGATTGCGCCCACCTGCTAACTCGAGGCTTTAGCAAATGCAACACAATATTTGGGTGTCCCGAGGTACAATAATAGCCTCTAACGCTACTAAAATTCGATTGCCGCATAAAGTGAACACGATCATAGTGACCGTTAAAGGAAAATCATGCCCATTATTCTGTCTCACACTTACAGGAAATAAGCATAGGACTGAAATACAACTACAGTTGGAATATCTGTCTCATTAGTTAATTTTCCGGAAGTTATACAGTTTTTTTTGAAAATGACAATGACATTATCAAGGTGTGACTTTGAGCTTCCACTGGCTTGAAGACCTTTTCAAGTCACATTTTCTGAATATCCATTATACTTTTATATTACCATTAAAAATTGATGGTTATTTTGCTGTTAACACAATTATACATAATGTGATTTTATTTTATTATAATGCTAATTAAGAGATTTTAATGTAACGAAATGTCACAATTACAAACACTGATACTAGAACTGTTTGACACCAATAAAATGTAAAAAAATATCAATAATCGAAGCGCACGTGTAACTACTGTATGGACTGATACAATTAATGTTACATTGGTAGGTAACGTTCAGTCTCATAATACCACACGCTGAGGAAATTCACTGTGTGACCGAATGTTTTGTTTCTGCATTTTAATTTTCTGTAGAATTTTCTTTAATTTTCTTTACGGCTGTTATCAAAAGACTATACAAAGGTGCACTTTCATCAGAAAATGTCAAATAAAATAGGAAATGTTTAATTTTGAATTTTTTATGCTTTAAAATGAATATAAAATGTTCATCAGTAAATATTTTCATCTTTAATGTTCTACATAGTATTACTCAAGTGAAAGTTTACCGCAATTTTTTTCTAACAGTGGTTCCGACGCCTCATTCTTTGTTAAATGATTTCATGACGAGCAACCAAAACTTGTCGCCATGTTTAGTTACAGACACTATAATGACACTATAAAATGACTACGAAAATGTATATTATGTTTCAGTTAACAAAAGTCAGAAATGATTCAACTCGGCTACCAGTTTAAACAATATCTTTTGTATTGCAGGCAATGGTTGGAGAACAGTATCGATCGCTTTGATCGTGTTAACAATGTGTCTTTTTTGCATAATCGCATACCATGTATTCCGCATTCGGTCATTGTCCAGGAGACTCAAATCACAAGTATCTGAACATCAACATGGCAGTGTTATTACAAACAATGTAACAGAACACTCCAACAACGTCAATAACCATGTTTCTGCTAAGCGCCAAACAGATCATTCCTCTGGTTTTGATGGGGTTTATGTGAATTATGACGATACTGCATTGGCGAATAGTTACGAAGAACTTTGGCGAGATAACTGTTCAGATGGGCAATACATGGAACTTGATGAGAACCAATTGCCGTCGACTGCCACCAATGGTACTGGTGACTCTAAGCAGATTTAACTTTCCAAGGATGATCCTTGATTTAACTTTCCAAGGTTGAAGACGTTTCGTTATAGTCAGGAACCTCTTAACCTGTACTTTTTTTTTAATTAAAGATGTCAACAGTGTTCCATGTATAACAGAAGGACTTGAAAAGGAAGATTAATATGTGATATACAATCACCAAAGTATTATACTTCTTGCTGTCGTTTTCTTCTGTTTGTTATGTTTACTTTTTTTATAACTCATTTATTAAATGACATCCAGCCACATGTGGGCATGCTAGCTAACCGGTAGAGAAGGAACAATGCATTGTGGGATATATGTTAATTACCTTTATAATATACAACATCTCCCTTTTTTAATTAAAAATATCTTTCAGTTATTTTTTTTAAGTTGCTAATAAACATAATCAGTTCACTGTCCGTGTTGTCTTTGTCTCCAACACATTGCAATGTTCACAGTTCATAGACACAAGTAAATGTTTTTTTGTTTTTTTTTTTTTGTTTTTCTAAAACAAAAGTCAACAGAACCTCAAGTCCAGACTTGGTGTTGGGGGTGGTCGGCTTATGCCCTAGTTAGATTCCACTTTACCAAAATAACACGATTCAGAGCTGGGCCTGTGAGGACGTGTATTTTCTCGCCTTTATTATTAGGAAAGATCGTCTCTGATAGGAAGGTAAGTGTCTCACCTACATAGTATGAGATTTATAGATACCGATCTACATAGGGTGCCCTGAAAAGGGCATTTCGTGATTGGCACGATAGAGGCGTCTCGCCTGTCGAGGGAAGGGGGAGGGTGAACTGGTTGCAGAAAGCGCTTTTCGGTCAACAAGTGACCTTCATCAGCTGCAGAGTCCGAGATAAAAAAAAAATCAGGGACGTGGGGCAGGGGCGGATTCAGAGATATTTTCTGACAGTCTTCCAAATTATCTTTGTTGATCCATTCTTCATTTTTGACCGTCTTCCGACGTAAAAATTAGACAACTTTCAATGTAAACTTGAAAATCTGACCGTCTTCCGGAAGACCCAGAAGACGGCCTGAATCCGCTCCTGTGGGGGGTTGGTAAGCAAAGGTGTCTCGCCTTTGTTTAGTGAGTTTTCATCAAAGTGTCTCGCCATGGTGAATGATACGGGCCATCTCGGCTTTATAGTATCATGCTTGATCACAAGTGTCTCGCTTGTGTCAAGTAGGATGGGTATCCAGAAACACCGTTCAGTCTAAGATGCTGTATCTTGTTAAGGAGTTCTCCTCCATAACAAAAGGGATACGAGCTGGACGGTATGAATTGAGCGTGTGAATGGCTCGGGAGTCGGAGGTCGACTCGTGTTTGGGGGTGGTCGGCTCATGCCTTGGTTTAACTACCTCTAAGCAAAATAACACGATCCAAGGCTGGGCCCCTAGGGACGTGTGTTTTGACAGCGCCCTAGTTAAAAGCTTTGAGATGGTTTGTGGGACGCTCGGGTTTAAGAGTTAATGCTCTACTTCCCTTGGATTTTCCTCCGTTACGCTTATGTGAAGGAGTGATATGATATATCCGTTTATAGTTATATCTGATGGAGTGAGTGTGCGTAGCCGTGTATAGCGTACTGCGTGAGGCGTCTCACCTCAGCGTGGTGTAGAAAGAGGCGTCTCACCTCTGTATGAGAGTGACCAGAGAAAGGTTGTACGAGAGGGGAGACGTACAGCCTGGAGGGGGAGGGGGTGTCTGCACATTTTGACCTTAAGTAGTTGACCAAGGCAAGGTGATAACAGATGTCCAGGGTTATGGAATGTCTTAGCTGCTCTGTATCTAGGCACACGCATTTATATTTCGTGAAAGACGTTTTGGTGACTAATTCTATCGAGCTGCACTATATCGAGCTGCATTAGTGAGAAGTCAATTATAGCTGCGGAAATATTTACCCGCAGTTTTAGCAGCTGCACTCTATTATTACTTACGTTTGTTTATTGTTATTTGTACACCCTCCAACCTCCCCAACCACTTGTCTTCATTCTTGTAGTGTTTTTCACACTTAGACTTAATTACTTTCAAGCGGCAATTGTGAGACAGAATTAAGGGGGGCACCTAATTGGACAGTGCTACTTTGCCTCTGGAAGACCTGCTAATCAGAGGCATATGGGTTCAGTTATTCAGGAGACAGTTAATGCTCTCCCTCACTTGTCTAGTAATATTCACCACCTTAAGTAGTGCATTATTCAGGAATGAAAATTTTAAGGTGAATTTTGGTAAAGTTATTCAAACCCAGCCCTGTCCCCCCCCCCCTAATAGTTTTTTAAATCTTTTCCTGACTAATGAAGCAGATTTAAGCATTGGCTAAATGTAACATGGTTGTATTTATGCTAGTTAGCTATAACTCGTTTGGCACATTTAACTCGTTTGGCACATTTGTTTATTAACAAATTTGTTTATTAATATATATCATACATGTGAGATATATTACTTTAAAACAATAGTTAGGTAAATGTACTATGCAGGGCACTTATGGCAGTACTAAGGCCAAGAATCTCTTGCGTGGTAAGTACGTCTTCGTGGTAAAATACCCCGGAATTTCTGCATGCTTTTCCTGCGTTACACGCACGCCTAGCGCACTTACTCAGTGCTTTTGTCTTGCGTGCTCCGAGCGTGCTCCAGGCGTTCTAATTGTCGCAGACAGGTCGTAGCGAAAATCTGGCCGGCCAATTTGAAATTCGTGCGTCCGGTTGTGACCGAGGCTTAAAACTACGTACGACCTGAAAATCGTACGTAGAGTTGGGACCCAGGCTTAAACAAGGATTATAAATTTTGACAGCTCCATATCGCAGGACCAGAAGTCCACCGTACAATACCCGTAAAATCCCGTGCGGGGATTGCGCAATGCCATCTCAATATTGTTACAGTGTACGGGCCCACGATTTTAAAAATTTGTGAAAAGGTACAGTTTGACAAAATCGTTGAGACTGCGGAGGGCTTAAATAAGTACGATTAGGTGCAATTTCGCACGGCCACCGTCTACCCACATTCAGACGCCGTACGAAAAGGGAATTACGGGTAGTATACGTGCACCATTCATCGCATTTCAAATGTTATCTAGGCTTTAATTTTTACTACTTTGTGGAAATAGGCAAATTAACTTTTTACAGGTGTTTCGTTGTAAAGGAATTGACTTCAGATGCAGCTGTGCTAAAGTGCCCCGTTAATACAGATAAGTTTATTATTGTGTTAGTTGCACCTCTGTATGATGCTATATTTAGCTCTCAATAAAAACCCCGCGAAGTATCGAGGAACTTACGACGAAAGGTAACATAAAGGAAAAACATGAAGGGATTGTGCCTTTTTGTGCTGCTCTGTGTGGCTCCATATTCAACAAAAGGTAGGTAGTAAAACTGAAGATTTACGATGCTTGTATGTTAGTCATCTTAAAATTATTTCAGCTTGTCCTAGGCCGAAACTATAGATAGGGGCATGCGTCCTCCTCAAATCCCACGCCTCAATGTATTAACATTAATGGCACATTCCTCATCGAAACAAAATAACTCTTGATCATTACTCTTTAATGGGTATGAAGTAAAAAAGCTTCATTTTGGCAGGGAGGGGTCTCATAATTACTTCTTGGTATAAATGCTTAGCAATCGATTGAGTTAAGATGGATCATTGCAGAAAATTTCATAAACAGACATGACCTCATTTTACTGGTCCGAACTCGATGAAATACCTAAGCTATAGTTGAAACAATTTAAGACTTGTCAACGTCCAAACAACACAAATGCAAAAAGCTAGTATTATAAGATCCGAACCAAATGAAGACGTAAAGTGTAGTTGGGAATGATACACCGTGATTTTTGTCAATCGTCACAGGCTAAAATGCTTCCCAAGATAAAAGTAATATCTCTATTATTTTTTCTGATAATATAGGTGGAGAGGCTACATTAGCCGATTAAATGAATGAATTATACTCTGTATTATACAGGAAGTACCGGCGGCTACAGGCAACACCACGGAGAATAATGAAGACGTGCTGTTGTGCTGCTTTTTGTAACATCAAATTAATCTGATGGATGTCAACACAAAACACAAACACAAATGAGTGAACTTGTATTTTACAATATAAACCAATTACATTGATTGATACATCACATTATATCACATCAGATCACATTGTGACACTCAACACTTAAATCAACTCTTCGGAATACAAACTGAATAATTGAGGGATTTATTGCTAAACATTTCCAGAATTTAAATATAATTCTTAATAATTATTATTCGTTCTCATTATGTAGGTTTAGAGGCTACATTAGCTGAATTACCTTCTAATGGGTTGGTCATGAATCCTGAAAGCGGCATCCCACCAGCAGTGAACCTTGTGTGCAGTTACACAGTGGATCCCGGAGAGACCATGCAGGTCGTGTATTTCTACAAAGATGGAACGACTGATTTAGACCAAATAGTGGCAATAGTAATAGCTGACGGAAGTTCCCGGCAGACGAACGCCTTTGCCACTAGAAATGACGTGACGGTTACAGCCTCTGATCCATCATTCACGGTGACAATTGGCACAGTCACGTTGGCAGATGAGGGAAGCTATTACTGCAAAGTAACCACCATACTTAGTAATCCCATGGCAATAACCCCGGCGCAGACCCTCAAATTAGTATGTAAGTAAAACAATGACATTTACACGCATAGAAATGGAATGTTTTTGCCAAAAAAATCTTTTTACAGATAAAGTATGATTGCATAATGTTAGAATCAACCGGGAGGAGAGGCAGTCTTAAAAAGGTGTTGATTCACATTTCTAAATAATAAAATTCCGATTTAAACCTGCGTGTTCTTTACACATAGAATATAAGCCCTTTTCAACCCACCTATTAGTTTCCATAAGCGCAATTATCAAATCATGATTGCAATCCCTGTTCGAATTCAAACTATTACTGCAAAAATGGTACCATACTCAATAATCCAACTATTACAACTCCAGCACAGGGTCTTAAAATAATACAATTATGTAAGTAAATGTGAAAATATCAACTAAGTTGTAACTGATCTTTATTAGTATGTTGAGTACATGCATGTTGAGTAGGTTGGCTGCATATAGGGCCAAGCTATACAGTTTTTTGTTTTGATTGAGAGTAATAAGAACTTACAGTAACAGAAAAGCTAATACAAAATATATAATTAAACACACCATACGTGGAAAAAAAAACACGGAAAGAACCTAAATGTACCCCGAAAGACAGTTTCGTCTTTAGGATCTTATTTGCTTTTGCTTACACATTCTGCACTGCCAGAGGATATAGGCTATGGTGAGGGGAAGAAGTCTCAAAATGTTGATCTGCCATTTTGTGTCCCAATACCGTCTCAAAGTTTTTTCGTGCTATCATACATGTATGTAGGCTATCAGAGTATTCCTTGGTCGTAACACCTAACAAGATATCAGGACAATTCCCCCCGGTCAACCCCCCCCCCCCCCTGACAATCCCACCCCCCAGGACAATTCCCTCCCTGGACGATGCCCCCAGAAGAATATAGATTTATATACAAGTATAAAGTAAAAAGTATGCATTTCAAACCTTTTCATCCATTTTATGAAAATCTCTTAGTGTGATCATAGAAGTAGAGATTTCTCTGGTGTGATGTTGCAACTCGACGACAGATAAAATAATTTCATTAAACAAATTATTTTCATGGAGTACAAGTCCGAAAAATATTAGAATTAGAAGTACAGATAATTTTATCAAAACCTGATCAAAGTAAATCTCCAGGTAGAGGTGGGTTAAACAGATGATCGCACTCGTCCATGTAACCCTTGATAATTTTACTGTTACCCTTAATTGCCTCATTACTCCCTTTAATTTAGATGCACATATATATAACGCGACAAGAGTTAAGCATTAAGCCTCAACTAACTAACGTTCATTTTTAAACAACAACGAGAAAAAAACCGCCCTGTCATAGTTATGAGACAAACTGCTTAAAATAGACCATTATGCTGTGAGAAAAATCCCCCGTTTTTTAGAGCGCACAATTGGTGATGAGAAGAAAATATTCAAAAATAAATGAAAAAATTTATATAAACAACAGAATAGAAGAAAATATATAGCAGTGGCACAAGGGCAAATAAACTCCAGCGTGGTACAGGGGGAAGTCTGACAGTGTGTATTAACAGTGTAAGACATCGGTTACAGAGGAGTGGGGGGGGGGGGGTACTTTAGCTCGTAATCTATTGTTATCTTTTTCTCAAACAAGGTAAAACCATGCCTTTACAATTACTGTGTGTCCGACTGCAGTAAAGAAACGTCCTGTCGAACCGCTTTTGCTATATTTAAGTACACTAGAGACTTGTTTTAGATCACTGTAGTGAGAAAGCATACGAGCGACACTGGGTAATAACAGTCAAGTATAGAATTGACATCTTATCGTTTGGATGCACATACATATAACGTAATGAGAGCTAAGCATTAAAGCTCGTTAACGTCCCTTTTTAATCAACGACAAGAAAAAAGGGCGCCATGAAATAGTTATAAGACAAATTGCTAAATCCCCCGTTTCTCAGAGCGTACAATGGGTGATGAGATGATAATTTTCAAAAATAGATGAAAATATTTTTATATTTGATATTGTTATATTAACAACAGAATAGGAGAAAAAAATCTAGCAGTGGCACAAGGGCGATTGTACTCCAGCGTGGAACAGTGGGCAGTCTGACAGTGTGTATTAACAGTGCAGTGTAAGATATCGGTTAAAGAGGAGTGGGGTCTTACTATAGGTCGCAATTTATTGTTAAACGCGATTGTTATATTTTCTCAAACAAAATAAAACCATGCCTTTACAATTACTGTGTCTGCCGTGTAGCTGCCGTGAAGAAACGTCCTGTCGAACAGATTTTGCTACACTTACATACACGAGCGACTTGTTTTAGATCACTGTAGTAAGAAAGCATACGTGCGACACCCGGGCAATAACTAGCCTAGTATAAAATTGACATTTTTTCATTTAGATGCAAATACATTTAACGCGATAAGAGTTAAGCATTAAGCCTCGACAAACTAACGTTCATTTTTAAACAACAACGAGAAAAAAACCCTGACATAGTTATGAGACAAATTGCTTAAAATAGATCATTATGCTTGGGAAAAATCCCCCCTTTATATAAACAACAGAATAGGAGAAAATATCTAGCGGTGGCGCAATCACTACGCCAGAGAGACGAAACGACAAATCGGCGATTTTACGGAGTAATTATATATGCTCACCATACCATTCATGTCACTGGCCTTTACCTAGTAGTAATATAAAGGGACGGACATAAAAATAGGGTGGACCTCCATTTCTCTGACTAATGTAAACATCGATTAAAGAAGAGGGGGTTCTTATTGTGCTCGCAATTTATTGTTAAACGCGATCGTTATCTTTTCTCAAACAAGGTAAAACCATGCATTTACAATTACTGTGTGTCTGCATGACTGCCGTGAAGAAACGTCCTGTCGAACAGATTTTGCTATATTTAAATACGCTAGCGACTTGTTTTAGATCACTGTAATGAGAAAGCACATGTGCGACACCGGGCAATAACAGTCAAGTATAGAATTGACATCTTAACGTTTAGATGTACATACATATAACGCGATGAGAGCTAAGCATTAAACCTCCAAACTAACGTCCATTTTTAAGCAACAGCGACAAAAAAGGGCGCCCTGTCATAATTATGAGCTAACAAATTGCTTTAAAAATTATTCTGCTGTGGGCAAAAACCCATCCGTTTGTCAGAGCTCACAATGGATAATGAGATGAAAATATTTAAAATTAAATGAAAAGGTTTATATAAACAACAGAATAAGAGAAAATATCTAGCATTGGTGCAACGACAAGTCAACTCCAGCGTGCAACAGGGGAAGCCTGACAGTGTGACAACACTATATGAAAATACGGTGAATTAACAGTCTAAGAGCTCGGTTAAAGAGGAGAAGTGATCTCACAATAGCTGGTAATCTGTTGTTAAGCGCGATAGCTATCATATCTCTAAACAAACTTAAACCAGGCCTTAACAGTAAGATTGTTAAAAAAAAGATTAGTGATGTAAAATAATAATGGTAATTCAACAGTGACGATCGATAGAGAATTTGTCATTCACAAAGTTAATAAAATAAGACTGACACAAGCCAATTGTCCATATCAAATAAATATTTTTAGTAATTGAGGCTACAAACCAGCTTGTTCTGTAAATATTATTTTTAAAAATGATGTTGCTTTCTTTGTTACTTTTAATCTTTATTTTTTACACAGGTCGTGATGATGGACATTTGTGTACTGAACATCTTTAAACTTCAAAACTTTTTTGCCATAAACTGTGCCTTTATGAAAATGCTATTCGCTGCTTATTCCTCATTCATTACCATTCACAATTTATAAGTACTATTTGCAATAAGAGACAGGGTGAATTGCTGATCATGATGATGTACGATGCTGATGCTTATGCATGTTAATCAAACAAACGATACTTAGTTCAATTTTTGACTACGGAACACGTCATGTTGAATGAAATAAGCAGTTTGCTAGCATTCTTAAAACATGATCAGCTGCGCGTTCCAAGCTAGTGAACAAAAGGACAGTTTCAAACTTTGCTACGGGAGGCGGTTTAGTAGCATGGGTTCTAGACTCTTAAAGCTATAATCCTATCGCCGCAACAAACCATAGGGACCTTCTGGCTGATTTATCCCGCTGTTAGTTACACTTAGTTACAGCGGATTGTTGTGCTCGCGCTGGATCACAGATACCTGCGTCATGGTGTTCACTCGCCTAAACTATTGTGTTTTTGCGTTCGAATTTTCGAATTGTGAAGGGATTTATACGTCTCTTCTATTTACAGGATACGGATTAACACTTTTCAAACGTTTTTAAAACATTATACAACGAAAACATAATTATTACTACCACCGTATTCCTGGGGGAGGGGGGGCGTCCATGGGGAATTGTCGTAGAATCATCTTACAATCATTTATTATATAATGTCGAACCAAAAAATTACGCACAGTTTCTCTTGAATCATAACTGCAAGTGATATCGATGAAACTCGCTCAGAACAGGGACTGGAATTTAAAAATGTTTTGAAGCACTTTTGAATATCCTTTATGACTTTACGTAAATTTGTTAAGAATATGATCGAAATATCGTGCACATAGCCCGCCTTCTATAGCTGTAAATATTATGAATTATTGGACAATGATATTACAATGCATTCAGTTTTATAACCGTTAGTGAATCAATTCCCGCACGAAAATGCAGTAGTATCGACGTAGCAAAAAAAGCATTAACGCAGTAGTGGTGTGGAGCATATTTGCAGTAGAAATGCAGCATAGCTTACTGCAATTCTACTCCAAAAAGTACATAGGTTTGTACAGAGAGGAGCATTAATGCAGTGGGTTAGCAGCATGATAGAAGCATGTTTCAAATATGCTAATTAGCTCCCAAATCGAAGCAGATTTGAAGCAAGTTTGCAGTATGATTGCAGTACTTTACTGCGGTTTGCAGTAGTCTACTGCACTGCAGTAGATAATCTAATGCGTTTTCTTGCGGGAAGGCATTCAGCGAAATCCAGACTGGCACAAATTCACGTCCTTTATATATCTGGTTGAATCCCATACCAAAAATTTAAATATTGCATTATGATTTGAAAGTTTGAACTGGAGTAGTTTCAGCTATTTTTAGATTATCTGAACCTTACAGAAATGTTCCCCCTTTGACCCTAATTGTGTTGTCTTTTTTCAAAGTTTTAATAAGTTATACGAAAGCTTAGGGACATGCTGACATAGGGCAGTCCCAGAATTAATCTCTTTCTTTTTTTTTCATTTAGATCGACCTAATCCACCCCGGATTACACGAGGACCCCAAGTTGCCACAGATACCTACCGGGTGACTTGTTCTTCTGATGGCGGCAGACCAGCACCTGAGATAAGATGGTTTAAAGTAAAGAGTTCTGACCAGATGCAGGTCACGTTAAATGAAACCTCTGGAAATGAGCAAAACCAGGGAGACACCTTTCTGGTCGAAAGTGCAGTTGACGTGATGGCAACCCAAGCAGATCCAGTGGAATTAATTTGCCAGCTATTGCATGACTCACTTATAAGTCAGACCACGACAAAAATCACGGTGCCTGAAAGTGCTGGTATGTAGAAATTTGTTGATCGAATGAGTTTTTTATGCCAAAAGCTAAAGAGAAAATATCAGTATATCGCTAATTAGACTCGAGACACTTGCCAGGGTAGTGGACCCTTTAAAAAAATCAGAAAAAAAATACTTCGATGCTTACCGACTTCGTGCTTCATTTTAGCGCTGTACTTTTTTGAAGCATCCCTCTTTGCAATTGCATGGGCTGTACTTATCACTGCATAACTGGTGACTATATACATAATTGCAGTTCTTAACAGGCTAGAATATGGTTGGATTTGAAGTATCTTTTTTCAAACTGAATCAGAAAAAACATACTTCGATGCTTACCGACTTCGTCCTTCATTTTAGCGTTGCACTTTTTGAAGCATTCCGCTTTGCAATAGGCTGTACTTGTCACTGCATAACTGGTGACTATACATAATTGCAGTTCTTAACAGACTAGAAGGTGATTGAATATTAAGTATCGTTTTAATGTTTTCTTCCAGGTCCTTCAACGGCCACCACAGAAAACATTACTAATTCGACAGGTAAGTGCCATTTGTAATACATTTGTTTTCTTGTGATTCAAAATATTCCGTTGTTGTGTTTGAGACTTTCCTATGGAACCCTTTGCCGGTTGACTGGTGGATTTCTTATCAGCTGTTAATATCATTCTATCTGTAGTCTAGTTTTGGATGTGATTATGACATCATAGTTGTGAATTGTCACGTCATAGTTTTGTCGTTACAATCTCATTTGGATAAACAATACGATTGATTGTTGAATAAGTGCATTAAGGTCTGATAGAAGAGGAAAATTTGAACTTTTTCCTCCAGCAACTTTATGACAAGCTTTCAGGAATATCTGTCAGGATTATCGAGGCGTAGAAGCTTATTGCAGGCCTTTAGAAGAACAAATTGTTGAAATATCTGAGTCAAAATTGAAATGACTGGTCAGTTATTTCAAACAAAATCAAAACTTAACCAATAATGTTATAAAATAATGATTCGAAGTGCAGGGAATGTACTGCTGTTTGCAAATCTAAATCTATCTGACGAAAGGACCTAAATGTGCCTTTCTCTGCTTTAAAATAATTAAGTGGCTGGAAGATTTGTCAACTTAATCTTTTCATAAACAACATGGAGATCGCCTCCATAGACTCTTCAATTGACGCAGGTTTTCAAAAGGTGAAGAACAAAAGCGACTTCATACGTCATTTTTTAACCAAAATGATAATAAATTCTACATCAACGATACAACAAAAAATTCATACCTCTTTGAATAATCATGGTGCTACCCTATTTTATGACAAGGATCGTAAAATTGCCTCCTGCATGGTAGAAGTACTTGGCCCCCGATAAAAGTGTTTGATGTTATAGTTGAATGAAAAGACAATAAAATGACATGACCTTATTTACCTCTCTGCTACTACGTTTGTAAATTTTGTGAACTTTTTAGTAATACTTTAGTCCACAGCTCAAAGCCTGTCAACACATAACACGAACACTAATGAGTGAACTTGTATTTTACAATATAAACCAATTACAAGGATGGATACATGACATTATATCACATCAGATGACATAATGACACTCAACACTAAAATCAACTCTTCGGAATACAAACTGAAAAATTGAGGGATTTATTGCTAAAGATTTCCAGGGTTTTTAAATATAATTCTTAATAATTATTATTTGTTCTTATTATATAGGGTTGGAAGTGACACTGGCTGTTTTACCTTCTAACGGCTTGGTCATGAATCCTGAAAGCGGCATCCCACCAACAGTGGACCTTGTGTGCAGTTACACATTGGATCCCGGAGAGACCATGCAGGTCGTGTATTTCTACAAAGATGGAACGACTGATTCAAGCCAAATAGTGGGAATAGTGATATCTGACGGAAGTTACCAGCTGCAGAACGCCTTTGCCTCTAGAACTGACGTGACGGTGACAGTCTCTGATCCATCATTCTCGCTGACAATTGGGACAGTCACATTGGCAGATGAGGGGAGCTATCATTGCAAAGTTTCCACCTTTTTCAATAATCCCATGTCAATATCATTGGCTCAGACCCTGAAATTAGTATGTAAGTAAAAGTCACTTACGCGCATTGAAATGAAAAGTATATGACAAAAACATGTTATTATTTGAAATGGGATTTATTAAGTAGTGGGACTTTATCAGACTTTTTTGGATTTTTACAAAAAGCGACATGCACTTATAGATTCCTGTCGCGAACTCAGCCTGGACTCTCAGATGCGATATGCATCTTTAGTTTCCTGTCGCACACTCAGCTTAGACTCTCAATTGCGACATACATCTATAGATTCCTGTCGCACACTGAGCTTGGACTCTCAGATGTCCTATGAATTCACTAATGCCGTGCTCACTTCAATCTTTAATTCAAGCTGAAATCTACAGATTGGTTACATCTACATGTAAGTATGTCTGACTCTCAGCTGTAAAATTGATAACTAAGGTTTAAGTCAATAGCTCCAAACTTGTATGACAAAAATTAGAACACCATGTTATTTCCATATAATATTTATTTCTCTCTATATTTACACACACACATACACACACATGCACGCGTATGTATATTTATTTATTTATGTGTGTGTGTGCATTGTCACTTTGACAGTGATGCCCTTGTTACAATAACAAAGCTATATTGCACAACACTCCGATTTGCACACATCATAACCATAAAAGCTAATAATCAAATTTGATATTTTAGTGACATGAAATATTTAAAAAGTTTCTTGATAAGTCTATAAGATATATACTAATTAATATATATGCATTTATTGTGTTAGAAGAAAGGAATAAAAGTCTTGGAAATTTGAGCATTTAAGAGGTATTTCTGAATCCAGTTATGTTGTTTAAGAATATGGAAGTAGCCAGTGTTTTTTGAAGCACTTTGATATTCTTGCAAGTAAACAAACTGTAAACAATTTATTTAGCATTCATAAGTTGTCATAAGTTGCAATAGGGCAATAGTGATAATAAGCTGTGTAGTTGTCCATTTACATACGTGAACTACAAATTACTGCATTATACTACGAAGTGATGTCTTACTCCCTTTCTGGGAGTGGGGTGTCCTTTATAAGTGCCTAGCAGTCTTCCACATAGTCTTCTTGTTTTCATTATACCTGTACCTGTAAGTTTGATTTAGATTTCTGCTAATGTTTTACTTCTAAATAAACATTTGTATTTATCTATAACAGCAGAGGCAGTAGATTCTATTGGGGATTTCTGGAGTGACTGAGATTTACATGGAGAAGTTGATGAGCTTGGAGTTATTGGTGTTAAATTGGGCCTCCTCACTCTTGAGTTTCTTTGTTGTGCTAAACCCTGCAATTTCCTTGTTTACTACTTCCTTTATTTCTTGTCTGCATTTTCCACAATGGCAGAATAATTTGTTGTGACAACTTTTCCACTCTTGTCTTGAATTATAAACTTGCAGGAAAATTTACTCCTAGTAGACGTACTGATATCTGCATCTTCTGTTGCCTTTCTGCAGTAGTCTGCAAAGCATTGAGGGATATTCTTGGACTTTGGACCTGAATTATAAAATGTATTGAAGTCTCATATTGGTGTGGCAAGGGGAGAAAAACAAAACATTACATGTAATAAATGCCCTACGAACACAATTATCACGGAATAATTGTTTGCATTTGGGAAATAGGTTTTCACTGCTACAATGTCAATACAGTAGGTTCACGTTCTCCTTTGCAACTACTTAGACTTCCAGTGCAAGGGCTACCAAAAGTTCACATGTTCAAAGTTGCATAACATTTATTGCCCCATGATACCAGATTTGATCTCCTAAGTGATGTTTAACCTCTCAGCTTATAAATAATAAAGGGATTGGAATGTACATAGTGAATTTACTGCTTATATTTGCATGAAAAGTAGAGGCTGAGATTCCCCCATCTCAAAGCTCCTGGGGATTCTCAAATTTTAACTTTATTTATTAACTTTAAGTTCATTTTTATTGCTAGGGGTGCAACATGAATCTATGCATGTAGATGCATGTCGCATCTGAGAGTCCAAGCTGAGTTTGCGACAGGAATCTAGATGCATGTCGCATCTGAGAGTCCAAGCTGAGTTTGCGACAGGGATCTATAGATGCATGTCACATTTTGGAAAGAAAAAAAACTTTGATGAAGGCCTACTACTTATAATTAACATTTCAAATAATAACATTTTAAAAGATTTTTATTTCAGGTAGCGCATGAATACATTATGATAGAACAGGAGTTTTAAGAATAAGTTGATGCACATTCTCAAAAATGAAATTCAGATCTTAACTTTTAAACCTTTGCAGTCTTTACAATCAGAATATAATCCCTTTTCTAACCATACAGTTGTTTTCTTAAAACGCAATTATCAGATTATGATTTGATCTCTTTTCGAGTGTGAACTACAAATCAGGCTTGTCCAAACATATCTTTGCAAGTTTTTTTCTAAGAAATAAATGTTGTCACGCTTGCCAAAAGCAGTTGCTGAAAATTTGCCAAGACCTTCTATGATCAGACACATTAAACCTAAAAACTTTACAGGTTTTCGGGGAATAATGATTTAATATGATAGACTAATGAACACAGTGTTACACTTGCTTTTGAATATCAGATATTGGGGTTAACATAACACAAACCCATACAAAACGTAAACCCCATGTCTTGTTTCTTTGTATCTTTTACAGATCGACCGTACCCACCCCAGATTAGACACGGACCCCAAGTTGCCACAGATACCTACCGGGTAACTTGTTCCTCTGATGGCGGCAGACCAGCACCTGAGATAAGATGGTTTAAAATGCAGAGTTCTGACCAGATGCAGGTTGTGTTAAATGAAACCTCTAGAAATGAGCAAAGCCAAGGAGACACTTTTCTGGTCGAAAGTGCAGTTGAAGTGATGGCAACCCAAGCAGATCCAGTAAAATTAATTTGCCAACTACTGCATGACTCACTTATAAGTCAGATCACAACGAAAATCATGGTTCCTGAAAGTGCTGGTATGTACAAAATTGGTGACTGAATGAGTTTTTTTATGTCAAAAACTGAAGAGAAAATACCAATATATCACAAGTTAGACTCGAGATACTTGCCAGGGTGGTGGACCCTTTTTTCAAACTAAATCAGGAAAAAACATACTTCGATGCTTACCGACTACGTGCTTCATTTTAGCGCTGCACTTTTCTGAACCATTCTGCATTGAAATAAGCTGTACTTATCACTACATAACTGGTGACAATACATAATTGCAGCTCTTAACAGGCTAGAATGTGATTGAATATTAAGTATCATTTAAATGCTTTCTTTCAGCCCCCTCAATGACCACCACAGAAAGCCCTTCGAATTCGACAGGTAAGTGCCATTTGCAATGCATTAATTTTACTTGTGCTACATAATAGTCCATTTTCGTGTTTGAGACTTTCCTATGGAACCCTTTGCCGGTTGATTGGCGGATTTCTTATCAGCTGTTAATTTCATTCTATCTGTATTAAAGCTCTTTGAATCTTTTGTTTTAGTTATGGATGTGATTATGACATCATAGTTGTGAATTGTCATGTCATAGTTTAGTTGTTACAATTTCATTTGGATAAACAATAAGATTGATTATTGAATAAGTGCCTTAAGTTCTGATAGAAGAGGAAAATTTGAATTTTTCCTCCAGCACAGGATTCTAAGTGTCCACTTTATGGTAACAATTAACCCTAGAATCCTGTGCTTGAGGCTAATTTTAAAAGTTTCCCATCTGTCTGGATTATAGAGGGATAGAAGCTGATCATAGGCCTTTAGAAGAACAATTTGTTAAAATATCTGAGTCAAAATTGAAATGACTGGTCAGTAATTTAAGTCAAATCAAAACTAAACCAAAAATGGAATAAAATACAGATTCGAAGTGCAGGGAATGATTTGTATAGTGGTAAACTGACCTTTGCAGAGGAAGGGTCAATTTGGCAGGTAAATCCCGTACAGAGTGCCTTTACATTTAATCTGGTCTATGTCGGTCTGAATTTATCTTGCTGTGACATTTATTTGCAATGGGGATAAATAATTATTAGATTTTATAATCTCTGGAATATTCATAGAAAGAAAACAAAATATAATTTAGTGTATTTAGAGGCATTTTTCCAGAGGTATTTTGTACTTTGCTTTAAAGTGTAGAATATTTCATTGATATCGTTAATGAAAAGATAAAAGATAAAGTCTATAAGGGGTGACTGTGAGAAAACTGCCGATAAAGATAAAGTTAAGATAAAGCCGTTAAGTAATTCTGTACTGCTGTTTGCAAATCTAAATTCATCTGACGGAAGGACCTAAATGTGCCTTTCTCTGCTTTAAAATAATTAAATGACTGGAAGATTTGTCCACTTAATCTTTTTATAAACAACATGGAGATCACCTCCATAGACTCCTCAAGTGACGCAGGCTTTCAAAAGGTGAAAAAGAAAAGCAAATTCATACGTCAATTTTAACCAAGATGATGGTAAATTCTGCATCAACGATCGAAGAAAAATTTCATACCTCTTCGAATTATCATGGTGCTACCCTTTTTTATGGCAAGAATCGTAAAAATGCCACCTGCATGGTAGAAGCACTTTGCACCCGATAAAAGTGTTTGACGTTATAGTTGAATGAAAAAACAATAAAACGACATGACCTTATTTACCTCTCTGCTGCTACGTTTGTAAATTTTGTGAACTTATTATGGGATTTACAGTAATACTATAGTCCACAGCTCAAAGCCTGTCAACACATAACACGAACACAAATGAACAATATAAACCAATTACAAGGATTGATACATCACATTTTATCACATCAGATCACATTATGTCACTCAACATAAAGTCAACTCTCTAAAATCAACTCTTCAGAATACAAATTGAATAATTGAGGGATTTATTGTTAAACATTTCCCATGGTTTTTAAATATAATTCTTAATATTTTTTATTTGTTCTTATTATATAGGGTTAGAAGTAACACTGGCTGATTTACCTTCTAATGGCTTGGTCATGAATCCTGAAAGCGGAATCCCACCAGCAGTGGAACTTGTGTGCAGTTACACAGTGGATCCTGGAGAGACGATGCAGGTCGTGTATTTTTACAAAGATGGAATGACCGATTCAAGCCAAATAGTGGGGATAGTGATTTCTGATGGGAGTTACCAGCTGCAGAACGCTTTTGCCTCTAGAACTGACGTGACGGTTACGGTCTCTGATCCATCATTCACATTGATAATTGGGACAGTCACATTGGCAGATGAGGGGAGCTATCATTGCAAAGTTTCCACCTTTTTCAATAATCCCATGTCAATATCATTGGCGCAGAACCTCAAATTAGTATGTAAGTAAAAATCTTTTACGTGCATTGAAATAAAAAGTATATGACAAAAGCGTTATCTTACAGATAAAGCATGAATATATTATGATAGGGGCAGTCTTAAGAAAAAGTTGATTCACATTCTCAAAAATGAAATACAGATCTTAACTTTTAAACTTGGCAGTCTTTACAATCAGAATATAATCCCTTTTCTAACCATACAGTTGTTTTCTTAAAACGCAATTATCAGATTATGTTTTTATCTCTTTTCGAGTGTGAACTACAAATCGGGCTTGTCCAAAAACATATATCTCTGCAAGTTCTTTTTAAGAAAAATAAAATGTTTTCACGCTTGCAGAAAAAAACAGTTGACGAAAATTTGCCAAGATCTGCTGTGGACAGACACATTAAACCTAAAAACTCCACAGGTTTTCAGGGGATAATGCTTTAATATAATAGACTAATAAACACAGTTTTACATTGGCTTTTGAATATCAGATATTGAGGTAAACATGATACAAACCCATACCTAACGTAAACCCCGTGTCTTGTTTCTTTGTATCATTTACAGATCGACCGTACCCACCGCAGATTACACGAGGGCCCCAAGTTGCCACAGATACCTACCGGGTAACTTGCTCTTCTGATGGCGGCAGACCAGCACCTGAGATAAAATGGTTTAAAATACAAACTTCTGACCAGATGGAGGTCGCTGTTAATGAAACCTCTAGAAATGAGCAAAGCCAGCAAGACACCTTTCTGGTTGAAAGTGCAGTTGAAGTGATGGCAACCCAAGCAGATCCAGTGGAATTGATTTGCCAGCTACTACATGACTCACTTATAAGTCAGATCATGACAAAAATCACGGTGCCTGAAAGTGATGGTATGTCCAAATTTGTTGATGGAATGAGTTTTTATAAGACAAAAATGGTAGATGTCAAAAGGTAAAGAGAAAATGTCAATATGTCTCCAGTTAGACTCGAGACACTTGCCAGGGTGGTGGACCCTTTTTTGAAATTGAAGCACTTATCTGAACTATTATGCTTTGCAATAGGCTGTACTTATCACTTCATAACTGGTTATTATAATTGCAGTTCTTAAAACATTGAGAGTCACTGGGTGTTAAATATCACTTTTTATGCTTTCTTTCAGCTCCTTTAACAACCACCACGAAAAAACCTACAACTTCGAATAGTAAGTACCATTTGCAATGCATTCACTTTTCCTGTGCTTAAGAATCTTTCTGACTTGTGGATTTCTTATCAGCCGTAAATTTCATTCTATCTGTAGTAGAATTCTTTGAATTGTTCTTAATATTCAAGTATTTTGATTTGCTGCTTGAACNTATTCATAGAAAGAAAACAAAATATAATTTAGTGTATTTAGAGGCATTTTTCCAGAGGTATTTTGTACTTTGATTTAAAGTGTAGAATATTTCATTGATATCGTTAATGAAAAGATAAAAGATAAAGTCTATAAGGGGTGACTGTGAGAAAACTGTCGATAAAGATAAAGTTAAGATAAAGCCCTTAAGTAATTCTGTACTGCTGTTTGCAAATCTAAATTTATCTGACGGAAGGACCTAAATGTGCCTTTCTCTGCTTTAAAATAATTAAATGACTGGAAGATTTGTCCACTTAATCTTTTCATAAACAACATGGAGATCACCTCCATAGACTCCTCAAGTGACGCAGGCTTTCAAAAGGTGAAAAAGAAAAGCAAATTCATATGTCAATTTTAACCAAGATGATGATAAATTCTGCATCAACGATCGAAGAAAAAATTTCATACCTCTTCGAATTATCATGGTGCTACCCTTTTTTATGGCAAGAATCGTAAAAATGCCACCTGCATGGTAGAAGCACTTTGCACCCGATAAAAGTGTTTGATGTTATAGTTGAATGAAAAAACAACATGACATGACCTTATTTACCTCTCTGCTGCTACGTTTGTAAATTTTGTGAACTTATTATGGGATTTACAGTAATACTATAGTCCACAGCTCAAAGCCTGTCAACACATAACACGAACACAAATGAACAATATAAACCAATTACAAGGATTGATACATCACATTTTATCACATCAGATCACATTATGTCACTCAACATAAAATCAACTCTCTAAAATCAACTCTCCAGAATACAAATTGAATAATTGAGGGATTTATTGTTAAACATTTCCCATGATTTTAAAATATAATTCTTAATATTTTTTATTTGTTCTTATTATATAGGGTTAGAAGTAACACTGGCTGATTTACCTTCTAATGGCTTGGTCATGAATCCTGAAAGCGGAATCCCACCAGCAGTGGAACTTGTGTGCAGTTACACAGTGGATCCTGGAGAGACGATGCAGGTCGTGTATTTTTACAAAGATGGAATGACCGATTCAAGCCAAATAGTGGGGATAGTGATTTCTGATGGGAGTTACCAGCTGCAGAACGCTTTTGCCTCTAGAACTGACGTGACGGTTACAGTCTCTGATCCATCATTCACATTGACAATTGGGACAGTCACATTGGCAGATGAGGGGAGCTATCATTGCAAAGTTTCCACCTTTTTCAATAATCCCATGTCAATATCATTGGCGCAGAACCTCAAATTAGTATGTAAGTAAAAATCATTTACGTGCATTGAAATAAAAAGTATATGACAAAAGCTTTATCTTACAGATAAAGCATGAATATATTATGATAGGGGCAGTCTTAAGAAAAAGTTGATTCACATTCTCAAAAATGAAATACAGATCTTAACTTTTAAACTTGGCAGTCTTTACAATCAGAATATAATCCCTTTTCTAACCATACAGTTGTTTTCTTAAAACGCAATTATCAGATTATGTTTTTATCTCTTTTCGAGTGTGAACTACAAATCGGGCTTGTCCAAAATCATATATCTCTGCAAGTTCTTTTTAAGAAAAATAAAATGTTTTCACGCTTGCAGAAAAAAACAGTTGATGAAAATTTGCCAAGATCTGCTGTGGACAGACACATTAAACCTAAAAACTCCACAGGTTTTCAGGGGATAATGCTTTAATATAATAGACTAATAAACACAGTTTTACATTGGCTTTTGAATATCAGATATTGAGGTAAACATGATACAAACCCATACCTAACGTAAACCCCGTGTCTTGTTTCTTTGTATCATTTACAGATCGACCGTACCCACCGCAGATTACACGAGGGCCCCAAGTTGCCACAGATACCTACCGGGTAACTTGCTCTTCTGATGGCGGCAGACCAGCACCTGAGATAAAATGGTTTAAAATACAAACTTCTGACCAGATGGAGGTCGCTGTTAATGAAACCTCTAGAAATGAGCAAAGCCAGCAAGACACCTTTCTGGTTGAAAGTGCAGTTGAAGTGATGGCAACCCAAGCAGATCCAGTGGAATTGATTTGCCAGCTACTACACGACTCACTTATAAGTCAGATCATGACAAAAATCACAGTGCCTGAAAGTGATGGTATGTACAAATTTGTTGATGGAATGAGTTTTTATAAGACAAAAATGGTAGATGTCAAAAGGTAAAGAGAAAATGTCAATATGTCTCCAGTTAGACTCGAGACACTTGCCAGGGTGGCGGACCCTTTTTTGAAATTGAAGCACTTATCTGAACTATTATGCTTTGCAATAGGCTGTACTTATCACTTCATAACTGGTTATTATAATTGCAGTTCTTAAAGCATTGAGAGTCACTGGGTGTTAAATATCACTTTTTATGCTTTCTTTCAGCTCTTTTAACAACCATCACGAAAAAACCTACAACTTCGAATAGTAAGTACCATTTGCAATGCATTCACTTTTCCTGTGCTTAAGAATCTTTCTGACTTGTGGATTTCTTATCAGCCGTAAATTTCATTCTATCTGTAGTAGAATTCTTTGAATTGTTCTTAATATTCAAGTATTTTGATTTGCTGCTTGAACACACACACACACACACACACACACACACACACGTATAAAAGCACTTCTGAGCCTCTGAAGGTTTTACTCGGTTATGGATGTGATTACGATTATGCCATCACAGTTATTGATTGTCACTCATATTCAAGTCGTCACAATCACTATAAGATAAACAATAAGATTGATTGTTGAATACAAGTACATTAACTGCTGATAGAAGAGGAGAATTTGAAAATTTCTTCAAGCTAAGTATAGGTGTTAAGACATAAATGGTAAATGTAAAGAGAAATACCAATATATCGCCAGTTAAGCCTGCCGCACACAGAACAATTTTTCGCCGGCCGACAAAAGTCAGCCGATCTGTCGTCCTGGATGAGATCAGCGCACACACACGACAAGCTGTCGCAACAAAGCGCCGACTGGTGTGGTGAAAGTGACGAACCGTAGTTATTATCTCGTCCGCGAGGTGGGGCGTTGTTTAATTTAATCAGGAAAAGTTACTGCAGGCCTATTTATATTTTATATCTGATATTGTAATGATAAGAGTAAAAATAAAATGTAAGAGTATAACAAGATTACTTTAATTAATTCAATGAAAAATGAGCAAATTGAAATACCCAAATTTTTTAAATCAATGCAACACTCATAGACCATTACAGCCTATAGGATGACAACAGTTTGTCAGTTTAGACAGATTTAATCGCCTCGATGCAGCGTTACGTCGTTAAATGGTTTATGACGCTGAAAATTAAAAAAAGCTAATACTAATAGAAAATTATAGGACCTTCCATCATACCGAATTGAATTGAATTCTGACGTGGGCACGTGATATCAGATGGCGCAACCATTGGCTGAAGATAATGATCAGCGCGACAAATTGTCATAGGAAAGCGCACACACTACGGTATGACGTTTAAAAATCAAACATGTTTGATTTTTCTCCCGACTTGTTGAAAAGTTGTCGTGGAGCAACGCAGACAGGCCGATATTTTGTCGTAAGTGTGTCGGCCGACGAAAAATCGTTCTGTGTGCGGCGGGCTTTAGACTCGACACACTTGCCAGGGTGGTGGACCCTTTTTTTTAAAGTGAATCAGAAAAAAATACTTCGATGCATACCGACTTCTTGCCTCATTTTAGCGCTGTACTTTTCTGAACCATTCTGCATTGAAATATGCTGTACTTATCACTGCATAACTGGTGACGATACATAATTGCAGCTCTTAACAGGCTAGAAGGTGACTAGATATTAATTATCATTTTAATGCTTTCTTTCAGTTCCCTCGACGACCACCACAGAAAGCCCTTCAAATACGACAGGTAATGCCATTTGCAATGCATTAAGTTTTCTTGTGCTTCATAATAGTCCATTTTCGTGTTTGAGACTTTATGGAACCCTTTGCCGGTTGACTGGTGGATTTCTTATCATCTGTTAATTTCGTTCTATCAGTAGTAAAGCTCTTTGAATTTGTGTTCTAGTTATGGATGTGATTATAACAACATAGTTGTGAATTGTCACGTCATAGTTTTGTCGTTACAATTTCATTTTGATACACAATAAGACTGATTGTCAAATAAGTATATAAAGTTCTGATAGAAGAGGAAAAATTTTCCCCCAGCACAGGATTCTAAGTGTCCACTTTATGGCAACAATTAATCCTAGAATCCTGTGCTTAAGGAAAACTTAAAAATTTTCCCATCTAGCCGTGTTATCGAGGCACACCCAGCAGGCAAACGACATCGATTCTACGTTGATTCAACGTCGATCCACCAAAATTAACGTTGATTCAATGGTGAATCAATGTTGTTTGTCTGCTGGGACAGAAGCTTATCGTAGGCCTTAAGAAGAATGATTTGTGTAATAATCTGAGTCGAAATTGAAATAACTGGTCAGTTATTCTAAACCAAATCAAAAGTACATCAAAAATGGAGAAAAAAATACCGATTCGAAGTGCAGGAAATGATTCGTAGGTTAACCTGACCTTTGCAGAGGAAGGCTCGATTTGGCAGGTATATCCCGTACAGAGTGCTTTTAACATTTAATCTAGTCTATGCTGATTTATAGTCGGTCAGAATTTATCTTGCTGTGACATTTATTTAATTTTTTTGCAAAGGATGAATTAATATTAGATTTATTAACCTATGAGAAATTCATAGAAAGAAAACAGAATATAATTTAGTGTATCTAAAGGCATTTCCCAGAGATATTTTGTACTCTGATTTGAGGTGTAGAATATTTCATTTATATCATTGATGAAAAGATAAAAGATAAAGTCTATAAGGGGTGACTGTGAGAAAACTGTCGATAAAGATAAAGTTTATATAAAGACGTTGTGTATTTATGTACTGCTGTTTGTAAACTCCATATTCTTTTGATGGTATAGGACCTAAATGAGAATTTCTCTACTTTAAAATAATTAAATGGCTGGAAGATTTGTCCACTTAATCTTTTCATAAAAACAATATCACCTCCATAGACCCCTCAAATGACGCAGGTTTTCAAAAGGTGAAGAACCAAGATTATGATAAATTCTACATCAACGATCCAAGAAAAAACTTCATACCTCTTTGAATAATCATGGTGCTACCCTTTTTTATGACAAGGATAGTAAAAATGCATCCTGCATGGTAGAAGTACTTGGCAACAGATAAAAGTGTTTGATGTTATTGACGAATGACAAGACGATAAAACAACATGACCTTATTAACCTCTCTGCTACTACATTTGTAAACTTTGCCAACTCTTTATGAAATTTACAGTAATCCTGTAATCCACATCTCAAAGTCTGTCAAAACATAACATGAACACAAATGAGTGAACTTGTATTTTACAATATAAAGCAATTGCACTCAACACTCAACACTTAAATCAATTCTTAAGAACACAAATCGAATAATTGAGGGATTTATTGCTAAACGTTTCAAGCGTTTTTTAATATGATTCTTGATAAGTATTATTTGTTCTTATTATATAGGGTTGGAAGTAACAATGGTGGTTTTACCTTCTAACGGCTTGGTCATGAATCCTGCAAGCAGCATCCCACCAGCAGTGGACCTTGTTTGCAGTTACACAGTGGATCCCAGAGAGACAATGCAGGTCGTGTATTTCTATAAAGATGGAACGACCAATTCAAGCCAAATAGTGGGAATAGTGATTTCTGATGTTAGTTACCAGCTGCAGAACTCTTTTTCCAATAGAACTGACGTGACAGTTACATTCTCTGATCCATCATTCACGGTGACAATTGGGACAGTCACATTGGCAGATGAGGGGAGTTATTACTGCAAAGTGTCCACCTTTGTTAATTATCCCATGTCAATGTCATTGGCGCAGAACCTGAACCTAGTATGTAAGTAAAAATCACTTATGCATATTGAAATGAAAAGTATATGACAAAAGCAATTTTTTACAGATAAAGCATGAATACATTATGATAGCCCAAAATATTAGTAAATTCAGAATTAATAGTCAAAACGTAAATTGAAATCTGCCCTAATTTGTCAGATGCCGGTGATCCAAGCGGAGGATACACTTTCCTGAAGGTAGCGGCGACGAACGGCGACGGTGTTTTTCTGAACAATTTACCTGTGAAACTGTATTAGTTACGAAAAGCCTCCTTTTCAACAGGCGTGTTCTATTAATTAATTCATGTCACAGAGTAAATTTATATAGGCAAAATTTCTTTCAAGGAACTAGTTCCAAGAAATAAACGAGAGCAAATTATAAGTCAGCACAAATATAAACCATACAACAATGAGTCTCTATTTAGAGTATAATCCCTCCTGTTATGGGCCATCACCTTTTTTCACCGCGAGCCCCTTTAATTAATGTATTGTAGTTCTCATTCTACCCATTTCATTTGACATCTCTGTTTCTCTCCCTTCCCCTTTCTCTTGTTAGAAGGAGGTTAAATAATTAAGCACTCAAAATCTGCATCACCAATCTTCAGAAAAGAATAAGTGAATGAAACACTGGGCTGGTCCACAACGTCCGACACAGCAGAGTGAATCAAATGACAGCTTCCACAGGTTCAACTGCAGTTAGCTATATATTGTCACTACAAATATAATCCGCTGCACGCGCGAAGCTGTTGAACAAAAGCATAGTTCGCCACGGGAGACCGTTTGTTTACATAAGTACTCTAAGGGGGAGTGCCTACCCAGGCGACCAGGGGATTAGGGTAGTCACTATATTCCGTCAAAAATCGTTTAGCGACCCTATAATTATCACACTCCCTCTATTGTATTTTCCGTCGTTATAATCGCATCTAATCTTCTTATGGCTGACGGAATAAATGCACACATACATAATATTAGGACGGTACAAACTTCAGAAACGTGGAATAAGAATCATTGCAGAAAAAGAAGCCAAGAAATATCCAACAACTGAACTATTCAAGAAACTAAAATGGCAAACAATCCATGAACGGAGTGAATTTAAGATAGCCACATTAGTTTTTAAAGCTTTAAATGGACTGTTACCTAAATATATCAAAGACTCGCTGAGAATTACAACAATACACACTACCGGCAGAATCACCCAATCAAATAATATCTACTTACCATTTGGCAGACATAAAGACATACTAACTTAAGGCCCAATATGGACCTCGATTAAAATATGGAACTGCCTACACTCTGAAATCAAAAACTACAAAGCCTTGGATACTTTTAAAGTTTTGTTTAAAAAATTCCAAAAGTAAATTTCATGTATACAACTTTTACAGGGTAAGTCATGTAACTTTAGGATTTTTACTAACAGAACGCCTTCTGTTTTATTCATATTACTTGTGTATTTCAATCTCATTTCATTTTTACCTCATTGCCATTTTTATTTCATAATTTATTCATCTTTTATTCATTAGCACAACATTTCATCTTAACCCCCTAGAGTGCCATGTGTAAGATAATGTTCACACTTAGCATGTTTTACCCTTTAAATAAGGTTTATTATTATTATTATTATTATTATTATTATTATTAAAACACAATTATCAGATTATGATTTGATCTCTTTTCGAGTGTGAACTACAAATCAGGCTTGTCCAAACATATCTCTGCAAGTTTTTTCTAAGAAAGAAACGTTAACTTGTCGTGCTTGCCAAAAGCAGTTTCGGAAAATTTGCCAAGACCTTCTATGGACAGACATATTAAACCTAAAAACTCCGCAGGTTGTCGGGGAATAATCACTTTTAAAATATGACGGTCATAAGGTCAGTTTTGGAATGTGCTGCCCCTGTCTGGCACTTTGGGTTAACAAATGAATTGACTGCCTTAGTAGAAAAGTCTCAAGAAAGAGCTCTTAAGATAATTTATCCTGAACTTGAATATGACGCTGCTTGTGAACACAGTAAACTTGAACTACTGAGTGCAAGACGGATCAATGCATGCAAAAAATTGTTTTTTAGTATATCAAATGAACCGGATCATAGACTGTATTATCTTTTGCAACCAAAACAAAATGCCAAATATTCATTGAGGGAACAGGAAACTTTTAGAAGACCTAAAATTAAAACCAAACGATCAATGAGTGACTTTTTAACAAGTGCCATATACAAGTTTCAGAATTAACTGATAGACTTTTATTCCTTTTTTTTAACCTTGCATTTTAGACATTTTGTTTTAAATTTGCTTACATATGTCTTTTAAAATTCTTTTGTTCTTACTTACTAATGGTTTTATCCGACTGTGATGCAATGATTGTAATTATCCAACCCTCGTGTTGCAAGTTTGGTAATGATAATAAATAATAATGATAAACTAAAAAAACTCGATGTTACATTGGCTTTTGAATATCAGATAAGAAAAACTTAAATTAAATATTGAGGTTAACATAACACAAACCCATAACTAATGTAAACCCCATGTCTTGTTTCTTTGTATCTTTTGCAGATCGACCGTACCCACCCCAGATTAGACGCGGACCCCAAGTTGCCACAGATACCTACCGGGTAACTTGTGCTTCTGATGGCGGCAGACCAGCACCTGAGATAAAATGGTTTAAAATGCAAAGTTCTGACCAGGTGGAGGTTGTGTTAAATGAAACCTCTAGAAATGAGCAAAGCCAAGGAGACACTTTTCTGGTCGAAAGTGCAGTTGAAGTGATGGCAACCCAAGCAGATCCAGTAAAATTAATTTGCCAACTACTGCATGTCTCACTTATAAGTCAGATCACGTCAAAAATCACGGTGCCTGAAAGTGCTGGTATGTACAAATTTGCTCTTACGAAAAACCCCTATAGGATACTAAAAGATCCTATATGATTCTATAGGAAGTCGGACCAATTTCTTATAGGATCCTATAGGACTTTTTCCTTAGGGTGGTGATTGAATGATTTTTTTTATGTCAAAAGCCAAAGAGAAAATACCAATATGTCGCCAGTTAGACTCGAGACATTTGCCAGGGTGGTGGAAACAATCATACTCTGATGCTTACCAACTTCATGCTTCATTTTAGCACTGTAATTTTCTGAACCATACCGCATTGAAATAGGCTGTATAACTGGTGACGATACATAATTGCAGTTCTTAACAGGCTAGAGGGTGATTGGATATTATGTGTCGTTTCAATGCTTTCTTTTAGCTCCTTCAACGACCACCACAGAAAACCCTACAAATTCGACAGGTAAGTGCCATTTGCAATACATAAAGTTTTATTGTGCTTCAAAATATTCAGTTTTTGTGTTTAAGATTTTGCTATGGAACCCTTTGCCGGTTGACTGGTGGATTTCTTATCAGCTGTTAATTTCATTCTATCTGTAGTGGAGCTATTTGAATCTTTCTTCTAGTTATGGATGTGATTATGACATCATAGTTGTGAATTGCCAAGTCATAGTTTTGTCATTACAATCTCATTTGTTGATTGACTGTTGAATAAGTGCCTTAAGTTCTGATAGAAGAGGAAAATTTGATTTTTTTCTCCAGCACAGGATTCTGGGTGTCCGCAGTATGGCAACAGTTAATCCTAGAATCCTGTGCTTGAGGAAAACTTTAAAATCTCCCCATCTATCAGGTTTATAGAGGCGTAAAAGCTTATCGTAGGTCTTTAGAAGAACGATTTGTTAAAATATCTGAGTCAAAATTGAAATGGCTGGTCAGTAATTTCAAACCAGATCAAAACTAAACCAAAAATGGAATAAAATACCGATTCCAAGTGCAGGGAATAATTTGTAGGTAAAACTGACTTTGCAGAGGAAGGCTCGTTTTGGCAGGTAAATCCTGTACAGAGTGCCTGTAACATTTAATCTGGCCTATACTTATTTATAGTCGGTCTGAATTTATCTTAATGTGACATTTATTTAATTTTTTATTGCAAAAGGATAAATAATTATTAGATTTATTAACCTATGAAGTATTCATAGAAAGAAAACAGAATATAATTTAGTGTATTTCAAGTTATTTTTCAGAGGTATTTTGTACTTTGCTTTGAAGTGTATAATAATTCATTTATATCTTTGATGAAAAGATAAAAGATAGAGTCTACAAGGGGTGACTGTAAGAAAATCGTCGATAAAGATAAAGACAAAGTTAAGATAAAGACTTGTATTTATGTACTGCTGTTTGTAACTCCATATTCATCTGATGGTAGGACCTAAATGAAAATTTCTCTACTTTAAAATAATTAAATGGCTGGAAGATTTGTCCATTTAATATTTTCATAAAAACAAGGAATTCGCTTCCACAGACTCCCAAAGTGACGCAGTTTTTCAAAAGGCGAAGAACAAAAGCGGATTCATATGTCAATTTTAACCAAGATGATGATAAATTCTACATCAGCAATCCAAAAAAAAAAATGTATACCTCTAATAATCATAGCGCTACTCTTTTTTATGATAAGGATAGGAAAAATGCCTCCTGCATGGTAGAAGTACTTGGCATCCGATAAAAGTTTTTGATGTTAAAGTCGAATGAAAAGATGATAAAACAACATGACCTTATTAACCTTTCTGCTGCTACGTTTGTAAACTTTGCAAACGTTTTATGAAATTTACAGTAATACTACAGTCCACAGGTGAAAGCCTGTCAACATAAAACACGAACACTAATGAGTGAACTTACATTTTACAATATAAACCAATTGCAAGGATTGATACATCACATTATATCACACCAGATCACATTGTGACACTCAACACTTAAATCAACTCTCCAGAATACAAATTGAATAATTAAGGGATTTATTGTTAAACATTTCCCATGATTTTTAAATAATAATAATTATTTCTTTTTATTATATAGAGTTAAAAGTAACACTGGTTGATTTACCTTCTAATGGCTTGGTCATGAATCCTGAAAGCGGCATCCCACCAACAGTGGACCTTGTTTGCAGTTACACTGTTGATTCCGGAGAGACGATGCAGGTCATGTATTTTTACAAAGATGGAACGACTGATTCAAACCAAATAGTGGGGATAGTGATTTCTGATGGGAGTTACCAGCTGCAGAACTCTTTTTCCACTAGAACTGACGTGACGGTTACAGTCTCTGATCCATCATTCACGGTGATAATGCGGGCAGTTACAGTGGCAGATGAGGGGAGTTATTACTGCAAAGTTTCCACCTTTTTCAATAATCCCATGTCAATATCATTGGCGCAGAAACTAAAATTAGTATGTAAGTAAAAATCACTTACATGCACTGAAATGAAAATTATAAGGCAAAAGCTTTTTCTTACAGATAAAACATGAATAAATTAGAATAGAATCAACAGGGAGAAGAAGCAGTCTTAAGTTGATTTTGATAAGTTGAAAATGTTGACCCATATTCTCAAAAATAAAATACGAAGATCTAAAGTTTTGAACCTTTGCAGTCTTTACAATCAGCGTATAAGCCCGTTTCTAAGATTATGATTTGATTTCTTCTCGAGTGTGAACTACAAATCAGGCTTGTCCAAACATATCTCCGAAATTTTTTTCTAAGAAAGAAACGTTGTCGTACTTGCCAAAACAGTTGCCCAAAATTTGACAAGACCTTATATGGACAGTCACATTAAACCTAAAAACTCCGCAGGTTTTCAGGGAATAATCATTTAATATAATAGACTAATAAACACAGTGTTACATTGGCTTTTGAATATCAGATAAGACAACTAAAATTAGATATTGAAGTTAACGTAACACAATCCCATACTTAACGTAAACCCCATGTCTTGTTTCTTTGTATCTTTTACAGATCGACCGTACCCACCCCAGATTCGACGAGGACCCCAGGTTGCCACAGATACCTACCGGGTAACTTGTGCTTCTGATGGCGGCAGACCAGCACCTGAGATAAAATGGTTTAAAATACAAACTTCTGACCAGATAGAGGTCGCGGTAAATGAAACCTCTAGAAATGAGCGAAGCCAGGGAGACACCTTTCTGGTCGAAAGTGCAGTTGAAGTGATGGGAACTCAGGCAGATCCAGTGGAATTGACTTGCCAGCTACTACACGACTCACTTATAAGTCAGATCATGACAAAGATCACGGTGCCTGAAAGTGCTGGTATGTACAAATGTGTTGATTGGATGAGTTTTTTATAAGACAAAAAAGATAGATGTCAAAAGGTAAAGAGGAAATGTACATATGTCTCCAGTTAGGCTCGAGACACTTGCCAGGGTGGCGGACCCTTTTTTGAAATTGAAGCAGAAATAGATAATTCAACGCTTATTGACTTCGTGCTTCGTTTACACGCTGCACTTATCTGAACCATTATGCTTTGCAATAGGCTGTACTTATCACTTCATAACTGGTTATTATAATTGCAGTTCTTAATAACCTTGAAGGTGACTGGGTATTAAATATCACTTTATACTTTCTTTCAGCTCCTTTAACAACCACCAAGAAAAAACCTACAACTTCGAATAGTAAGTACCACTTGCGATGCATTCGCTTTTCCTGTGCTTAAGAGTCTTCCTGACTTGTGGATTTCCTATCAGCCGTAAATTTCATTCTATCTGTAGTAGAGTTCTTTGACTTTTTGTTAATATCGAAGTATTTTGATTTGCACACACACACACACACACACACACACACACACACGTATAACAGCACTTCTGAACCTCTTAATGCTTTCCTTGGTTATGGATGTGATTATGATTATGATATCACAGTTATGAATTGTCACTCATACTTGAGACGTCACAATCACTTTAGGATAAGCAATAAGATTGATTGTTGAATAATTAATTAATTACTGATAGAAGAGGAGAATTTGAACCTTTAAGATGAATATTCAAACTTCTGATAACAGTTCACAGCAAAATAACTTTCTTACCCGAGGGGTTTAAATGAAGACATGTGAAGCCATTTTCCTGTCAATTCATCCAATGAACAAGCATTTAATAACGACTGTATATACTGTATTTACAGATATTGTCAATAAATCCTTATATTTGAAGTAAACAGATAGTTGAAACATTAAGTGATAAATACATTTGCGAATTTTACTTTTCTTTAAACTCCGGTGAAAGAAATTGAATCTATTTTTTTTGTGTAACCATGCAAACATCTTTCGATACTTAATACTTTGATAGTATGCACAGTTTTTATATTCAGTAACAAAAGGTAAAGCAAGGAAATATACAAAAGTGTCGTATATAAAACACTTTTTAGAATAGTGTTTCAAGCAATATTTTAGACTCAACGTCACTTCATGGAAGTGTATTGCTTATCTATATTTAAGCCTCTACTAGCACCAATTCCACACTGGCGCCAAATACGACGACCGGATATATTTCAAGCTGTGAAATAGTTCGACCAAGTATAATAAGTAAGATAAAACCCCTCATCGAGCCTCTCCTCCTTTTCTCCCTTTCTCTCTCTCTCTCTCTACCTCTCTCTGGTTAATGATACGTAAAGGCCAGAATATTATGAAATAGGTTTCTTATTATCTCATGATTGGGTGGTACAACAGGAGTATTCTTTACTTAGAGAATTATTAATAAATGACAATATTGTAATAATGTTTCAATTCACCATCTATGAACGTTGCCTTGGTCATGTGAAGCCCAGGAAACTTTCTGATCTTCCGAGGGGTTTAAGATAGCTTCCTGATTTCCGGGCAATTACTTTGTTTAGTTCAAAACGCAATTAAAATACCAATTTATAATAAGCCATTTATCATGAAGAACATAAGGAAAAATGGGCTTACGGCATACATGTAGATCGTTTGACTTATCACTAAAATGGCTATAAGACCACAGTAAATCCTAAACATCACCTATCTTTGCATTTTAGTTGTAGCACTTGCAGCATCGTCGTTGATGAAGATTTTACTGTGAGGAGATTTTAACAAACGGTTAAGGTAAGCCTGGATTCATATTAATAGGGAAACGGGAAACATACTTTTCTCATCACAAGTCATTTGCAAATGAAAGAACCCCCCCCAATAAAAAAAAAAAAAAAAAAAAAAAAAAAAAAAAAAAAAAAAAAAAAAAAATTTATTCATTTACAAAATAACTTGGATACATTTTGAAGAATATTTTAAACTTTATCTCAATTTATTTAATTTCATATGAAAACTGGTGAAACTACCACAGATTTTCGGATTAATAGTTGAGTTTGAAATGGTACTGTTAGAGTGTCACATTGTAATTAATGCATCAACTTATATCTTTTTCATTAATCAAATAACTACCTTTATAACCTATTTTCGATTGCAGGTAACATTGACATAATGGATAATAGATAACCATTAAAAATACGAATGGATTAATACCCTAAAGGATATTAGGACACCAAATGTCACAACTTTCTATGACGGCTTGTAGGAATCTAAAACAAACGCTCTCTCAGTTTTTATATTGCATGGTGTGCGATGCATTTGAGATGAAGGGATATTTTTTCATAGTAACTGCATTGTCCGATGTTGCTGTGAATTGGAACCAATCTTAGATTTGTTGCTTTTTATAACAAGGTTGAGGAGTGTCCCTGTATTGCTTTGGCTAATGAACGGATTGCCTGTTAAAGATGCTAGTTTTTAGAGAAAACTTTCGCAATTGTCAGCTAGATATGGCAAACATGTATGTTCCAGTTTGATGCACATATTACGTACATAATCAACATGTGAAGATAAAGGATTTAAAATAACAATTAGATGTATGACAAGAGCACAAGTGTCTTTTTAATAAGACTTTGTGTGTCACCAGATATGTGTATAAACATTTGTTGATGAATACAACCAATTTTGTAAGAATGACTTATGCCTCCATGTAATTATTTGACATTTATTTCGGAAGGCAATAAATTACATAATCTGTGAAATTCTGAAATTGGTGATAGGGGACTGTCGAAAAGACGAGAAAAATGTCTCCATTTAGACACTTTATTTTATTGTATGGAAATTGCAAAAGAAAAAAGGGTAGTTTTTTGTCTAAAGACACTTTGAAATGAGCATGTTTATTGTTTAAATTTAGAAAAAATATATACATCATGTTCGTAATAGCAAACCAATTAAAAATAAAATTGCACATATCCTTTATTTTAAAACAATTGAGTCTGAGGACAATTTTAAAAAATAATTAAAAACTGATATCCTCAAAAAGTTTTATAATTGATTTGACTGGCTGTTATCTTTTACACTGTACAGTTTATTTTTTTATATCTTATCAATTCAATTACATTTTAGTTCAACTCTTTAGTTTATATCTTATTATTTTAACTACCTTTTCATTTATTTTAGTCATCTGATTCTGTTCATTTTACCCATGTAAAGTTTACTGAACATATTATATTGATTTTAGACTACACATAAATATTATTATTATTATTATTATTATTATTATTATTATTATTATTAGCTTCAACAACTGTTTTTTATATTATATTGACGCCTTTAGTTCCAGAAACCAAACAATGTAATAGAAACACAAAGGTCTGTTGGGGAGAACAAAAGGAAATTCAGCCTCAATTCAAATGGGCAATCTAGATCTGTGTGATTATATGTAAAAAACTTTTTAATATGATCCCATGAAAATTAAAAATAACAATAACAAATATTATCATTATCGAATATATAAATTACAAGATATTCGGAGGTGAAATTTGTCAGTGTGAGATTGTTTGTGTCTGTGTGTCTCTGTGTATGTGGCGCTATGATGGATTTTTTACATTCCATGACTTGTATTGCGTTTGTACATTATGAAGAAATACCTAAAACAGAAGAAAATGTTACTACTGTGACTATGCGTTGCTTCAATATCACTGTAAGAAACTGTCTTAGATTCGTTCTTGTTATATAATGGCACTGGAAAAAAGCTGTAGTATTACTAAATTTGTTCAAACGGAGAATTGATATCTGAAGACATAAGTCATTGGCTGATGCTTTGGTTGTTAGCGTTTTACCTTATTTTTCTTTTGTATTTTGATTATCCATATATGTATTAAGAGTAAATGGATGTTGCAGATTTGACGACAATTGTATTTTTAGATATTTAGGGTGATGAAAAGCTAAATGATCTAAATCTGAAGAAATTAAATCTTATATTAATTAAGTTGTCAGTTGTCTACTTGCTCCTTATATTGTGTTTTATTCGAGGGGTGGGGTAGGGTGAATGATAAGACAGAAACATTTTAAAGGTTTTGTCCTGAAACAATACTAAATTCAGACATAGTTGTATATACCCATTAAAATTCCCTAATTTATACCTTCTGTTAATAAAATCTATTGAAAGATTGTGCAAACTTTAAAGTGTTGGGTTGTTTTTATGAAATCCTCTCTAATGAAATTGTGAAAATTCTCAACCTTTTATGTTTCAATTTCTTAACACATTGAGAAAAATATAATAGTAATGGACAAACCTTACGTACAAGCAATGCCAAAGATGTTGCATGTTAATACTATACAGTCGCCTTTGCCATCAAACTGCCAACAAACCGGCAGTTGTGTTAGCTGTGATCAGTTGGCAATGTGTTTGTCGATTACCCCGGGTACCGCAGACAACGTTATCTTAAGCCTTTCTTTTGTAATGGCATAAAGTGGAATAAGATCATTCAAGCAAGGACTGCAAGCGGCTACACCATGGAAGAAGATGAAGACGTGTTGTGTTTTTGTGCTGCCCTTTGTAACTCCAAATATAATTGAAGGTAGGGAGTGAATGAGTTCTAATGTACTTCTAAGTACGTAATCTGTCTTAATAAAAATCAGCTTAAACTGTGCCTAACAAAAGGGAGGTCGCCACCCCAAATCACACTTTTACTAAATGTGTATAGCTAAGATGACAGACCAAAGTTATCCCTGTCTTAACCAAGATGGCAAATTTTAGATCAAACCCATTGAGCGAACAAAATATCTTTTAATAACCTTAAGGCATGATGATACTTGCTCAGGAACTTTTTGTCCTGATAGGGAGGGATCACGTAATCACTTTCTGATACGTATAAAAGCTGAACTGGTGATTGATACTAGGTTGATATTATGGTTGAATAGCAAGATAAATTAGCGCATTTGTGTAACAGCCCGTGCAAACTTCCTCGACTAGGTTGTTTGAAATCCATAGTTCATTTCTAGCCCTCGCAAGAAAGAACAAGAAAACCTATCAGTGGACTACACAAGTAGCTGGAACTTCAAAATACAGTACGCCACACATATCACAGTCTTTTTTGAGTGCAATGGGAAAATGTGAATTGCCTTATTCGATGAAAAGAGTATGTTGCAAATCGCTTCCCAAGTTTTTATTATATTACGACATTCCTTTTTCATATGCTACAGGTTTGGAAGTTACTTTGGTTGGTTTTCCTTCCAACTGGTCTTTCATGGATTCTGAATGTGGCATTTTATCAACAATGGGCCTTATGTTCAGTTACACAGTGGATCCCGGAGAGGTCGCGCAGAATCCTATATTACACGAATATGGATTTCAAAGGAACTGCAACTCCTCAATTACTGTTCGCGTCTACACAGGTCGGTAGTCCTAAAATTTGATTTTTCATAAAAAACATTTAAGTACCACAAATGTGCAAATGTGTCAAAAGCAAAAAAAAAAAAAAAAAAAAAAAAAAAAAAAAAAAAAAAAAAAAACTTGCGGTGTGTTTTGCTGTGCGATAAATGTTCTATAACTGTAGGTTGAGATGACTAACATATCGAAAAGGATTGATGGCATTGCTCTAATTAAACACAGAGTGGTTAATATATGCTGCAAGACAGGAAAGGTATATTTTTCACAACATGTACAAGTGCAATTGAATCAGTAATTACTTGTCGTCAGATCAGACAGAATACGCAAACTTGTTAAGTTGTATGATAACATTGTGCATATTTTATGCTTAATTTCTACATTAAACATCAGCATTGTGTCCAAGTACAACACCTGTACACTGTTTAATAGACTGAAGAAGGAGTATTCAGAATACAGATAATTTATTTCCTCCCTTCTTTCCCTTCTATAATGTGGCTCAAACCGTGCCGGTTAATCAATTTTTCTTTTTTATTGCACCTCATTTGTCTGGTGATAAAGATACTGTTTTTTTTATCATTCTGGTTGAAAATTTATATTTAATGTGTTGCTATCGATGTATATACTATACAATAGTTTTCAAAATTGAAAGTAGGTAAAACGGGAATGAATACCTGTATATGTGTTGTATTACAGGTGCTGCTTGGAGGACATTTTCGATCATTGTGACCTTGCTAGCAACGTGTCTTTTATGCATGAATGGATACCTTGTATTCTGCAATCGGTCGTTGTCCAGGAAACTCAAATCACAAACATCTGAACATCATCATATTACAAAAAATGCAGGCAGCAAACGGAAACAACGGCAGAACTGTTTTTGACCGAATTCCTAGACCACCCGCAGTAGATCCATCTCCTGACTTTAGTGGCGGTTATGTGGTTTATGATCATGCTGTGCCGACGACTGGGTACAATAATCTTCGGCACAATAATCGGGATAACCGTTTAGCTGAACCGCATACTGAACTTGCAGGGAACATCTTGCCGGTGACTGCAGCTGATGGCTCTGTTGCCTATAATTACATTACACTTAATGATGATATCCAGGTCCAGTTTAGCCAACTCAGTGCTCATGATGAGTGTATCATATATTGATATGCCATTAGCAAAATTGTAACACCGTAATAATAGGCAAACATTCAGTTGCGTAGAATACGCGATAATGCGGACATCTAGCAAATATGACGGATTTTGCAGACCCTTTGCAATTAATAACTTCCAAATATAGATGTAAATGTAAATATAAAGATTCGCAATCTACACAGTCGAATTACTTTAATAATATACTGTCCTTATCTATAACATTGTGTCGACCTTACCGGTATCTGCTCTTTGGAGGGAGTATGGAAGTTTAAAAAACACGAAGCTTTACAAGGGCATTTTATATAACGTAGTAAAATGTGAATATTTGTACTTAATATTTATAATTACAGCATGTACTTTCATTAATCAAAAACTTAAAGGTTTGATATTGTTTAACCCACATTTGGATGTCTGTCAGTTTGCATACTTAAATGCTAACTTACTTGACTGCCACTAAGGGAAATATTGTGTCAGTTGTTATTTAGATTCTTTCTCAATTACCTTTTATAATCAAGTGGTTTTTATTACATTGACGTTTTATTACCCTGAGTGTCAGAGCAACGCAAAAGCTAGTATACCTTGTGATGGAGTCGCTTTTACTGGTATTGCGATACGGGTTATATATGAAATCAAGATCGAGCTGGCAATACCGGAATCTAGAACCTAGGGTACGTTTTATGCTCTTAAACGATCATTTAAGAATCACCGTTATATAGTATAACATAGGTAATTGGAAAATATTTTAGCATATCTTTTATTTGTGATTTTTAAGATATCTGTTTTAAACATGCGTGCGTTTGTGTTAGCGGGTGTAGGGGTGCATGTTGCATTTTCACATTTTGATAAGACACCTTGAAGTCAAGGTTACCTATTATCACTGTGACTATGTGTTAAGATATCACTGATATCACAAGAACCGCCTTAGATTAGCTGTATTTTCTTATGGTATTACTTTGTTAAAAAAAATTGATTTTAAAACTGATTAGTCAATTACAAGTTTTTAGGATTGCCAGCTTGTTGCCTTCCCTTTTTTCCCAATAAAAGTTGAATTATAAGGCGATTAAATAACATGGCGTTATTTACTTACATGTGTAAACTTAGCGAACTATTTATGAAGTATTCAGTTATATGATATTCTACAGTTCGAGGCCACAAAACGCGACCTCAATGAGTGAACTTCCACTTTATAATATAAACCAATTGCATTAAATTACATTATATCACATTACATCACATTGTGAAAGTGAACACTGGAATTAACATGTGGTCCCCAAAGATATTTTCGACAGAATTCCCATGCCATGGCTTATGCGAGGTGCGCGTACTGTGGGCCACAGGCAGTAATATTGGAAAGATACTGCTTATCGGCTCTTTCCTAACACCTTACTCGTCCATCACTTCTGACAACGCTGAACCTGGTTTCAGCTGAGAACAGTATCATTGCCCAATCGTAGGCTGGGGTCTCTGAGTGGTTCTTATGGAAAAGCCCAACCGCCTGGCGGATCAAAACTAGCTCCTATGTCAGCCGCTTGGTAAAAATGTATCCCTCTAAATTACGAGCCACATTAAAAAATTATCGGTGTTGGGTCTCAGTGGTCACTCTAGGTAGGCCAATGTCCCATCACCCACACTTCTATTTTACATTATGGTAGAATGTCTAGTTTTTACGCAATATTTAAATTGGCGACTGCTGGGCAACCTGGAGTGCTGAAATGTTTAGTCTCGAGTTCTGTTACTTCTACCATTAGTTTTTAGTGAAAAGAGGAGAATAAAAATATTGAGGCTTCTTTGTGACTTAAGATGCAGTTGTGCTAAAATGCACTGTAAATATAGATAAGTTTAATACACTTAGCATCCAGTTTCGGGCTTAGTTTCTGAAAGCACATTTATTAAAAATTGTGAATGTTCTGTTTTTTTTCTTTGTATTATAAATAAATGTTTCAATATTTGCACTTCCTTAACTTATTTTGGAAAATAGCACAGCAATGATTTACACTTTATAAATAAATAAAAAAAAAAACAATGATGCTGCACTTTATACAGCAACACGCTTTGTACCGACGGTTAATTGTACCACCAGCGTTAGCGCTGGCGGTACACATGGTTTTAGTCCCGTCCGGATCGTTCCGCCGGCTCTGCCGGCTCCGCCGGACGGCTACCGTTACCGCTTCTCCTCCTAGACGGTAAGGGCCCCCGTACCCATCTCTTGGATTTAGGTCACCTATAATCTCAACTNGTTGTGCTGCGGAGGATGTTATTTTTACCTCTCATTACAACAGTGACTGCGGCTTATTAAGGTACATTCGACGAGAGACAACACAAAGGAAGAAGATGAAGACGTGGTGTCTTTATGTGCTGATCTGTGTAGCTCCATATACAACTAAAGGTAGGAAGTAAACGTGTTGCAATGTACGCTGCTTCAAAGTATGTGAGTCATCTAAAAATTATTTCAGCTTATCCTTGGTCATAGATACCGGGGTATGCGTCCTCCTCAAACCCCCGTCTCAATTTATCAACAGAATGATATTTTCCTCATCAAAAGAAAAAAAAAAGAACATAATAACTCTTTTCATTATTACCCTGCAAGGGATATAAAGTAAATAAAAAGCTTCATTTTGGCAGGGACGGATTCCATCATTACTTCCTGGTATAAATGCTAAGCAGTCGATTGAATAAAGATGGATGTCATTGCAGAAATTAAGATTAACAGTCATGACCTCATTTTACTGGTGAAACCTTGATAAAGTTCCTAAACCACCCCGGTAAAATAACAACGGTTTTATATCCGTCTCCGTTCAAACAAGAAAACAAATGCACATAACTAGCATTTAAAGATTCAAACAAATCGCCACAGGCTTGAATGCTTCCCACGATAACATAAATATCTCTATTCTTTTTTTGATAATATAGGTGGAGAAGCTACATTTGTCATTTAAATGAAAGATGTATCCTGTTTTAGGGTTAGAAGTAACATTAGCTGGTTTGCCTGTCAATGGGTATGTCCTGAATCCTGAGGGCGGCAACCCACAACCATTAGAACTTGTGTGCAGTTACACAGTGGATCCCGGAGAGACGGCGGAGTATGTTATATTCTACAAAGATGGAACTGACATAACAAACCAAATAGTAGTAATAAGGGTATCTACCGGAGCTCCCAGGAAACTCCACAGCTATGAAACTAGAGCTGATGTGACGGCCACAGCCTCTGATCCATCATACACGTTAACAATCGGTGGAGTCACCATGGCAGATGAGGGGAGCTATAGATGTCGTGTTAGCACTGAATACAATAGAGCCGTCGTGACAACTGACGAGCAAATCCTTAGTTTACTTTGTAAGTAAATCACTGAAGTATAAGCATGTTTAATTTCTGTCCATAGAGAGAAAGTATTGAAAGTTGATCATAATTTAGAAGAAAGAGAGGAAGTCATTACTACTTAAGTAGGAATGGACCAACATCCTAAAATTATATTAATATAGAGTTTACCCTTAGAGGGTGTACATTAGACCTTGATTACCTGCGCCTCCCACTAGGTGTTATCACTTCTATTTCACCAGTAATCATATGCAGGTGTAAATTGTATGAATGGGCCATCTTAAAGACTCATACGAAATGTCGGCATGACTCTCATACTTCTTGAATGTTTTAAGTGCACCGTCTGTTGTATTATGTTTAAGTTACATACATGTATGTAACAAGCGTACGTATGTTCCCTATAACGCATATTAACAATTTCGACTAGTTTCTTATATGATTCAAAGAGAGTCGACATGACAAAGGATAAACTTAATCACTTGGTCAGCCAAAGAAAAACTTTATAACTGCACCTTCTAAAATATTCTGGTCGTAAACTTACTCTGTTTATCCGTGACTCCGGTTCGTAAAAGTCCACCAAATAAAGTAATAATGTGTAGCGCATTATTTTTGCACAAACAATTACATTAATATTCAAATGATTATTGATGGAAACAACAAAGGGTTATATATACTGTAGCATAAATAGAAAGTAGAACCTACTTCCTTAAATATCATATTCTGAATGTATTCGACGAAAACATTTGTTATATCTATGTTTTTGAAACCATATGATTTCATTTGGTTTGGTTAAGTGGCAAAGATTTGATTTCATATGTAATTTAAAATTTTACTACTTTGTAGATCGACCAAACCCACCCCAGATTACACGAGGACCTGAAGTCGCTACGGGCACCTACCGGGTATCTTGTTCCTCTGATGGCGGCAGACCAGCACCTGAGATAAAATGGTTTAAAATGCAAAGTTCTGATCAGATGGAGGTCGCGATAAATGCAACAGCGAACACGGTGACACCCCAGGGAGATTCCTTTCTGGTGGAAAGTGAAGTAGAAGTGATGGCAAACCATGCAGATCCAGCTCAAGTAATTTGCCAACTACTGCACGATTCACTGACAAGTCAAACCAAGACAAGTGTTATAGTGCCTGAAAGTGCTGGTATGTATATTTGGTTTGTGTATTTTACTCGGATTGGTAGTTTGTTCATTTCATTTCACTTGCGGACCAAAATAAGGTACTGGAAAAGCCTTAACTTTACCGCAAAGAGCTTATATCTTTGTTTGTAACATACTCTGTAAAACATTTTCAACACTATTCCTGTGCGTGCTCGTTTTACTGCTTATCTGAATCATTCTTCTTGGCTCTTGGATGTACATGAGGTACAATTATTATCACGTATCTTAAGAAGTGACTGAATATCTTTTTTAGCTCCTTCAACTACCACTACTATGAAATCAACTAATGATGCAGGTAGGTACAATTTATGATGCATTTATTTTTCTTAATTGCTTCATTTTAAAACTATTTTTCCTGATAAAAAAGAATGGGCGTATTAAGTCCCCCATTCATTTCTCATGCCTTATCCGGTTTTACCTATTTACATGGAATGCACATCCGTACATTTATTAAATGTTTATCTACTTGGGGCGTAGAATTAAAAGTAAAATAAAATGTACAGTTTTGAAATAATCCAAAGTCTTATTCTTACGTTAAGAACTATATAAAAACCCCTGAAATATAAGTGCCTGACGTCGGTTGTTATTTTTGAAATATACAAGATGACATAGCTTTCTAAATAACTGGTGAGTAAACGCCGAATAGAGTGCCTTAAACATTAAGTTTTAAATGTAAATATCCTTCAAAAAGTGAACCAAAAAGCCTTGCAACTCTTAAAAGTTGGCAATATTTAAAATAATATAGTCACATTGATCTATGAGAGTTCCAATACCAAAAATATACTCCAACACTCACTCGTTCGTGTTTTATTTTATTGCTCCACATTTCTGCATTATTTTCCTTTGCAAGGGGATCGACAAGCCCCCAATGATGCAAGGATTATAATTAGTTTTCTCTCGGCAAGTAGTCGATTGAATAATAAGTGCCTCTTTATGTTTTTTCAGCTCTCTCAGCTAACAAACCTGCAAAATCTACAGGAGGTAGGTGCAGTTCGGAGTAAATTGTTTTCGTTTGCTTCAAAATATGATAAAAACTTTTCAAGCCAACCATAAAGTACTCGTTAGTTTAAGTCATCTGGCATAGCCAATTGGAAGATCATACAGGTTTACATTCCACCACAACCTTTCCAGCTGTAATGCAAACAATCTTAGTCAGTTTAGGTGACGCTAATTATTTTTCAGGGAATATACTTGGTTACATATTAATTTATTCATTTATAGTCTGTTTTGTATTTCTCTTATATCACATTTGCAGTGTCTCCAACTACAACAACATGTAATTAAACCAAGAGCACTGCGGAACACAAACTGAGGTGTACAGTACTCAGTACCTGTTGGTTGAAGGGGTGGGCGGGGTGGGGGCTTTGGTAACCGACCGTGAACTTCTACTTGATAATCTTCTTTGTACTGGGACACTCTCATACGGTTAACCATGCTTCGGTATCATAAACGTGAACGTGGCACATCATAAGACATTCCGGGTTGATATTTTACAGTGGTGCTACCAATGTGTATATTATGTTACTCGATAATCTACTCGATAATCTGTATTCATCACCCTCTTTTCTTGGTACTGGGACACTCTCATCCGACTAACTATGCTTCTGTGCCATCCTTATAAATTAAATGTGAACGTTGTAGATCATTAGACATTCCGGGTGAATATTTTAGTGTGGTCGTACCACTGGGTATATTATGTTTCAGTTAACAAAAATCAGAAAGGATTATACTTGGCAACCCATTTAAATTATATTTTTTGTATTACAGGCATTGATGGAAGAACAGTATCAATCATTGTGATATCGTTGTTAGCAATGTGCCTTTTTTGCATAATTGCATACCTTGTATTCCGCATTCGGTCATTGTCCAGGAGACTCAAATCACAAGCTTCTGAACAGCAACATGTCAGTGTTATTACAAACAATGTAACAGAACACTCAAACAACGTTAACAGTCCATTCAGTATCCAAGTATCTATGAACCACGCGACAGATCATTCCTCTGGTTTTGATGGGGTTCATGTTGACTATGACGATACTGCATTGGCGAATAGTTACGAAGAACTTCGGCGGGATAATTATTCAGATGGGCAATATATGGAACTTGGAGAGAACCTGTTGCCGTCTACCGCCACAAATGGTATTGGTGACTACAATTACATTTAACTTTCCAAGGATGATCTCAAGACTAGTCAATTCAACGGTGGCCCAGATGAGTGATTGTATTGTATAATATACCTAAGGGTAAAAATATTAAGCCCTTAAATAATAGGAAATTATCATGAAAATTGCAGATTTAACGATCTTGAACTCCACATTTTGTGGCAGTACAATAGTTGAAGATTTTTCGTTATAGTCTCTTAACATGTACTTGGTTCGTAATTAAAAACATCCACAATGTTCAATGTATAACAAAATGACTTGACGATGTAAATTTACATGCATATGTCATACAATCATCAAAGTGTTATGCTTCTTGCATACAAGTATATGACGCAGCCAAAACATTTTATAGTAAATGATTCCGATTTTAAGTTTTTTCACACTGTACAGTATTGAATTATGATAACATGCTAGTTTGGTGTCGCAAGCTACGACTAAACTGTTAGAGGAGAACATCTGTGATTTTAGGCATTAATAAAATCAATTAATTGTTGAAAACTTGTTGGTATTGGCTGTAATAGTTTTGTTACATTCCAAGAATGTGTTGCATTTTCACATTACTTAGGACGCTTCAAGGAATTTGTTTTCACTGTGACAATGTGTTGATTATTACTTTGCTTAAATGAGGAATTGATTCCTAGACATATAAAGCATCATTTATTGCTTTTAGCGTCTTCGACCTGTTGCCTAAACTTTTGGGTTTTATAGGAATTGTCGCTAGCTTAATCAATTGTAAGTAAGTATTGCAGTGAGGAATAAACATGTCGAACGGTGAATGTGATAAATTAATACATATAAGCATTTTTCACCTAAAAGCTAGATTGCTTTGTTTTCATGGATGCCAAGAAACAGTTCGTTTATATGTTAACAGATGTTTTTATCTGGATGTAACATGGGTAATTTTATTTTACGTATAGACATACATGTATTATAAAGGTGTTCTGTGATTTAATTTTAACATTTGAATAAATTATATTTTTATTAATCCCATTTATTGTACACAACACTGATTTTCTTCATTACAATTTGTGCGTCACAAGTTTTTATGTGCGTATTTGTTGTTAAATAAAACCCTTTTGATAACATCCACGTCCATGCAATCATTTGGCAGTCACTATGTGCGACAATGAACTCCAGACTCAAAATGACATAAAATGTCCCTTGATAAAATCGATATATGCTTTACAGTGTAGAAATAGCACAACAAAATACAGTGTATCACCAAGGCCCCCATCAGTGAATGCATGCTTTCTGCGACTCTCTACGACCAAAGATGTAGCCTGCAGGACGCTCAGTGGTCGCCAATGTAAGAAAACCGTGTCCGTGTAAATGTGTCTGTTACACTTTTGTGTGTTTTCAACGACCAAGGCTGGATTTCATGTCCAATTGCCAGCGACCTGAATGACTTTCATGCCTCCCATGTGAGTCCACTGTGCAGCCTACAACGTCCATTGCGATATTTGAGCATCCATTGAGCAACCAGGTTGTGATTTCTGTACCTTCATCAGCGATCAGTGGCGACCATTCTACGATCTTTCTACGATATTATGCTAGACCGATGACCGTTGTTTGGGCGTCCTTTGGCGACTGCTGTGCGACCGGAAGTGCTTTTCATTCACGGGCTCTGCTACTTCTATCATTAGTTTTTAGTACCTTGCGAAAATATAAAAATTAGTGTTTTACAAAGGTTGCATTTTAACAGAATTGACTTTAAATGCAGTTGTGCTAAAACGCACTGTAAATACACAAAAGTTTTTTACGCTTAGCATACAGTGTTGGACTTAGTTTTATGAATGCACCATGCCAAGAAATTGTGAATATTCTGGGTATTTTTTTTTTTGCGATGTGTTAATAATATTTGCACTTTCTTAACATATTTCGTAAAATAGCGCAGCAATGATCAACCCTTCACAACTAAGAAATCCCATGATGCTGTAATTTATACAGCATCACTTTCTGTACCGACAGTTAATTGTGTTAGTTGCACTGTGGTGCCATTTTGCGTATAGGGTAGCAGTGGGGACATTATTTTAAACTCTCAATAGAAAAGTGACTGCAGCTTATTGATGTATGAACAACGAAAGGTAACACAAAGAGGGATCATGAAGGAGTGGTGTCTTTATGTGCTGCTCTGTGCAGCTCCATATTCAACTAAAGGTAGGAAGTAAAAGTGATGCTCTTTACGGTGCTTCAAAGTATGTTAGCCATACTAAAATAGTTCAGCTTGTCCTAGGCCGAGACAATAGATACCGGGGGATGCGTCCTACTCAAATCCCACGACTTGATGTATCAACAGAATGGTACATTCTTCATCGAAACAAAAATTGAACTTAATGACTCGTTTTCTAATTACCCTGTAAGAGTTATGAATTAAAAAAAGCTGCATTTTGGCAGGGAGGGGTCCCATAATTACTTATTGGTATAAATCGATTGAGTTAAGATGGAGTTCATTGCAGAAAATAACATAAACAGACATGACCTCATTTTACTGGTCTGATATTGATCAAGTTTCTAAACTATAGTGATATCAGATCAATACCTGCCTCCGTTCAAACAAGAACACAAACGCAAAGAAAACGCATTTTATGAACAAAATGAAGACTCTAGGCACAGTTGGGAATGATACACCGTGATTTTTGTCAATCGTCACAGGCTACACACTGCCCAAGAATGCATTTATATCTCGATTCTTTCCTTTTCCTGTTACCCTTGTTTGGGGTAAGAAGTAACATTAGCTGGCTTGCCTTCCAAGTGGTTACGTCATGAACCCTGAGGGAGGTACCCCACAACCATTAAACCTTGTGTGTAGTTACACCTACAAGGGGTTTCTGAAAGAAAATCAGACGCACCTCTTTGTAGAACTCATGCACAGCCCCTATTAACCGCTGGGGTTTATCTGATATGCGCCCAGGTAACAGAGAAAATTAAGAAACTGAAAATGATATTTCATCCCCGTTGTAATAGAAAGAATAATTATCTATATTAAACGTGTACTCCACAGCCAGGGTTGTATTGACTTTCTGAAAAAACGCCTTATGAAATTATGAATACTATGTTTTTTATTTATTGTGTTTCAATATTATTTGCCTTTTCTTATCATATTTCGGAAAACAGAATAGCATTGATCAGACTTAAGTACAGAAATTAACCGATGTTGTAATTTTTCTAGCATAACGTTATGTATACCACAGGTTAATTGTATTAGGTTCAACTTTGTTGATTATCAGGCAGCAACGGATATGTTATTTTTATCTCCCAATAAAAAACCCAGGAAGTACCTGGACGGACGTAGTGTATATTTGTGTTGCTTTTTGTAACTCTATATTCATCTGATGGTAGGAACTAAATGTGCCTTTCTGTCCTTTGAAATAATTTAATGACTTGAAGATTTGTCGGCTTAGACTAATGCATAGACAACTAGGAGATCACCTCCATAGACCCATTAAGTGACGCAGCTTTTCAAAAGGTAAAGAACAAAAGCGACTTCATATGTCATTTCTAACCAAGATGATAAAAAATCTACGTCAACGACAGAAAAAAGTCTGTAACTCTCCAAATAATAAACCCGTAAAATGAGAAGGATCGCAAAAACATTTCCTGCATTGTTGGGGTACTTAGCCCCCCCTCCCTTAAAAGTCGAAAGCAAGAAAATTTAAATCTTATGTTGTTTATACTGCGCACGTTAAACGCCACTATCTGTATACATGCAGATATCAACATTCAATTAGTAATTATTACTTTTGCCGACGAGTGCACTGTTAAAACTAACCAGCTACTCCAAAGCTTTGAAATAATAATGCATTGAATGACAAACTATCAGCTGAACAACAAGGTATATCATAAACGATCCATATAGCGCTAAGCAATATATAAGTCGACCTCCAAGGTCTATCACTCATATAAAGAGGCACCACACCTTCTTTATACTTATTTAGATATAAAAGATGCACAAATATAAAAATGACAGCAGAGGAAGTCATAATAGTCATAATAATGAAGGCCGTCAAATTATGTCAACTAATGTTACTTTTTCAGTTTGGGGAAAGCTTATTTGAATTTTCAAATCAGAAATTGGTCTTCATAAAATTTCTGTTTGCCTGAGTTTAGCCATTGATGTATCTGCTATAGTACTACCCACTTTAGTGAAATATTGTGCTGTTTCGATAAGACAAAGGACACTGACAATGTTTTAGATGGGTTCCTACTTTATTTTCGCGAATTATGTCGGCTTTGCTATAAAATGAAGTGGACAAAAAATTACAGTCTTAATTTAAAGAGACGATTTTTAACCTTTTAAAAGTTGTATCGTGATACTTGCTCCTGACAGGGGAAAGCTTATTGTTATTGGAGACGTGATCTCAAAAAATTGATATGTCCTTTTTGTTATGGACCTGTTCACATAAAGCTGATTTAAGACAAAATACAGACTTGACATTTAATATAGAATATTTCAGTTTTAAAGGTATACCTAGGTAAAAATGCGTTTTTCAACAAATTCAGATCTCATATAAACATCTGACTGGAGAAGTGTGAAGTCAGGTGTGTCGCTGCCAATTAACTGAATACCAAGTCTGTTGCTCTGTTGCCTTGTGTAATATGCAGTGATTTAATTGGGCAGTGCTCCTTTGGGCTGGTCAAAGCTTGGCTTTGGCGAAGCATGGTTCTGTCAAAAAAGTATCCATATATCGGCAACTACTGCATAGAAGAATTCGAAATTTTGTATGCAAGCGGTCGGTTTTGCAGTGCGCAAAATGAGTTAAGCAGTGTTTTATAAAATTGTTAAGCTGTGCCAGAATGGCGCGAAAAGCACAGACATTGCCAGACAGATTATTGTGGCAAAGGGAATGGTCTATACTGTTTTATAGAGTAATGCCCAGACTGATGTACCTACACAGAGACCACGCCCAATGCATTGACGTCTTACCACCAGGGTACAGGACTCACTGTCCTTCAGGATATGCTGCTGCAATTAAACCAAAACAACCCAGTCCGTTTTGAATAAGGGACAAATTGTCACCAAAACGCGTTTTTCAAGGCTCTTAGCGAGCACCAAATTGGTTTCAGCAGGTTAAGATACCAGATGATCTCTGAGAAAGCCACTGTAAACAGCAAAGCAGCGTAGTATGTTCCTCTAATGAATTGGGGACCATGTCCGTTTCTGGGTAGAACACTGAAACCGCGTGGCTTTCTTTATTGGAGTCAAACTTCACCTGTACCGTTAAACTGGTCAAAACAGAGTTTACAGACATCCCGAAGAGGCCTACGACGAAACGTGTGTCACTTCTTAAGTGACCAGGGTCATTGACAGTGTCAGTATTTGGAGCGGATACCACATTGGTGCCAAAACAACAATGGTAGTCATCGATGAAAACCTGAACCAGATCAAATAAAGGAATAATCTGGGAACCACTTGACTATCATTTGATAGGGGGCACCTTAGGAACAATTTTAGGTTGCACGATGAGATTGCCGGTTCACACAGAGCACTTTAATAGCAAAAAACTTACAGAACCAGGGGAATGAGTAGCTACCTTGGTCATCAAAATCGCCCTAATTGAACCACATAGACAATTTGTCGGTAGGTCATTACTCGCCGTATCAACGGCCTGTATGTCCTACAACAAAACTGAGACAAATTGGACAAGTTTTAACCGTTGCCTGGAATTTTATGTCAGATTAAACTCTAAAAACCTATCATAAGGAATACCTTGCGGTTTGAAAACCTCTGGTAGCAGCAAGATGAGGTCAAGCGTAACAGCGACTGTTGCTGTGACTAGACACTGACATGGGGGGCCCTTGTGGGACGTGTAACTCTTTTAAAGACAATAATTAGGAAAATATGGGGATCCAAAATATCGCTTTCAATGGTTTTCGTATGACTTAAAATAGGCAATGTATTTTGTATGCTTCACTGGCGAATTCAGTTAATGAACTGATGTCACATTTACATCGAATAGATTATCAAAAGTTATTAAAACACGATTTTAATCCTTATTTTCATTTATTAGTAAGCAAAATAGGAAAAAAACTGATGAATTTTGATTTGGAAAAAATATTCCATATTAAATGTCAAGTCTGTATATAAGAGATGCTACCGGATCAATGCTGGAGGCCCAGACTGTGTTTTAGATGGTGAAACACCATAGATAATTGAAAATTACCCTTCCCCAGTAGACAACCCACTGTACTAGTATATGTACTGATTTTATTACAATTAAAGCTTACTGCTCTACTGTAACTGATTCTTAAGCATGGTCTGAAGATAACGATATCCACTGCTGTGTCGTTCAAAACCATCATGTGCCGTAGTGTCAAGCGTGAATAATAGCGGCCCCTTTCTGTTTTTCCGTAGAATGTATCTCTTACTTGTTACTAAAACCAAAGAACTAAAGAGAAATTAAGAATGCCGGAAATCTTATTAAAGTGGATCCGAGTGGTGCATTCCTTTTTTATTGTCGTTTTTTTTTGTCAAAAAAGCCAAGAAACCGAATAAACCATGTTGTGTATAACGTTATTGAAAGACCAGACATTTTATTGTTTGCATTGGATGAGCTAAACTCTGGCCTTCAATTACATCCAGTTACATTCTTACTGCAGACTATCTGAGGCAAATCAATGGAAAAACAACTAAAACCTAGGGCCACAGGGCATTTTCAATTGCAGCACCCATTTTATGGAATGAACTACCCTCATACATTCGGACTATTGACAGTGTTGAGGTTTTTAAAAAAGAATTGAAAACATTCTTATTTTCACAGTACTTCAACTACAATACAATACTTGAAATTATATATTTTCTCATTTTATCAGAAAAGGTTTTATTGATAAGACTATTACTATTACAACCAGCATTAATCATTTCAGTTGTTTAACTCACCTTAGCTTTTCTTATTTATACAATTACTTTGTAATTCTGATTTTTTTATTTGTGAACAGCACTGAGACGGTAGTGCATTGCGTTTTTTAAGAAATCATTATTATCATTATTAAGAGTAAGTAACATTTGAATGGACATTTTTTGGACTTTAGGTTTGACAGTGACTTTGTCTGGAGTGAATCCCAATGGATACCTTATGAACCAAGCCGCTGCGGCTCCGTCGGCTGAACTTGTATGTAGTTACGACCTAGGCTCCGACACGCAGCCTGCAGAATATGTGACATTTTACAAAGATGGTGCCGACACTGCTCATCAAATAGCAGTAGTTAAAGTAGCAGATGGAGCTTCTGCGAAACAGAACAGTTACCAGGGTAGATCCGATGTCGAAGTTAATGCCAATGACCCACAATATACTCTCAGAATAGCCTCTCTGCAGTATTCTGACGAAGGAAATTATACCTGTAAAGTTGTCCTGAACTTCCAACAGAATACTGTGACGTCATCGCCACAGAACCTTATAGTTTTTGGTAAGTGGCCATTAATGAATGCATTACACTTATGCCCATAGTTTACATTAATGCGCGTATTTTTTAAATTAAATATATTTGAACAAATGCACCAGTTTTGAATACTTGTCCGTGTGTAAAATATTGGACTATTTTATGTTAGAGAGAAACAGTTTTAAAATGTCTCGAAGTTCAATAAATGTCTACTTTCTGTAGCGGACCACGAATAAAAACGAAGAAACATCGTTGGGTACACTGTAAAAACAGTGTTTAGCATTTAAATACATACAACACACGTTAGGCACCTATACGCATTTAGAAATCTGTGTAAATGCTAAACGCGTATAGCTTTTCAAACGTTTCACAGAAGAAAAAGCTAGACACGTTGGCATTGTTACACGTTTAGCTATGTGTTTAGCTTCACCGGCATATGATTCTATAACAAGTCTATCACAAGCTAAGCACATTGGCTAAGCACTTCCCCTGCTAAGCGCGTGAGGCTGCTAAACATATGGAGCTGCTATAGGTGTGGAATTCCTTAACGCGTGGAGCTGCTAAACAACATGTTTAGCTTTTCAAGCTCGTCACAGAAAAAGATGCTTCACAATCCCATATATACGATCCCATAACAAGTTTATTACAAGACTCAACAATTTTGCTTAACACTTCCCCTTGTAAACGTATGGGGCTGTTGGAGGCGAGAAGCAGCCTGCTCGAACGCGTTGTGTCCTTCCTTGCAGTAACGTGTGATTATTTAAAATAGGCCTATTAAGTAATAATCCAAATAACAAATAACGTTTTCACGACGTTATCAGCTGGTTACATGATGGTGATGGTATAGAATAACGCCATGGTAACGTTATGGGTGTTTTTAACTCCATGCAAAATGATGCCCTTGCAGTTTTATAAGCGTTTTATAACATTCTGGAAAAACATATTTAATGTTTTGAAAACTTTTTTTTATTAATCACCAAAACACGTTATGCTGTATGAACTACAGTTAGCGGTAAATTCCAAAATGGGCTTGGGTTAGTCGGCGACTAGAGCGGTCCGATTTGAAAAATATTCGGACTATCGTTACCAAAGTAACCAGCATGTGATGAAAGCTTAAATAAACCATTATAATGAATACCCCACCATCATCCTGATGTTCTATTGTTCATTACTTTCGGAAAAAAGAAATGAACATCAATACCTTAATGCATTTTATCAAAATATGAAAAAAAATGTTTTAAAGTAAAAGTGATAGTTGTTTTGTGTCTTTAGTAAACTAGTGAATTTTCCTAACTTGGTTTTCAGAAATATATTCCAATTAACTTCCTCGCAAGGTCAGCTAACACAAGGATGAATAAGTCCCGCTGTAAAGATGATGTGTGAATCAACTATGTTGACAGTTCACGGTACCATGTTATAGATAGAGATAGCTATAGCAGTCAAAGGTGACCGTGACTTCGCGCGCGCGCGCGCGTGTGAGAGAGTGACTGAAACAGTTGAAAACGTTACAACCTTAAAGTTAAACAAATACACCCTACAAGCACGTCAAAGCGTGTAACATGTTAATAGGCTAAACGTGCTTTGGTGCTAAACGCGTGGAAAAAATGAGACAAAACAGGCGCTTAGAAATGTGTCTCAGAGCTAAACACTGTTTTTACAGTGTATGACTACCGTTTATTCACGCAATATGAACTGTTCACAGCCGAATTCAACTGAACTGAACTGAATTGAACAGAACAGAAACTGGTGAAAACTTTAAAAAGAAAATAAAATAATAATATTGACAATACAGTGAAATATCGAGATAAATAAACTTAATATACTAAATAACTTCATTTGTGTGATCTTATAAAAAATCTTTACATACGTGTAACTTTGTTTAACTAATTGTTTAATTTCAAACACTTACACTAAAACTATATCCATATTTGTTTTCCCCTGCAAACTGGCGGCCCAGAGACGGTCATGACAATCTGAACTGTTACTGTGATTTATTAAAGCTTCAGAATACATGTACGTGTTGTTCATAAAAATGCCACGCCCATACCACCATACACTTTAATAAACACAATGTCCATAGCCTAAATTACTGATTATAATTATGAAAAACATGTAAACTTATGTATATTACACAAAATACTTCTATATAAAAAGAAATCTAAATTACATTATATTATTTCCATAAATTTTAACCAAGCTACATGCAATATGAAACCATACCTGCTCTCTGCCCGTAATATAAATACAACATTGGTCAAAAAGGTTGTCCCACCCCCAGTTTAATGTGCTTTTACTTATAAATGGTCACATCACAGGAGTTAATTGCTATGAATGGTGATTTTCATTACAGATACCATAACTAACATGATTAGTGGTACAGAAAATACAAACTAGCCGTTAAGATATCCATATTTAATACCATTTACTCACATTTATTACATGTATTCCCCAAATCCGATGTTCCGCTGTAATTTCCACGGAGGTAAAGAAATGTCCATTAAATTGAAATGACACCTCCAAATGTCACCAAATTTACACACATTAAGCATTAGGGCGTGCTCGTTAAAGGCTACTTGTCTAATAGCGTTTGTGTTTACCGCGTACTGTTATTACCTCCTGTAGGTGGCGCGGCCTGCCTTCAACAAGGGTAACAATTCTGTTTTATGGGATATTGTCCCATTCTTTATAAAAGAGCTTGGGGAGCAGATCCAGATAATTAGGGGTTTGGTTCTCCTTTGCATTGCTCACTTCAATTCATGCCACAGATGTTTAGTAAGGTTAATAACAGGGCTCAAAGATGGTTTCTCTATCCTAAATGTTCATCAGTCAGGCCTGTAGCCAGCAATTTAAAAGGGGGGTTCTTTTTCTAAAAAAGTGGACCTTTTACCATATAATCCCCATGTACCTAGGTCAAATTTTACCCAGAGTGGACCTTTTTCCAGCAAAAAGGGCGGTTCTTTCGAACCCCCCGAACCCCCCCCCCCCATGGCCTGTCAGTAAATATTCTTATCTTTAATATTCTATATACATAGCATTCTTCATTTGAAAGTTTACTGCAATTTTTTTTCTATCAAACGTACAATGCTTTGTTATAATATGCTTTCATGACCAGCAACCAAAAAAACTGTTGCCATGTTTAATTACAGACACTATAAAAAGACCATAAAATGACGACTTATGCATGCGCAAAGGCAATTGCGACGGGATTTACTCGTACGAACGATTGCTCCTTCATTGCTTGCGACGTGCATCTTGGACCACGCACGTCGCACTTGCGAACTCCTTGCGAGTGAAGCAAGTTACGTTTGCAGCCTCGCTGTTCGCAGATTATTCATAGAATCTTTTGGACATGCCCAACATCTTACGTACGTGCATACGGGCTGTCTGCGAACTTCAAATTTCGAAGAAGGACTTGCGTTGCACGTGAGCTTCTGTTCAGAATTTGGACGCAAACATGCCGTAAGAGCCCGTGCGGCCGGTTGTGACCGAGGCTTTAGAAGCAGTTGTGTTTATTATGCTTATAACGTTTATTACGCTTAGCATCCAGTGCTGGATTGACTTTCTGAAAGCACCTTAACTAAGAAATTGTGGATATTCTGTATGTTTTTTTGCTATGTGTTCATAATAAAGGTTTCAATAATATTTGCAATTTCTTAACATATTTCGTCAAATAGCAAAACAAAGATGAACCCTTTACAACTAAGAAATCCCATGATGCTGTAATTTATACAGCATCACTTTCTTTACCGACAGTTAACTGTGTTAGTTGCACTGTGGTGCCATTTGCTTATCGGGTAACAGAGTGTATGTTATTTTAAACTCTCAATAGAAAGGTGACAGCAGCTTATTGAGGTATGAACGACGAAAGGTTACACAAAGGAGGAACATGAAGGAGTAGTGTCTTTATGTGCTGCTCTGTGCAGCTCCATATTCAACTAAAGGTAGGAAGTAAAAACGTTGCACTTTACGGTGCTTCCAAGTATGTTAGCCATGATAAGAATAGTTCAGCTTATCCTAGGCTGAAACCATAGATACCGGGGGTATGCGTCCTCCTCAAATCTCACGCCTCGATGTACACATATTCTTCATCGTAACAAAAATGGGTCTTAATTACTTTTTTTTATAATTACTCTCCAAGGGGTATGAAGTAACAAAGTTTCACTTTGGCAGGGATTGGTCCCATAATTACTTCCTGGTATAAATGCCTAGCAATCGATTGAACTGGACGTCATTGCGGAAAATAACATAAACAGACATTACCTACTTTACTGGTTCCGTAACAATAGTCATAACAGTTCAATACCTGCCTCCATTCAAACAAGAACACAAATGCCAAAAACTAGCATTTAAAGATTCAAACTAATTGCTGGTAACGATGCACCCTGATTTTTGTCAATCGTCGCAGGATAAAATGCTTCTCACGATTACATAAAAATCTCTATTCTTCGTTTTTCTGATTATACAGGTGGAGAGGCAGCATTTGCCATTGAAATGAAAGATGTATATCCTTTTTCAGGGTTGGAAGTAACATTAGCTGGTTTGCCTGTCAATGGGTACGTCATGAATCCTGAGGGCGGCAACCCACAACCACTAAACATTGTGTGCAGTTACACAGTGGATCAAGGAGAGACAGCTCAGTATGTGACTTTTTTCAAAGATGGAACTGACACAGCAAACCAAATAGTAGTAATACAGGTATTTGATGGAACTCCCAGGAAACTCAACAGCTATACCACTAGAGCTGATGTGACGGCTTCAGGCTCTGATCCATCATTCACGTTAACTATCGGTGGAGTCACCATGGCAGATGAGGGGAGCTATAGATGTCGAGTTTCCCTTACATTCAATGCAGCCGTCGTGACAACTGACGAGCAAATCCTTAGTTTACTCTGTAAGTGAATCACATAAGTATTAGCATGTTCGATTTTTGTCCATATATTACTGAAAAAGTTCAACAGTAGCCATATATAGCTGTAAATTGTCTGAACAAATGGGTCATCTAAAAGCTCATGCCAAATCTAGAATGTTTCAAGCGCATCATCTGTTGTACTCTAAACATACATTTATGAAGAGGGCGTAGATTCCCTGTAACTCATATAAACAACTTACTAGCGTCTTGTACGATTCAAAGAGTGTCGACATGCCTAAAGATAAACTAAATTAATCTTTTGGTCAGGCAAAGAAAAGCTTTAAAACTTCTAAAAATCTGGTCGTAAATTAAGTCTATGTATCGGCCCCTCCGGTTGGTAAAATTCCATCAAATAACACAGAAATGTCTGTTGCATTACTATTGCATGTACGATTACATTATTATTCATATAATTATTGATGGAAACGACCAAGGGTTATACATAGCACAGGCATAAAGCAGAACATTTTCGCTTAAATATCGTATTCTGAATGTATTCGACGAAAACCTTTGTTTAACTTATATCTAGGATTTTGTTTAATCCATATGATGGCATTGGGTCGGGCTAGGTGGCAAAGATTTGATTTCATATGCAACTTAAATATTACAACCCCGTAGATTGGCCAAATCCACCCCAGATTACACGAGGACCTCAAGTTGCCACAGAAATTTACCGGGTATCTTGTTCCTCTGATGGCGGCAGACCAGCACCTGAGATAAAATGGTTTAAAATGCAGAGTTCTGATCAGATGGAGGTGGCCATAAATGCAACTGCGAACACGGTGAGACCCCAGGGAGACACATTTCTTGTCGAAAGTGAAGTAGAAGTAATGGCAACCCAGGCAGATCCAGTTGAAGTAATTTGTCAACTATTATACGATTCACTGACAAGTCAAACCAAGACAAGTATTACAGTGCCTGAGAGTGCAGGTATGTTTGTGTATTTTACTCAGATTGGTAGTTTGTCAATTACATTTCACCTGAAGACAAATAATTAGGTGCTGGAAAAGCCTAAGCTCTATTACAAAGAGCTTATATCTTTGTTTGTCAATTAAAAAGTAAAACATACTTCAACACCAGACTCGTAAGTGCTGAATCATTCTGCTGGTCTAGTGGATGTGCATGAGGTACTTTTATTATTACTTATCTTAAGAAGTGATTGAATTCGCTTTTTTAGCTCCTTCAACTACCACTACTACGAAATCTACTAATGTTGCAGGTAGGTGCAATTTATGATGCATTTATTTTTCTTTTATTTCATTTTAAACCTTTGTCCACATAAAAATGAATGAGCGTGTAAAGTCACCCATTCATTTCTCATGTGTTATCCAGTTTAACCTATTTACATGACTTGCATACTCATACACGTGTTATATGTGTATCTACTCAGGGAGGATAATTTCAAGATATACTGCACGCGTTTTAAAAAAATCCAACGTCTAATTCAATCTAGAACCCATCAAATATAAGTACCTGAAGTCGGTTATTACTTTTTTAATGTACAGGAAAACATAGCTACCTAGTCATTTAGATCCCATTCCCATACCTAGAAAATAGCAGGACCGACCCATCTCTGACAGGATTCTCGCTAAATTGCAGCTTAAACAGCTTAAGCGGTTAAGATGTCTGGCACGCCAACTGAAACTGCTAAGCAATAGTTAATCACCCCCTGACAGCTTCAGTAGGTGTGGATAAATAAAACTTAGGTATAAGTAAAATAACTGATCAATCGGGTTTTGAAAACCCTCAACTTTTTTATGATAGCATGAAACATATTCTGGGCTAGGTGCTATCAAGCAATATTACTTATTATTCCGCCAACTAATGGCTGCATTTTTAATTTAAAGCTTAATATCAATTGAAACATTTTGTCAAAGTAAACTGAAGGCTGACAGACAATATAAACTTCTGTAAGACAAAAGTCGATTTGTAATCCCCCATATACAATATAATTGAAAAAAAAAGGTGTAATAAGAATGTACTCAGATGGATTACTATTGGTATGTTCTCTTGGCTTTATGGAGATGTGAATAGCCTATCAAAAATCAAGAATTATTGTGACGTGTATTAATCCGGCCTATGCTGATTTATAGTCGGCCTGCAAGTATCTTGTTGTGACATTTATTGAATTTTCTTTTAAATCGTTTAAACAACAAGGAGATCGCCTCCATAGACCCCTCAAGTTAGGCAGGTTTTCAAAAGGTGAAGAAGAACAAAAGCGACTTCATACGTCATTTTAACCAAGATGATGACAAACTATACATTTACGATACAAGAAAAAAATATACAGACTTGGTATTTAATATGGAATATTTTTTCCAAATCAGTTTTCATCAATGTTTTCCTATTTTTCTGACTGATAAATGAAACTAAGGTTTAAAATCATGTTTGATCATCAACCTGGTCGTAACTTTTTTAAAACTATGCAGACACTTCCATGTGACACAATAATCTGTCTGAAATGCGTCATTATGTAACACTGCTTAGCTCATTTTACGCATTGCACTGGTAGTACATGTGACTTCTCCATTTACATATTTTTTATGAGATCTTTTGTTTTTCTTGAAAAAGAACGCAAATTTACTTAGGCATAACCTTGATACTGAAATATTCCATATCCAATGTCAAGTCTGTACCTCTTTTAATAAGAAAAGTTTGACTTGCATTTTACACTATAAACCAATTACAAGGTTTGATACATCACATTACATCACATCATATTACATTATAAAACGCAACACTAAAAATGAACACTTCAAGGTACAAATTGAACAATTGAGGGATTTCTTGCCATATATTTCTAGGGATTTTTAAATATAATTCTTAATAATTATTATTTGTTCTTATTACATAGGGTTAGTAGTAACACTGGCTGATTTACCTTCTTATGGCTTGGTCATGAATCCCGACAGCGGCATCCCACCAACTGTGAACCTTGTGTGCAGTTACACAGTGGATCCCGGAGAGACGATGCAGGTCGTGTATTTCTATAAAAATGGAACGACCGCTTCAAACCAAATAGTGGGAATAGTGATATCTGACGGTAGTTACCAGCTGCAGAACTCTTTTGCCTCTAGAACTGACGTGATGGTTACAGTCTCTGATCCATCATTCACGGTGACAATTGGCACAGTCACGTCGGCAGATGAGGGGAGCTATTACTGTAAAGTTTCCACCATACTCAATAATCCCATGGCAATATCTTCGGCACAGAAACTCAAATTAGTATGTAAGTAAAAATCACTTACCTTGAAAGAAGTATTAAAAATTCATATATCGAATCGAGTTATAGATCGGACCACTCCATTGTGGGGATAAATATTGAATTTAACACATTTAGGAAAGGTACAGGGTTATGGAAATTTAATAATTCTCTGCTAGATGATTTAGAATATATTGACAATATAAAAAAAAATTATTTATAAAATAAAAACCCAGTATGCACTTCCTGTCTATAACCTAAATAATATCTGCTCTATTTCGGACTGTGACGTACAGTTTACCGTAAATGATCAACTCTTTCTTGAGACCCGTCTTATGGAGATCTGGGGCAAAACCATTTCCGTTTCCTGTAGAACAGTTTCATTAGCTATGCTATTGTAATAGACTTATGAGGATTCTTTTGTATAAAGCTACTTATATTTGTCTGATCTTACCATCCAATATTTCATCTGCTTTCAGTCAGACTTCATCAGGGAATGAGGTTGTGACAGGTATGACAACCTATCACCCCCTCTGGTGTGCTATTTGGTCAGATTCCCCCCCCCTTTACCTGCCCCCTCCCTTAGGAGTGGTAGGTAGAGGTTGGGTAGCTCAGTCCCATCATTCCGATTCAACTTGGCCCCATGTAAGCGGATGTTAATTGCTTCAAGGACTTTGCGGTGTAGATCTTGTGGTATTCTTTCCAAGATTTTTGTCTTCTATGGTTGTTGATGTTATGTTGATGTTATGCGCTGTCTGTTCTTTTAGCACGTATTGATGGATTTTTGATGTTCAGTGATTCTTTCTGTTAAGGAACGTCCTGTCTCTCCGATGTATTTCTCTCAACACACCTGACACGCACACTGGTATACAACTCCACACTGTTCCTTAGTTATTTGCAGAGTCTAGTGAAGTGATTGATGTTGACTTAAGTACAATCCTACCGCACAATTATTCATTGAGGCTCAAAGATGTGGAGTCAAGTGAACTAGAAGGTGTAATTAGTCTAAACGAAGCATCCAACATTCTGGAAAAAAAGAAAAGTAAGAAGAGTCCAGGCTCAGGCGGGTTAACTGTCGAGTTCTTCAACGTATTCTGGCCACAGCTTGGCTATTTTGTTGTTAGATCCATAAACTGGGGTTACTCGACTGATCAACTTTCAATTACACAGCGACAGAGTGTAATCACGTGTCTCCCTAAGGATTAAAAGCCCAAGCAAAACTTGAAAAACTGGTGACCGATCTCTTTGTTAAACGTAACCTATAAAATAACCTCCGGGGTCATAGCAACCAGAGTCAAGAAATATCTGGGCAAACTTATTTCAGACGATCAGTGCGGGTTTATTCCAGGGAGATACATCGAGGAAAGTATCCGTGCTGTATATGATATTATGCAATACACAGAAGATAACCATATTCCTGGAATGTTAGTGCTACATTGTATTAGATTTTGAAAAGGCCTTTGACGCTATGTTGTGAAAAAATTTATTAACAGGGTACTAATTTTTTTAAACTTTGGTGCAAGCATTACCAAATGGATAAATACTTTTAAAAAGGGTGCCCAAGCAGCAATAAATCAAGGAGGCAATCTCTCAGAGTAATTTTAGATTAAAAGAGGCTGCAGGCAGGGAGACCCAATAGCCCCCTATTTGTTTATTTTATGCGCGGAAAAACTCTCAATAATACTCAAGAATAACAAAAATATAAAAATTATCACTATTGATAACACCCCTATTTTATTAACTCGATACGCAGACGATACGACTGTGATGCTTGATGGCCCAGAAAAGTCTTTATCTAAACTAATGACTAAATAAGAGAAATTTTTCAAAAATTTCTAGTTTTTTCTTTCAGATAAAGCATGAATACATTATGATAGAATCAACAGGGAGGAGAGGCGGTCGTAAAAAAAGTTGATGCAGATTCTTAAAAATGAAATACATATCTTAAGTTTTAAACCTTCGAGGTCTTTACGATCAGAATATAAGCCCTTTCTACCCTAAAAGTTGTTTTCTTAAACGCAATTATCAGATTATGATGTGATCTCTTTCGAGTGCGAACTAAAATCGGTCTAGTCCAAAAACATGCATTTGTATCTCCGCAAGATTTTTTAAAGAAAGAAACGTTGTCGCACTTACCAAAAACGCTTGCCGAAAATTTGTCAAGATCTTCTATTGACAGACACATTAAACCTTAAAACTCCGCAGGTTGTCGGGGAATAATCACTTAATATGATAGACTAATAAACAGTGTTACATTGGCATTTGAATATTAGATAAGAAGACCAAAAAACAACTAAAATAAGATATTGAGGTTAAGATGACATAATCCCATAACAATGCATTGTTTCTTTGTATCATTTACAGATCGACCGTTCCCTCCCCAAATTACACGAGGACCCCAAGTTGCCACAGATACCTACCGGGTGACTTGTTCCTCTGATGGCGGAAGACCAGCACCTGAGATAAAATGGTTTAAAATACAAACTTCTGATCAGATGCAGGTGCCGATAAATGCAACCTCGAACACGGTGACACTCCAGGGAGACACCTTTCTTGTCGAAAGTGCAGTTGAAGTGATGGCAACCCAGGCAGATCCAGTGGAATTGATTTGCCAGCTACTACACGACTCACTTATAAGTCAGATCACGACAAAAACCACTGTGCCTGAAAGTGCTGGTATGTACAAATTTGTTGATTGAATGAGTTTTTTAAGACAGAAAGGTAGATGCCAAAAGCTAAAAAGAAAATGTCAATATATCGCCAGTAAGACTCGAGACACTTGTCAGGGCTGTGGACCTTTCTTTTAAACTGATCAGAAAAACATACTTCGATACTTACTGGCTTTGTGCTTAATTTTAGCACTGCACATAGCAGAGCCACTCCGCTTTGCAATAGGCTGTACTTATTGCTGCATAACTGGTGACTTTAATTCCACTTCTTAATAAGCTAGAAGGTAACTGGATATTAAGTATCGTTTTCAATGCTTTCTTTCGGGTCCTTTCACTATCGCCACAGAAAAACCTACAAACCCGACAGGTAAGTGCCATTTGCAATTTATTCAGTTTTCAAGTGCTTCAGAATCTTCTTTTCTTTGTGTTTTAGACTGTGCTATGAAACCTTTTTGCATGTATTCAATGTATTCAGTTTTCCAGTGCTTCAAAATTTCCCGTTTTTTTGTGCCTGAGACTGTGCTATGGAACCTTTTTGCCGGTTGACTGGTGGATTTCTTATCAGTTGTAAATGTCACTCCATCTGTAGTACAGTTCTTTGGACCTTTGTTAATATCGAAGTATTTCGACATGCTGTTTGAAAATAAATAATAAAAAAGAAACACTATTGGACCTCTTTAGTATTTATTTGATTATGGATGTGATTACGACACCACAGTTGTAAATTGCCACGTCATAGCTGTGACGTCAAAATCACATTTGGATAAAAATAAGGTTGATTATTGAATACAATTTGTTTAAGTTATGACAGAAGGGGAATGTTTGAAATTTTCCTCCAGCACAGGATTCTAGGTGCCCACTTTATGGCAACAATCAATCCTAGAATCCTGTGCTGGAGGAAACGTTCAAAATTTCCCCTTCTATGAGAATTATAGAGGTGTAGAAGCTTTTATTCCCAGCAGGCATAGTTGCGTTGGATCAACGTTGAAAACAGGTTGATGCATTGAATTACCGTTGATCTATCTAAATTCAACGTAAAATCAGCTAACACTAGGATGAATAAGTTACTGTAAATGTGATGGAATTAACAGTTCTTGGTAACCTGTTATAGATTGACAGATTGAGGTGACTGTGACTTTGTTATATATATATATATATATATATATATATATATATATATATATATATATATATATATATGAAAATAACTATATATATTAATATAAATCTTGTAAATTCTAACTTAAAGGCCATACATTTATACCCTACATATATTTAGCCATCAAACATGTCCTACTGCTAAACACATCCATGCTAATGTCCCGCTGGGTGGGGTTGATATAACATTGTTTTCTGACGTTGATACAACGTTGTTATCTGAGGTTGACACAACTGTTGTTTCAACGTTAAAACAACATAATTTGCCCGCTGGGAAGCATTATAATAAAACATGAACGATGGGATGTTGAAGTTCATTTTTAGAATCGGGATTCTCGTAAACCAATGTGAGTACATCCCATTAAATGCGATTTGGGCTTTTTGACATACTTTTGGTTACAAGATATTTTACTTTCGCGACTTTATGTTACAAACATTCAGTACAGGATTTCCCTGTCAAAATGATCTTTATGTCTCCTCCATCTCAGTGTACCACAAACTTTTATGGTCTCATTCATAGCAAGAAAGAAGGCAACAAGGAGTATTGATTGTTCGTGATTTGGCCAAACAAGGCCGCTTTTATTATATAACCCCTCTATCCTAATCGTTTTAACAATAATAACAATGTAGCAAATTGTTGCCTGTATTAAATGTTAGATGCTCTATCAGTTGTAATGCCCTAAGTAAGTGAACCCAAGTAGTAGAGATGTGTGAAGGTTGGGGGTTGATATAAAACCACAAATTTTCTTCAGAAGACTTAAAGACAGAGCCTTAAATGTGAAACTCAATGATAAGTAAACAGTAGGTATAAATGGTAACTTCAGTGATAACAAAAACGAATAGTTGATGAGAAAAGGAGCGTTGATTTTTTGGATTAAGCTGGTTTATAACGATGTGCAGGTCAGGCTGGGCATACTCTACCTTGCTAAGGTATCTACCCTGAACAGTGAAACGTCTGACAAGGAATATGATAGAAGTGGGAAACTAAAAGTAGGTAACTGAATCGGCATAGCAGGTGCCCATGTGATATCCAATAAATTTCGGGACATTGCGTCCGCCTATGTCATCAGGTGACTGCAGATTCTACACGCAAGGACCCTTAATTTCTTTGTGCAGTCACAGTGACCGCCATCGGAGCAAACAAGAAACTCCTGGATAGAAAACGTTTTGTCAACAGCAACTGCTAAATCGCTAGAGAAAATAAAACTTACCGCAATCATGTAACAGTCGGCAATTGTACTGTTGATCCTTGCTTGAAGTTGTGCAGAATCTGTCACTGTACGCTTCAACAGATCGAGTGAACTGCTGGAAAGTTCTCATAGAGGTAAAATGAAATTTTTTGAACTGAAGATTTCAGTTGAAGATTTGAGATAACTTGTAGCTTAATTGTATCATGCCCGTGAACAGAATGAATCAAGCAGAATGAGGCCAGGCAGTGATGCCCCATGGTATAAGTAGCAACATGTGCCTCAATGGAGATTACCCCTCTAGGGCACAATTGAGCATGTGCAGAATGCACATGTGCGTAATTAAGCTCTGGAGATTGTTGTCGCCATAAAATGTCGTTTGGCTACGCCAAACTTTCCTTTCCTCTGTAAATGACACTTTCACCTACTCGTGAATCATTCCCTGCACGTAGAACCAGAGTTTTATTCCACTTTTGGTTTAGTTTTGATTTGGTTTGAAATAATTAACCAGTTATTTGAACTGTGACTCAAATTTTTAACAAACTGTTCTTCTAAAGTCCAAACCCAGCGGGCAAAATATGTTGTTTTAACATTGAAACAACGTTCACTCATAACGTTGATAAGACGTTGGATAAACATTGGATTTGAAAGTTGACTCAACCTCAGATAACAACGTTGTATCAACGTCACATAACAACATTGTATCAACCCCAGTTGTTAGACAACATTCTTGCATGAAAAGACATTGAAATGACCTGAGGGTAGGGTATAAAAGTATGGCCTTTAAGTTAAAATTTCCAAGGTTTAGATTAATATATATATATATATATATATATATATATATATATGTAACAAAGTCACAGTCACCTCAACCTGTCTATGTATAACAGGTTACCAAGAATTGTTAACTATATTAATTCACTCCATCACATTTACAGCAACTTATTCATCCTAGTGTTAGCTGACCTTGCAAGGAATTCAGTTTATTGGAATGTTTTTCTGAATAACAAGTTAAGAAAATTCATTAGTTCACTAAAGACACAAAACAACTGTCACTTTTACTTTTAACACTTTTTTGGATTATTTTGATAAAGTTAGTTACAGTATTGATACACAAAGTATCACGTTTTTAACAATTAATATTTTAAAATATAATCCATGTCTGCAAGGTTGTGTCAATGACCAAAATACAACGTTGAGTCACATTATGACGGTGTTTCGACGTGGGTGGATCAACGTTGATTTGACGTTGAATTTTGGTAGATCAACGGCAATTCAACGTATCAACCTGTTTTCAACGTTGATCCAACGCAACTATGCCTGCTGGGTTCACATTTTGAATCATTTCTCTTCGCACGGGGGTAGTCAAGGCTACCCATGAGGTATGGTAACAATTACTTTTCTCTAGGCAAGTTATCCGTTGAAAAATTAGTGCCTCTTTGTTTTTTTCAGCTCCCTCAACTTACAGCACAGCAAAATCTACAAATGCGCTAGGTAGGTGCAATTCGAAGTAAATTGTTGATAAATCTTTTCTACACAATCATTAATTACTCGTTGGCTTAATTCAATTGTCACGCTTTACCTGACATAGACATATGGATGCAGGTATAAATTCCACCAAAACATCCAAATTTAAACCAAAGCTAGCGCGTAGAACAAAAGATTCGACCGTGCTGTATTCGACATACAAACGCCATGTACAAGAGCGTTTCACGGCCTGTTATATTCCCGTTTTTAACTAGTGTAGTAGCCAATCAGAGGTCGTGGTTTTAAGCCAGATACAACACTCGTCGCCGAACTGTTAGTGAAAATTACTCGTGCATAGACTCGCCTGCGGCTCGACCATACACTCGTAATATTTCACGCACAGCTCGACGACTCGTATTGTATCTATCACGTAATGCAGATCAGTCATCGTCAGTGATAGTTCTCTATAACATTCGCAGTGTCTCCTGAAACAGCACTTATTAAACCAAGAGCAGTGCTGAACACAAACTGAGGTATACATTACTCAGTAGACTCAGTAACCGATCGTGAAATTCTACTTGATGATCTGGGCTATATAACTCGGAAACATCGCAAATTGTGACGACACGCAAGCAATGGTGATTGCACCCACCTGCTAACTTGAAGCCTAAGCAAACGCAGCGCAATATTTGCTTGTCCGGAAGTACAATAACAGCCGCGAACACTACTAAAGTTCGATTGCCGCATAAAGTGAAGACCTGATAACACAATTACACATACTATAATTCCATTTGATGATCAGGCTAATCATGAGATTGTTTTGATTTATAGGAATATCACAATTACAAATAAATAAATAAATAAATAAATAAATAAATAAGCTGAACGCGCTTGCAATACTGGACTGTTACAATTTCTGATACAGTGGTAAGTGGTGTTCATTCTCATAATAATGCACACTGAAGAAGATAAAAGTGTGACTAAATGCTTTGTTTCTGCTTCATTTAGTGTAGAAAATGAAACTTAAACTTACCATTATTACTTATTGACTACAGAAAAGTATTTTCTTCAGAATATATATCAAATATTATGTGAAATGTTAAATTTTGAAATCTTTATGCATAAAAATGACTTTATAAAATGTTCACCAGTAATTGTTTTGGTCTTTGATGTAATGATATTCTATGTGCATAGCATTCTTTACGTGAATGTTTTTTTTTCTATCAGAGGTACCGGGTGACTCAATCTTTTATAAACTTCCATGCTTTGATAAATGCTTTCATGACAAGCAATCAAACCTTGCCGTCATGTTTAATTACAGACACTATAAAGACACTATGAAATGAAAAATTATGCTAGCGCAAAGGCAGGATTTACTTGTTTCAAATAATAGCTTCAAAACTGTGATATTGCTATTATTGTTCGGCGGCAAACTGCCGTGCTTTCGAATTATAGAATAGCGACAAATCGCCATGCCTGCGCTCGGTCGCAGTTTGCGATTTTGTCGAGTTATGGAGCCCTGTATTTTTCGGCGCTACTTTTCTTCACCACATCTATACGGTTAACAAATGTATGTTGTGGTTTTATCCTTATAAATTAAACGTGCATGTGATAGATTACTGGGCATTCCATGGGTACATAGTTTACGGTTAAACGACCTATATATTAAATTTCAGTTAACAAAAGCCAGAAAAGATTCAACGCGACTACCTATTAAATAATATCTTTTGTATTACAGGCAATGCTTGGAGAACCGTATCGATCGTTTTGATCGTGTTAGCAATGTGTCTTTTTTGCATAATTGCATACCTTGTATTCCGCATTCGGTCATTGTCCAGGAGACTCGAATCACAAGCATCTGAACAGCAACATGCCACTGTTATTACAAACAATGTAACAGAACACTCAAACAACATCAGCAGTCCATTTTACCAGGTGTCTACACAGCGATCGACATATCATTCCTCTGGTTTTGATGGGGTCAATATGGATTTCGACGATACTGCACTGGCGAATAGTTACCAAGAACTTCGGCGGGATAACCGTCTAGATGGGCAATATATGGAATCAATTGCCGTCCAAAGCCCCAAATGTTATTGGTGACTATAATTACATTGAGGTTTCCTAGGATGATCCCCAGCCTAGACAATTCAAAAGTGGCCAAGTGAGTGAGTGTATTAGATTATATGTCTTAGGAAAGAAGGATTTAACCCTAATATAGGGAATAATCTAGAAGTGAGCAGATTTAGTGATCTTGAACTCCACATTTTGTGGCAGTGTTATCGTTGTGTTATAGTCAGGAACCTCTTAACGTGTGCCTCTAATAGCACCTAACTGCCCGAGGATAATCCCTAGGCTACTCAGTTTTACAGCTATACTGCTGGAGTGAGTGTATTGAATAATAAATGAATTCACGTCTAAGGGCTAAATATTAACCCCTTTTATAGTAGGAAATTATTTAGAAATGCACAGGTTTGGTAATCTTGAACCTCACATTGGATAGTAGTATTATGGTTGTAGACTCACGCTGTATAGTAGTATTATGGTTGTATATAAATAAAGATTTGTGCTTTTTACATATGTAACTCCAGTAAATGAATGATTGCGATCAAAAATATTTTAATATTGTATAATATTGAATTAAGATATCATATCAGCTGGGTGTCAGAAACTAAGGTTAACTCTCTAGTAATGACATGGCACATCTACCAGGCTGATTGGCATCAATCACCAATACTTATAACTTGGTCAACTAATGGCTCTATTTTAGAATGTAAGGTTGAAGATCAATTATAATTTTTTGTCAAAGTGAATTAGGGCTAACAAACAGAATAACCTTCTGTAAGAAAAATTTTAATCGCCAATAAACAATATAATAAATAAAAGGTGTATTCATCCATAGGTTGTTATAATAACAATGTAATTAATTGGATTCTCCTTGGTGTGTTCTCCTTGCCTTTGTAGAGATATGGCTAGCTTGGATTTTTATCTTGACTGTAGCATTTGTTTTGATATATTTCTTTTTAAAAGGATTAATCATCATTAGTTTTATCACAATAAGAAATATTCATACAAAAATTAAAAAAGGAAATTTACAGGGGGCAATGGAAAGAAAATCGTTCACCTGTTGGATGTATACTCACACGCAGCCCTACTGACAGTTGGGATTTATATGATATGAGCTTAGGTGAATCAATCAAGAAACCGAAACTAACACTTTCACCTCAAACTGTTGATATGACGTTATCATGCAAAATGACCATGCTTTGTTTGAAACTAAACAGGGTATTATATAACAGTGGTTTAAATTCAACATTGTACAAAGGGGTATTGAGCTGATTCTGGCTGACGAAGTATTTGTCTATAGTTTTTTACTAACGGAGTATTTGTCCTTAACTCAGTATGTAGTGAATACAGTGTATTTGTCCCCCCGATCATCAGCTAAATATTTGACATTGTTTTACCATGATTTCTAACCTTTAAGATAACATATATCACGTCGTCGATTACAAGGATTGTTTTGTAGTGCTATATAGCCGTCTGTCTTAGAATTGATGAACGGGCATAAACGACCTTTGTTCAAAAATGTGGAAAATTTTACGGTTTTACCAGATTTTCTATAAGTACGGGTAAGGAACTGGGCAGTTTTAAATAAACCCCCAGATCACAGATAACAAATTCCCGTTTTGCTTATGATAATTCAAGTGTCTTCTTATCGTAGCATTTAAAATTAGATATTGTATTTGAATTCTTTACTTGTACGTCATTAAGTGGAAGTTATTCTAATAAGACAGTTATTGCGTCTGAATTACTTAATTTGTTTTAATTTGATATTTCTGAAATATGTATTGTAAAGTCCTTTGACATTTTGGATGCCCTATAGAACTTATAAGCAGAGATTTAAAAGCGGGAATTTTTAAAATGTTGTAAATGAGACAATTGGTGGCGTTAATTGTGTTAACATTACACTTAGACACTGAATCATTATAAAAAGATATGAAAATTTTGTCCTGATTTTTTTTACTAAGACACTCTCCATGGCCCCTATATTAACACATAGCTCCAAACCCAGAAGTATATAAACATCAAAACAATATTGTTATTTGTTACAAATATTTAATAACAATAGCTACCTAAACACAATTCGTACAAAAACTAATCATTTCTTTCAATTGAAAGTATAATGTTATGATTATGTATACAAAGTAGACATCACAATAAAAATCACTCAAAAATTAATTGGGAATGTCACATCGGGATAGGCAGTATGAAACTACGGACTTTGCAAGCAAATTCGGGCGACTGGGACTGGTACCTAAGTTTACTAATGCAGAAAGCAGGGTGGTCAGTTCAGTTTGAACTTTCACAGGCAAAGTAGGCAATGTATTTATAATCATGTATAGTAGTAACACATATGATTAGAAATTCTGCTAATAAACCAAAGTACATTGATCCAAGTTATGATTGCATAATTAAGTGATTATTGTGAAACTGTCCAATCCAGCAAACCCCAGTAGGTCTTGAATAATGATGTGTATACTAAACATAGGATTATGTTCTCTTTTCATTATTAATATCTGTCTGACACAGAGGAACCAGGAATTAAGGTGACTAACAGCTATGGCGAGATACAAACAATCCTCGCATATTTCAACCGTGTATCATTGCTTAACTTACGTAGCGAGTTAAATACGCCACTTTAATTACTGCCTCTTCATTTCTAGATTTATATTGGCAATACCCTCATCACATGAGGTATTTACATGTGTGATGACCACTTAACAATTTAGACCATTTTTACAGTTTTCACACGTTAATGCTGGTTTATAAACAACCTATACTTTTGAATGCAAGTTAGCCATAGCATAAATGTAATATAAGATGTTTATGTGACAAAATCATTCAACTTAAAAAGTGAACTAAGATGGAGGGAAAAAATCACACTACCGAACCTCAAGCCAAAATATATGCATGAAAATAAAAGGAGTATGTAACAAAACATTTTCGGCCTAGAAATATAAGACATTGCTGGTTAGAAATTATTTTATAACATACACGCCAATACGTTATCTTTATCGCTTATCTTTTTTTCTATAACTGTAAACAGAAATATTATCTATTATAAAATATTATACATCAGAAATGGCACGTTCCTTACCAAAATATTCTTGCAAGTCAATCAGACAAATAATCATACAGTCACATTTACATCGTCCAGGCGTTCAACTTGTCAGCAAAAAAAAAAAAAAAAAAAAAAAAAAAAAAAAAAATTGACTCGGACATCTGGTTCTTTTCTCTCTATACAATAATTTCACAAAAAATAGACACGGTCCTAAAGGGGACCGGTAGGGGCATCGCATCTCCATGTCACACTCCTTTCTTACTAATAAAAAGACATAAATGGGCTTGAATGGAATGTATGTAACAAAGCAGATTTTTCTCCATCTTAATAACTATCCCCAGAGATTGAAACATTTAAAACTAGCGTCTTTGACGTCTAACTCAAAAAAACATACCTAATTTGTAACCAACAAATTAAACAATATAGCTACTCAAACAACTGCAACGATGGACAAACGAATTCTTATGTCATATTGAAAAAATTAAACTTGACAAAACGACCTGTTGTTTCTTTCAATATAAAATCACAATTGGCAGTTTTTTCCCAGTGCTCAAATTACATTCTGTAGCCTTCCGTTGCCGCTGTCATGACGATGCAAGAAGTAGAAAATCCATTAAAAATCTGCTCCTCCGTTTTTGTAATTTACACACTTGTGATTGAGCAATACACATCTTCAAAATGATCTTCCCCCTTGCCGGGAAATCTTCAGAATGTAAAGAAGCAACTACAGTTTAGTTCACCCCAACAGACGTTAGACTGGAGGAAAACACGTCGAGGCTTACTCATTCACAACCCACTCTGTTGCTATGGGGACGTTATGACGTCACGTGTGACATCATAAAGTCCACAATGGTCTTTGCCGGGCAGGTCCTACTGTCTTTGTATAAAGTCACTGCTGATCTCTTTATCACAAGTTATGGCGTTGAGGACATGATGCTTTTACACCCTACAGATAAATGAAAAAATTCTTCTTAATAAAAATTAACTCCCGCTTCATTATGCTCATTTAAATGCTCATAGTTTAATATGCTCATAGGAAAATTTGGAAAAAAAGTACTTACGTTGTTGGTTCAGGTTTGTATTCCTCAATTGGGGGTTTCTCGTCTCTTTGGTCTGAAGGAAAAATGCATATCGATACTTAAAAAGAATAATTAGGCTATTCTCTAGCGTACCATCTCGAATGCTGTGCCCGTTCATGTGATTTTAAAACATATATTTATAATCAAAATACATTAAAAAACATGATTTTCAAACACTTCTTATTATCAAAATACCAATAATTATCAGACGAACAGTGAATATTCTAAAAAAGCACAGTATTTGCGATTCTTCTGCCTATCATTTATTGACTTGGTGTGTTCTCAAGTACATGGCATGTAATGTTATTTAGGCACAGATGTAAAGCAATTGACACGTTCTTCTATTGTAAATAATCGCCCCTTTTTGATTGCGTGTCAAATTGTTGGTGCCAGCTATATAAGCATGTTAGTGCAATGAATATACAGAGACTAGAACATTCAGTTGTTGTGATGTGCTAGAAATGAACATACTGTCTAAAAAGACGTATTTCTAAAAAATGCTAAGATAAAAAAGGGCGGATAATATAATGCAACCATATTAATATTAGTAACAGATTCAAAAATGTGTAAAAGTTAAAGAAAGTTAATAAAATGCAAACCCATAACCAAAAATCAAGTCAAATCTGTACGTGCACAATGCCATTAAAACGAGCCTATCAGCAAAGGGAAAATACGCAGGTTGTAAGCTATATAAGTGGGACGAACAGCCTCGATCTATCGATTGATCCCTGTACGTAGCTACTCGTCACACTTATGCTTACAACCGGTCGTATACCAAAATAAACTGCAGAGAAGGAACCCGTAACCAAAGATTTTCCAAACTGAATAGCATATAATTATATCACGCTCAGCAGATTGATTGGAAACTAAACTGCAAATAAATATGCTGATGAGCATGTGATACCTGGATAAGCTGGGTTTGTGTTTCCTCCACGAACATCTGGGGGAGAAGAACCAATGGATAAGCATGGTTGGGTAAGCGTTTACGTCACATGTACCTTTAATCTTTTAAAAATATCTATTTTCAAAGAACGTGCTGCTTTTACTTAAGATTCTTCGATAGGCTGTTATCTGTGCTATATCGCTTCTTTGACCACATAGGGTATATTTGTAAAGTTATAATGCTTGTAATTTTTACTTTGAAAAGTAATGGAACGTATGATGAGCACCCTAAAATTATAGAAATTGTAGGCAGCTTTCGAAAATTTTCTCCGCGTTTACTTCAGATTGTTGCTGGTTAGAAAGCTGAAGATGCCGATCATTTATAAGGTATAGCAGTTATAATTAAGGAGCAGTTCCATTGCTTCAGCATTACAAGTTAACATTTTGTGTAGATGCAGTTCTGATATCGCTGCAGAAAGACCCATTGTTTTAAAAAATGAGACTGCAAAGGTGTTTCTTTTTACAGTTGAAAGAAGTAACATAATTTATAAATCCGGATATATACACATAAATTCGGATATTCACAGGCAATTTCAGTGAATAATCACTTAATTTTGAAATAACAGAAGGTACCAAAAATGATCCCACGAAAGCTCAAGGGTTGATTCTATTTTGAAATACTTAGTAGAAGGTGACGTGTTAAGTGCGGGGCAGTCCAGACATATCTCATCACAGTCAGACCTACATTATTAATTAAATAACTTCACAAACAGTGCAGTTAAAATATTCTATAAGCACCACTTACCGGTTTGTGAGGCGGCCGGGTTCTCTGCGCCTGTCTGCTCCTCCTTAGGCTGCTTTGGTTCAGCACTTCTCCTCCTCACGAGGAACACGACCACGCCCACAATGATTGCAACGATGATGAGCACAGCTATCACAATGCCTGCCACTGCACCGCCACCAAGAGCACCGGTGCTTGGTTTAGTCCCCGGGTTGTTTTCGTCTAATTGGAAATGAAACAGTTATCAAAGTTATTTCTATTACTATTTTTGGGAAGTTTTATAATTTTGCAAACAAATGTTTGGCAGAAAAGACAAACATCTAGTAATTGCTAGTGGAGTAAAAAGTAGAATTGTTTAATGGTCTATCAATGGGTAAAAAGTCTATCTGATATAATCAGCCGTACTAGTAGAACGGAAGTTACGAGCCTTTAAATTACTAAGAGTGCAAGATACTTTTTAAATAAAAAAGTCATGGATGCATTGGGTTTAAAACATGAAAGCTAAGTCTCTCAACTTCAAAGCACTGAATAGCAGCATTGTGGACGTTTGTTGTGTTCAATTATATTAAACATGAAATTTTAATCAAGTGGAGTTCGTGAATATACCGAATTATGTCGAGATGACCTCTTCTGGGTCATTGATCTTACAATTGGACGTACTGATTTATAAACAAGTGTATTTCAAATCAAAGTTAAGAGTTTAAAGAGATTTTGAAGCAAAAGCATTGCAATTGTCACCTACCTGTAGTATTTGTAGGTTTTACTGTGGTGGTAGTTGAAGGAGCTGAAAGAAAGCATATAAAGCAATACTTAATATTTAATCAATTACTAGTATATAAAGAAATGTAATTATTATATAATCATCAGTCATGCAGTGATAAGTACAGCCTATTGCAAAGCAGAATGTACCTGAAAGGTGCAGCGATAAAATGAGACACAAACGCGATGGGAATGTTTTTAATTCAGTTTGAAAAGAATTCATGCAATCTAAAAGTGTCTATCTAGACACATGCTTTTAATCTCTAGACATCTTTTTTTTTGTGTTTTTGTATCAATTAAATATGACAGAATGTCAACCAAAGTGCAAATTCACGTACACGCACAATTATTTCTTTTACATACCAGCACTTTCAGGAATTATGATATTTGTCTTGCTCTGACTTGTAAGTGAATCGTGCAATAGTTGGCAAAATACTTGGACTGGATCTGCCTCGGTTGCCATTACTTCTACTTCACTTTCGACCAGAATGGTGTCTCCCTGGGGTGTCTCCCTGTTCGCGGATGCATTTATCGCGACCTCTATCTGATCAGAACTCTGCATTTTAAACCATTTTATCTCAGGTGCTGGTCTGCCGCCATCAGAAGAACAAGATACCCGGAAGGTGCCTGTAGCGACTTCAGGTCCTCGTGTAATCTGGGGTGGGTTTGGTCGATCTGTAAAATGGTGAAATTTAAAGAATTCAAAATACTTTGCTCCAACCATTTACCAGCATGCGGGAGTGTGTCACGTGAACGTTTGCTGAGAGCTTCATTACTACTATTTAGATTATTTATTAACGAGTACGCCATTAGTCACTTGGGATAGCAGATTTGTGATCGCAATCACCGAATTAACTCAAACTGCGATTTCACGGTGCTTTCGTAAAAATACTTGTTGAGAGCACCGAATATTGAGCTGCGAAATCCCCCGCCTGCCGGCGTCTAGATGAGCTCGTGATGTTCACTTCGAACAGTGAAAAGATGGTGCTTTAAAAGTATTAAATTTGGCTGGGATGTCACGCCTTGAGTTAAGAAACAACTGTCAGTGCTCAAAGCTGCGCCTGCTTAATATTTGTTTAGGATGCTTGAAGTTTTAGATGCACCATTTAATGTCCAGTCAAATGACGGTCTTACATGGTCACTGTAAAAATGGAAATGATAATTCCTAGCAGGACTAAAAGGAAATCTTGTGAAGGTGTAAAGACTGCCCCTTCTGCCATTCATTATCTCACAATAATCGTTTTGTTTTTAACTACTGAAAATTACAATGCCTCTAACACAGTTTTATACTCACAGAGTAAATTAAGAATTTGCTCATCAGTTGTCACAATGGCTGTATTGAATTCAGTGGAAACTCGACATCTATAGCTCCCTTCATCTGCCATGGTGACTCCACCGATTGTTAACGTGTATGATGGATCAGAGGCTGTAGCAGTCACATCAGCTCTAGTGAGATAGCTGTTGAATTTCCTGTGAGTTCCATCAGATACCTGTATTACTACTATTTGGTTTGCTATGTCAGTTCCATCTTTGTAGAATATGACATATTGAGCCGTCTCTCCGGGATCCACTGTGTAACTGCACACAAGGTTTAATGGTTGTGGGTTGCCGCCCTCGGGGTTCATGACGTACCCATTGACAGGCAAACCAGCTAATGTTACTTCTAATCCTGGAAAATACATTAATATGAATCAATTATTTAAGTTGCATATGGACTAGTTTCATTATCATATTAGAAGCAATATGATCAAGCAATTATAAAAAGCAATGCAAGTAGACGGTATTTTCCTGAAAATTACAGAGCCACGAGGCGACTCATATTCTTATAAGCTGCACAATGTGCATTCACATTGAGCATAACTTTTAGAAAGATATTACAATTACATTGTTAAACGCCGGTTTGCACATTCTTCTGTGGGGTTAAATTTTCGATGTTCGTCTTGTTAGTTATTGACGCCAGCAACATACTGTATTTCTTCTGTAGAGCCGCATTTTGCAAAAAAAAAAAAAAAATGAAAACCAATTTTTTTGTAAGGGAGCATTCCCACAACCCTATCGTTCACGCAATTTAATTGCTTCCCTTGAAGTTTCAGTAAATGCAACTGAATGCAATTCAGCGAGAATCCCCTCGGAGTTAGATCGATCCAGCTGGTATGATAAGTTTATGGGCACCCAGTCTAAGTCACCGAAACGGTTTTAAGTACATGTAAGTAGGCCTACATCTTTCGCATTTTTCTTTGGTTGCAAAACGCGGCTTTTCGGTTTCGATAAATTAATACTTGAGCACTGCAGCTATGATTGTACATACATGTATATGATACATAACGATGAGACGGTATGCATAGAGTACTCTCTACCAGGGCCACAATTTGTTTTTTTTTTACTTTTTGAAATTAAATCTGAAATTTTGATAGATCCATTCTGATTCCGACCACACCTTGTCCAAGGAATAAACAAACCTGTGCCAGAAACAAAATGCCAACCATGTCGCAAATCAAAAGGAAGCATTGAAATGTCACGCAAAATTCCTTTCTCTCGTGACAATTTTAAGTCATATAACCACTATTCTTAAGACACAAATTTCAGGCAAACGGCATATTATTGTTATATATCATACTGTCAACCAGATACAAAGCTAAAAGTTCTTCGTGATAATAGTTTTATGATGGCATTTTTGAATTCAGTGCAATTTAAGGAATAAATAACCAAATAAGAACTTACGCGTGTCACACCTACTACAGCTGGATTATTTTGACAAGCACATATAAAGTTCCTATACCTTCATATAAGCCGGAAATAATGTTTTATAGAGCCACACATGCTAATTAAGTTTTTCAGTAATAACAATTTGTCTTTAATAAGTAAATAAAGAAATATCCACCTTCCGATATGACCCCTACATCGCCGTTATACATGCACGAGATCACGACAACTGAGATTTGCAATATATTTGAAGAGATGTCGCAACGCTAAATCAGAACTTTCTGTATCAGTAACTATTTTCAAACGAAAAGCATTATAATGTCGTGCATACATGAATGGTTGACAGTTAATACACCATTTTCATGTCTTGTACCACCGTGTCACACAACACCTACATGTTTCTGTTACATATAAATGTACTAGCATATATGACGAACACAGTGAAGAATTATTTTGGTATCAAAGGAAAGAAAATATCGCAAGGCAATACACCTAACCACATTTAAAGTTCATCCTTCACTACATATTACCTAGTGGATATAATATGTAGTATTTAGTTATAAGTGTAACTGAAATGTGCCAAGTACGAAAGTGATAATTCAGTATTCATCATTACATAAAAAAATGGGGATACGGGGAGGGAGAGAAAACTTTAAGTCTTTAGGCCCTATTTCTTATAGTTAGGATCATGTGGGAGATACTTAGGTATTGTTGGCAGTATAAATGTAAGCCCCTCCCCCCTCTCACTGCCTTGTTCGGGATATCTTGAATCCGTAAAAGTGTAATATTTCAACTATATAGTTACGCGGCATTTCTACCTGTGGTCTAGCCGGATAAACGAAACATATGAATAAACACACATACTTGTGTATAGCTTAATAATTAAATGTACACGCAGGTCTTTGTTTGCTTTGCATATCTCTGAGCTTGTTTACTATAAATTAGATGACTCACTCGTCTGATTCAAATGCAATAAGTTGTAACTTTTGTTCGATTCATTGAAAAATTTGTTAATTTTTTACTCTTGGAAATGCCATTAAACGAAAGTACATCTGTATTTAGAAATGATTCAGCCTTTCAATATAATTTGACAGGAATGTTGTGGTAAATAGCTCTGTAATATTTACCAATATCGAGTCAGCAAAGTTTCCATTAACGTGGGAGTGTAAGCGTCTTTTTTATTTATTCGCCTCGCAAAGTGTTCCACATATTAATGGCGTGTACTTTGCACAGCGTCATCCTTTATCAGTTTTTTATTGGATTAAGACATTCTTATCATTCTAAACAGAGGGGATCACTGTCTGCTTCGTCTGTTAGTTACCCCCCCCCCCCCCTTCGCATCTTTCCGTCTTTTTCAACTTGGCAATTACCCCCGCCCCTACCCCCTACATTATGGTTCGACTTACAGGATTTGCTTTTTTTTGTCGTTTTTTAAAATACTGTGCCCGTTACCCGTTTGCACTGTGACTGCAAACGACACTTGGTCGGGTCTAGATAGCATATCACTACCACACGTAGTCCATAGCAACTTGAACAACCTTGGGGAGTATCAATAAACTACAGGCACGAAGTCTGTCACGATTTAATTAATTAACCTCTGGCCTATTCATATGCAGATTCAGTTTGTCCAGTTATCATGGGAAAAAGTTTTATGCCTTCATTGATGGGCCCCTAAAGCGAAAATGGGGGAGTCTTTTCGATATAGGATTTAGTTTGACCATTGTCACAACACGTGTTATGAGAAACTTCACACCTTCAGCTTGGGAAGACCAAGTAATAGTGATAATTTTACAGTGTTCGGTTTGCTGTGCTGTTATGTATTTGGAGCTCAGGTGTAAAGGCAGCTTTAGGTATTAACTTAGTGCATGACAACCTCTGCGTATGACAAATATGCCTACACTGCATAATGGATGTAATATAGGCTGACTCAGATTGCAGTTACAAGAATCACATTGTATAAATGTATGGATACTTGACTATGGAATGTATAAGTTGAACAGGTGTGTGTCTGCATATAGGCCCACGTCTGTGTGTGCGCGCGTGTGTGTGTGTGTGTGTGTGTGTGCTTGTTGTTTTGTCAGTCTGTGTGTGTGAACTTGTTGTGTCAATCTATGTGTGTGTGTGTGTGTGTGCGTGTGTGAGAGAGAGAGAGAGAGAGAGAGAGAGAGAGAGAGAGACAAGATTGATTTTTTAAATATAAAGGCAGTATATAGGAGACATTCAAACCCCAAGGTGGAGGTTAGCAGAGCAAGGTTATCTTCCTCTCATCCACTATCTTATCACACACACAGACTACTCTGCCACACACCGTCCCAGCTGAGTCAGTGAATAACACATTGATTAGTAAGTGATCGAGGGCATGGTATTTACTGATACGATATAGAATTAAAAATTTATAAGCAGTGTGTCATTCTATGACAATGCCTGCATTCGAATGCATATACGTTTTCTTTATGCACTCCACGGTCATGTGATTGAAAGGGTATGCAAGAATAAGTATATTATTGCATATGATACAGTATTTTATAAAAGGCACACTGAATAATTCATAGTGTCTGTATGGATATTAATGTAGTAGACTCGATGCAGTTACATTCATATTAATGACCTTTTTTAAACAGGTGGGATTTTATTTCTTCATGATAATGCGAAGCACAAACATATCACTGAAGAAAGGGGTTTGTATTTTTTAGGAATACTTTGAAAGTTATCTATGAACGAATCATAAAATTTTATTTTTCTATCAATACCAGGATATCCTCAATGTTTATCCGCTTTGCAATGGCAGGTATTTCAGTGCTCGCTTTTACTTGTTCTGTCTATAGAAAGCATTAATATTAGAACGTCCTTGGTTTATATTCAGCCTAACTGCTGAACTAAGAGAGCAGTCAACCGTTGTAATTTTTTCCAAAGATATATTGACTTGCAGACGTAAGATTGATGATATATTATAAGCAGGTTTTACCAAAGAGAGGCTGATCGGTGGGGATGGAACCAGAAAACAATGTCAACATCTCAGGTGGTATTTCTCTCCAGTCATCACACCCTAGGGGCCATTACCCTAGCCTTCACCCCTGATAAAACCGCTGACCTTGGACGACAGCGAAGCAGGCTTCCCCAAAGATGCAATACACTTTTTTACCTAATTCACGACCAACCTGGACGCAATTCGACGACAAAGTTTCACTTAGAGGACTGCATTTTACTCATGAAACATAATATGATAAATTCGTCTGCCCTAATATTGAAGCCTCAATTTTGCTATTCGCTGGGACCTATAGAGTTAATTGAGCTAATTGTAATATTTCATATCAGTTGAGTAGGACAGAAATTACAAACGCACACCGCTATTTGAACACCAAGAGGTCTGCATATTAATCTCATGTCATATTGTTTGTTGTACACTTTGACTTCAAGTCCAAGGCCGATTTGCCAATCAAATCCGTTCATGATATCCAACATGGCAGATAGTGTACTATGGAATGGTATGGGAAGGGTTGCCCTAGATTATATCTGTATTATATGTGGATTTAACGACTTAATCTGCACCAGGTTATTGTTCATGTGCTCATGCTCGTGGCATGCCGCAGCATTAGTTTTTTGTCGTTTAAACAGCATTTCTTCATGTTTTGGTCTGCCAGAATTTGACCATTTCATGAGATACGGTTTTATTTAAGTCGCGACCCCTTTTTAAAGCCATATCACTTTAATATTTGCTTTAATGATTTCTTATCGACCTAGTCATCGAAACACGAGTCTCCACTTTCATTTGGCGTGAACTGTTTAAACTACAGTGTGGCTGTTTTAATAATTTATCCTACATCAGGATGTCGGATTCTGTTTCTATTTCGGTCTCAGTATAGGGAAATGAATGATGTAGCTAAAACAATAGCTGCTAAAAAGGGACAGTTACAGAAGCCACGGGTCATTAGTCAAGGCTTCAGAATTTTAGCCTTGTAATGGCTTCACACAGACGGAATCATTTCCGTCTCGACCTTTTATGCAGTGTATATCATCCCGTTATCGGCACCGATTTACGAAAAAGTCCTATATAAGGATCCCATAGGATTCTATAGGAAATTGGCCCAATTTTGTATAGGATCCAATAGGACTTTTTCCGTAAGGGGAATGTGCTGGTAGAATTATAATATTGAAAAGGTTCAATCACTAACCCCCTAACAGGGGGACCAGGATGCTATGGAAGGGGGTTTACCCTGCTTATTTGCAGGTTTCACTTCTTTCTTTTATCAGTTATCCACGAGAGCGGGCTTCAACGAGTTTTATAATCGTGACTGAATTTAACATTTAACCTTTTTCATCACTCCCCCCCCCCAATACCTAAGGCGAAATCAATTTTAACACTGTTTAACCGTTATGTAGATTTCTACGCTGAGGCAATTTAACCCAGTCACCGTCGTTGCCTGAATGAAAATGCCTTCGTCGTAAACATTTTTTACGGGGAGGGTCGATTCAGGTGACAACATAATCCGTTCTTAACGGTGTCTTAAAATCGTTTAACACTTGACGCACCATTAGATGCTCTTGTTGATTACAGTTAAAGCGAGCAAACTAAGGTCCATTTATCTTAATTTGAATCAATCCGTGACCAGTTTAATCGTTCGAATCATTATAAATGACGAAGCAAACAGCTGGGTCAGGTGTATCGAGCTGACCTACATATACACCGGCTACACCTACCTGTAGCTAGGCGTGTGCTATAGCAGCACAGAATACAGATCGCTACTAGAAACCCCTTCATCGTCTCCTTGATGTAATCTCGACAGCTCCCTGGGAGTAAGACCTCTCACAGCGTGGACCGGTTTCAAAATGGCGTTCAAGGCGGTTAAGTTTTTCACAGTTCAAAGTGTGCCACAGGTGAGGATGTCTGGGAATGTTGACTTAATCAGATGGGGACGCTGGTGACGTCATCAATCATGAATAATAATACAAAACACGCCAACAATGCTGTCTACCTGGATATCCTTGTAGAAGGTTTTACGCATTCTTAACCGATTGAATGATTTTTAAGGTCACTGACAAAACGATTATCTCAACGCCGAGCGGGGTGCACTTCTCAAGTGAAGAGACATGTTTGTCATGGTCGGTCGCAGTCGCGGACAGGTGTGCACTATAGTGGCCTTAAGGTCGGTCGATGATTTGGTATTGTGCAAATTTAACTGGTTTGCAGTCAATAAGTAGTGTTGTTATTTTTTTAATCTTTAAACTAGAATTTATTGTAAAATATAGCAACTTGTCACAGAAAAGAGACATATTCAATATTTATTTGCTGGAATCCGTTCATAGTAATGATATCATGTCCACGTAGTGCGCTTATCAATCCAGGACCAACGGAATGCGGTTCCTTTTTATGATTTATTTGATTTAGTGATCCTTAAATCACTGTGCATTTGCATGTGTGACCCGTTAAAATGAAATACAGAATAAAGATGGGTATGCCTGTACCGTACATCTCCAGATTGGAACATGTATCTATTCGTCATTCAGTCCCATTACATGTATATATTTCTGACATCAATAAAGAACGCTCTGTCAAAGAATGGATCATGGATGATATACTTTTGCATATTTTATGGGTATGCAAACTCTATTGTGTAAATAAAATTACAATCATCGCAAAAAAGCGTTAGCGCCAGTGTGCCTTCCTGCATCGTAAAAAAAAAACTTGATTAGATTAAACTTAACATCACTCTCAAGGGCCTATTGTGATGTGGGGAGATAATTGAAATCGGTTGCACTACTACCGTACCTGCATGCGATAGTGTCTATGTGACTGACATTTTAATTAAATATCCTTGTGTGATTAATCTCCGCGCCATGTGTGCTGTTAGTCCCATTGAAAGAAATGCTTTTATACTTCCTAGTTAAATCAAAATTAAAGTGTGATGTACTTTATTGTGTTGATGCTGTGGGGGATCTTTCATTATAAGTTTTAACAGGCACTTTGCGAAGCTCTTATAAACCTCGGCATTTCTACCTATTATGCATTCTTTGTAACCCCCCCCCCCCCCAACCCCAGTACCAGGAATCCTCACTCGTTCTTTGACGCGAAATCAGATCGGCTGCATATGCCGTTCATTGTGTGTTCCCGGCTTCGAATTCTTTTTTGCATGAAAGGCCCATTTCCTCCCCCGGCCCATCGCCTTTACACATCTTTGTTGACCCGATATTTGTGGACACAGGTCAAACTTAAGGCCGTGTCATCACCCCCACGCTATTTGTTGACCGCGTCTCGTCTTAAAGACATGCATCATGCATTATATTCATTGTGAAGTTATCTTAAACACCTGCCTGCGATAAAAGGTGTAATGTCCGGGATGTTAAAGTATATATCATACCTTAACTAGACGCGACTAGATGTCTTCATCTCCCCGGCTCACAAACACTTAAAATGCAATACAAATAAAGTTTTATAGAGGCCAAGTCGTAAAGAGGAGGTGTCAGGCGGTTTAATACCATAGGCGACGGCACTATCGACGAAAATTGGTCTCTACCTTACCTCTAAAATTGTCAACAACTCTGGGGAAATTATTATGTTTAGGCATCAAAGAGTTTAATTTGGTTATCTTTATAGCTATTTAATCCTCCAGTTTATGATCAAATTAAACTAACACTGCTGATAAGGAATCAGTTCTACTAGTAAATTACATGCACGATGAAAGGATAAAGTAAACAGTTTTCATTTCTTCTAAGAACAAGTGATTTTGAATCAACGATAAAGTCTAGGACAAACTAACATATAGGGTGGACAGACGAAAAAATGAAAACAAGAAATGGCCACAAAGAAAACTCAATCCTGCGATAAAAAGTATTTGTATAAAAATAAATGAACTAAAAAACGTCTGAAAAGAAACAACGGAATATGCCTAGCCTTATATTAAAACTGAATTAAGTAATCAGAATGTCTTTTTTTACAGCCGACTGTATGTTCAATGATTATCCACGCCCTTCCTCCTAGCTTTGCGGCCAGCGAGTGGATTCTACTGCGCATGCGCTGTGAACATAACGAATCGATTTTAAAGGTAATAAGCGCCGCCTGCGCTGTATCAATTGATCGGCAATTCAAAATGTATGATTCATGCTAATCAAACAATACAGACGCGTCCTGCTTTGCCACATGGAACACACGTGACAGTTTATTGAAATGAGTTTTCCTTTAATGGTAGCTCATCTGCATATATATATCTCGGATAGTAAAGGTTTAAGGGTGACTGCTCAAAATTGTCGCGTGCTTCGTGGGCTGACTCAGCTTTGATTTGCCCTCGGACAGGGGTCCTCAACGCCAAGTCGTAAGAGGACATTGGTACAGTTAATAACCCGATGTTGTGTACAGTATGTTATCGAGTAATAAATGTAAATACTCCCATGCAAATCCATAAATAATCCCTGTTGGAAATTTAATTGAATTCGACACATATTTCAATCTTAACCTTGATATTGCTTTTGGGACTTTTCGTTTGCTTCATACGTTCCAATGGCTATAAAGAGACCTCTACACAGTTTTATAAAACCATCGCCAAATGAGTTTAAGTCAATATAATACACGACTCTTTGGTTATGAGAGATAATAGTGGTCACATTTATATAGTCCGATACACTCGACTCTGTAAGAGTATCTAAATGTGATAAATGTTACAACAAGTGCTTGTTGTAGTGAAATATGAATACAATATTTGTGCAGCAGTAGTGTATGGACACACATACGCACGCTTACAATCCTGCCTTGTTAATCCTCCCCCGTTATTCGTTCTTTTGACAGCTTTTACACCCTCGCACTACGACATAAATGCCCGACAAAGTTTAAGTAGATTTTACCCCCCTAGTACTTAGCCTTAAACAAACAGCAAATAACGGCGGGAAAAGCTGACCAATAAGGACCTGGGTACTTATCATTGTGTGTTTGTTAAAGTTCTATTAGGTCACGCTCAAGGTTATTACATTTGACAACACATTAAGAAAGCGATATAAATGTAGATTGTTGATTTAACCTCGGAGCTGTATATAGAACACGTAAAAGTTGTAACGGTCGGAAATAGTTAAAGGAAAACTATTACAAATAGTCCCGTGTTTGCTTATACCGTACTAACGGTCGCTTTCCAGTGCCTCTTAATGCAAGATGTCCTGGCTGCAATTTTGCCGCTAAAAGTTAAATGCGTGAGCTGGAGGACATTTTGGCCATCATTCTTCTTCGAACTCAGTCATAAATTAATTTAAACCCGTGGAAAGAAATGGGGAAATGGTACATGCGTTCTTGTTGAACCCGAAGTATTTTAGATGTATGTTGACAGATGCTGATGTCAGAAATGCTGAGGAATAAAATTTTACGTGTATGATATATCACAATTGCAATCAAGGAAGTATGGCGTCCGCTTCATACGCCTATGATAAGATATTGATGGTTTGCTCAAGATACTGATGTACCAGTAGGCCTACCTACAAAAACCTTTAACGTAGACTACGAATGAGACATGAACGTGAATTATTCTCTATACATTAATTGAACAATTAACATAATGATAAAACATGACATGTAATACAATACGCAGTCTTCTCAAAACTTAATTGAAAAATGAACGTCAAGACTATTTTCTAGCACATTTCTTATTTGATTAAAAAAAAGATTCCCTTTTGCGTTAACGAAACCCGCCTGCACTAGCATACTGTATAGCTAGCATAACCCTTTTTAGACTTAAAAAAAAACAAAAAACACCAGGTTAATCCTACATGTAATTGCAAAGAATGAGAGGAAGTTCGACTGCCTGAGTGAATTTTTAGAATAATGTATCCCGCAAAAGGCAATACAAAATAATGTCGAAGAGAACACCACTCATTATCCCAAAAATGATTGAATTCTTCAAAAAGCTTGCAGAAACAAGTTGCATTCAACAAAATGGATCTCATCGCTTATTTGACTTTATCTTCTTCGAGAAAACGTTTTAACATAACAAAAGAAAATAAAGATAAAAACACTCGAATATTTCATTCTGAAGTGATACCCGACCTAAAGAGGCAGACGTACACCGTACATGTCGTTTTGAATTTTTAAACTGCAATATAAAAATCCACAGAAAAGCGGCTAATTGTAAGGAGTCACAAATAGTTTGAACTATGGAATGACCCTGAAATGAAAAAGACTTATGCAAAGATTTCTGTTCCCCTATTAAAAGGTTGTATGCAATACGTTTTAGCGCGTGACCTTTCATTGTGTAGACATTCCGCGTGCAGAGGTGTTTTCGACTAAGAGGTCTTTGTTAGTTCACTCTTGATGTGCTCTGGGACGTTAATTTGGAAGAAAAGTATTGAGCAAGGTAAACGTGGCATTACTACCCTGTCTAAACATGTTGGACGTAACAGTGGCAATAATCGTCTCAAGGCAGGGGATACACAAATACGATATGGAAGTTTTCAGCCAAAGTCGACAGAGACATGTTTGGAAATCTATTGCAGTTATTGGAAATGTTGGGCAAGACGTGTATAATGATAATAAAGAGAAATATTGATAGCTGAATCTACGGTTGTTGTGCAGTCCCACGGGGAATTTGTTATATCAATTGTTATATCAATTGGCAATGTTATATCAATTGGCAATGTTATATCAATTGGCAAATACAAGTACATGGAAAAAGCTAGAGCGAGTTTCTTTCTGTTTTGTTTTAAATTTTGATCAGATTTTAATTTGAAGTGTAAAAAACCTGTTTCATGGGTTTTTGTTGAAGAGTGCTACAACAGTTGTTTTAGTCATAAAATGAGCTGAAAACGTTGACCCCGCGACCTTATTTTATAGTTAACCATATTATTAAGATTAGAAAACACATACCCTATAACCGTGGTATATCTATGTAAACGCTTTCTATTTTTGTTTTATTTGTATTTATTTGACTTTTGAATATCAGAAATTGTCATAAGTATATCAGTGAAAAAAAAAAAAAAAACGCGCGAATTCGTCGGAGATCTTTGTGCTTGACGAGACGGAATGCGTTAGTTGGGACTTATAATGCAACTGCATTCTTCCCATAACGTTTGCTACAATTTTAATCGAATGCTCCTCAATTTCTATACTAGAGACGAATGTATGGGCCAATTTCAATTTAACAGAATGAATTGAACACGTTGTTTGGATAGGCGTATTTAACAACATTACTCGTTTAAATAATTTTCTTACATTTTCATGTTATTACATTATATCACTTGATAAGCAAATAAAAGCAAATGAAAATAAAATCCGTACACGTGGAAAACATAAGCAAATGAAAATAAAATCCGAACACGTGGAAAACTGGATCAGTTCGTTTAATGTCACCTGCATTTCACGTATCAAAGGAAGAAACAGCTAATAAGTCTCTTCCATTTCGGCATCATAAATTACTGTCATTCTGGGACAATAAAACCCGTAGAATTGTTATTGTACAGTATTTCCCTCCCAGTCTAACCGTATTCACACATACTAGACACACTAATGCTGGCCATGTAAAATAGATTTTCATTAGACATCGATGTAGTCAATATCTGTTATATAATTTACATGTTCAATGGACAGTACGGTCAAGTTAATAGGAACCGAGGGTTGATGTCCCATAAATTCAAGTGGCCGCGTTCAGTGAAGCAGTGCGGTCTCTGATACTGTATGGAACAGCAGGCCCGTAGCCAGACATTTAAAAAGGGGGTTTCTTTTTCTGAAAAAGTGGACCTTTTTCCATGAAAACTTCATGAACCTAGATCAAATCTTACCCAGAATGGACCTTTTCCCACCAAAAGGTGCGGTTCTTTCGAACCCCCCGAACCCCCCCTGGCTACGGGCCTGGACAGGATATAATGCTAAATATAAATAGGATCAAGTTGCATATATATGTCCTCGTGACCGACTTTAAACAGAAACCCACGTGATACACACTCAGTGCATATCGAAACTAAAACCGCTCTGTACAATATCACACAATTACACACCAAAAAGTCGTATGGAGTTACATCTAGCCTCATTTACACGCGGTATTTTAACACTTTAAGAGAAAGCATACCCCTGTATGTTACCGTAGTGGACCGTGCAAGACGCTCGATGGCCACGGCAGTCTAATAAAGATGTCTCCTTGATCTAAACCTACTTAAATAATATGACATACTTATTAAAATAATAAAACAAACTCAGGTATGATGTTGGAAATTTGGCCGATGACGGCCGCATTTATTGAAGGACTGTCTGATAAAAGGAATGAAGCGTATTAGTGATAAACATTGAATTGTGTTGAGTAATGGTATTTACGTAATGTGTACGCCTGTAATAGCTACAGTTAATATAAAATTTCCAAACAAATAGTGAACATAGGCATTTTAACTGACCTACTGGTAAAAAGCACATCTTGGCAGACATTACTGACGCTCAAACACTTCGTCATTCTACTGAATAAAAGTCGTTCAGATATAGTTAACGTTAATGAATTATGAGTCAGACGCCAGAGGAGCCGACGTCCTGACAATTCTGTTGGAAGGGGGTTTGCCGAAGGTACGTCACAGGTATAATTGATAATTAATCTGAAATAATTGCAAAATAATTAGAATAGTGGTACTCATTTAATCATATTGATATAGAAAAAACTGATGCCCTTTCATAACTTACAAAAATTGTGTTAAAAAATAGAACGCTTTATAGTCGTGGATGAACAGTGACGCCATTAAAGGGTCACTTATCGTTAATGTGGTCCATCAAATTACACCTTTCCATTTCGTTTATAGTAGCAAGGGGTGAATATAGTTAATCAATTTTTTGTCCTAACTCAAGATGGTATATTGTCGGTTATAATCGTCAGCTGTAAAGCGTGCGTTGATTTGAGAACAGTGTGACATTCGTGCGATGTAATATCAAATCTTATGTATAGGATGTATAGTAAGTTTAGAGACGTCATAAAATTCCCATCTGTATCTTGTATTTTCTTGGTTTATTTAATATGTTTCAGTCAAAAAGCTCATTATGTGTACTAAGCAAAAAAAAAAAAATTAAAGCCGCTACTACGACACCACAGAGAGAGAGAGAGAGAGAGAGAGAGAGAGAGAGAGAGAGGTCACTGAATCCCTCGTTTAATAATATATATTAATATACTTGTTCAGGTAAAAAGCAGATAAAAAGCTGTCGGTCCAGCAGAATCTATCTATCTCAGCTTAATAGTCTGACACGCCTCCTTGCAAAGCAACATGAACAACATCATGAACCACTCAGTTTTCTCGGCTTTACCCGTGTACTTTAAATAACGAAGGGATGTTTTAATGTAGTTGGTGTTCTTCATGACTTCCACATTTCTAAGTCGTCAGCACACAGCTATAGATAAGGCGCTCTAAAATGTTAGGGATAGCAGTGGGCTGATTGCGGATTCCTGAGGTGTGCCGTCGTTGCGACTAAATATCATTTTCAGATTTCTCGACGTTGATAGCGACCTTCATTTTCCTGCCTTCCAAAATGATGACAGTAATCGAACGATCTTGACTAGCAAATTGCTATCTGCAAGCTTGAAGAGTAACTCAGCTTAGAGTCAAAAACCTCCTGACCTGTTACCACATAAATAATGGGCCCATAACTCATTTTCTGTCATTAACCTTACCCCCCCCCCCCCACACACACACACACAGGGTCACACACCTGTACCGGCGGTCATATACAACGGAGGTGTAGTTTAGTTGTAGGCTTGGGTACAATACGTGCAGGTAGACAAACTCTTAAAACACATTATCAATTTAGGTTTAAAAGATATACTGTAATTCAACATGAGATACGTTTTTGGGTATCATATCCACACAAAAACCTGAAAATAAAAAAAGATGAAAGTTCTTTTCATTGATCCTCAATGCTCTTGCTACCCAGTAAACAATTATTTACCTATTTTCAAGGCAGAAGTATACGCTAGTAGTTTTTACTTTTTTCGAAGCCCATCTTTTCAAACAAATTCATATTCGAAAGCGCCGTTGTGTCTCACTTAATTTAACCCAAATTCTTCGCCACTGGAGAGAGGAACTTTACATATTTTACTAGTTTCACAATAAGCCTGTGAAGATAATGACTGTCTGGCCCAGTACAAAGACACCATATCTCATTTCAACCGTTTTGCGTGCCTTGGGGAAAATTAAAAGGTAAAACTATCTGTCCGCCACTTTTCATGCGAGCTCAGCACCGGGCAGTCTTATCTCATTTATGTGGCTTGTTTTCATAAATAAGACAGAAGGAGAAAATATTTTGAGAGAGGACCCTGTTTGAACTTATTGCATTTGTAAAAAAGTAAGTATAACTGAAGCTGTATATAAGAAATGAATGAGTTAATTAATAATATAAACGTATCAAGATTATGTTGTCCAGGGCCCCGTAACTCGAAAGCATCGCGCATTGCGACCGAGCGCAATCGTCTGGATTCCATAACTCGCCCATACTCGCCCAATATAATACATTGTAGGGATGTGATATCGCTATTCGCAATATACAATGCTTTCGAGTGACGGGGCCCAGTTCTCAGCTTGATGGAAAGACCTAACACCCTCGACAGGTTGACCGAGCTTTGCCGAAGACTGTTCTAATCTTTTAGATTCCTCTACCAACGCCAATAGATACTGCTGTTTTCTTTCATTACCTGGAAGAGAAGAAATGTTCTAATGATGGCTTTTATTCCAGAACAAAATGGCAGCAGCTCCCTACCCCAACTTTTGGGTGCGTAAAATGCGATCTTTCTTCGTCCTCTTTGACAGAGATCTTGACGGATTGGTCAACAAGAAAGATTACGTCGACTGGATTGCTGGGAGAGTGGGTCAATTCATGCCCAAGGAGAAAGCGGAGGCATACACCCCACTGTGGTCGGCGGCGTGGGACTTCTACTGGGCCGACAAGGCAGTCAATGACAACGTCAACATAGATGATATGATTCAAATCCATTCTCGCTATCTCAGTGATCCGAACTTCCACGAGTCAGCGGAACAATGTCTTGCTGCTTTCTTCGACTCTGCGGACGCCAATAGTGACGGGATGATTTCCCTATCCGAGTACACTGCTTTTCTTGAATGTTACGGCGTACACCCCCTATCGGTGACTCCATCTTTCGAGGCACTGGACACCAATCATGATGGGATGATCAGCAAGGAAGAGTTCGTAAAAGCTGGAACGGATTATTTCCAAGTAACTGCAGATACACCCGCTAAACTTTTCTGGGGTCCTTTCCGTGGTTGAGGTTGTGGTCAAGGTTAGTTGATCAAGTGGTTAATGACATTTGCTCCGGTCAGGTTAACTTTATTACAGTTGAATTGGTTTTTATAACTAATTTCTACGTGTGTTACATTACTGACTTGATTTGACGGTGCAGGGTTCAAATATCCCCCATCATATAAAAACATCATAATCAAAACAAATATTTGTTAGGAATGAAAATGGCAGGGAGCATAATAACATATAATATAAGTTATGTGTATTTATATTGCATACTGATGTTTTCACTTTCTTTTCGAAGGGTGGAAATGGCCGACTTCAGTAGAAAGATGGTGGATATACATCTATATCGTCGCAGCAAGTTATGCATATGCCATAGCAATTGGACTTTACGTTGAAACGCCCTAAATGCACAACAAACATTGCATATACAGGGATGCCAACTTTCTAAAATTTCAAAAAAAAAGCATTTACCTCCGACAAGTATGTTATGTTTTAACCCCCGGCTTGTCTTTCTGCTTGTTTCTTTTTTCGTCGCCAGCGTTGTCCAAAGATTTATGGATGAATTTTGATGATATTTTCAGGAAAGACCCCAAAATTCTAGCAAAAATGTGTTTAGATTTTGGTGATGATCACTTTATAAACTAATGATTGCATATTGGTTAACTATTTGTCCTCTGAGATTTTCTAGTTTTTGTTTTCATTAAAAAAACAACGTAAGCGATATGCAGAAAAGAGAGTAAATTGTTACTTATATGTTTTATACTACAGAGAGAGAATGGATGATGTAAATACAGTAGGCAAACCATTTCGTCTAAAAATAGCAAGTAATGGAAGGATCACTGTACGTATTCCGCATTGCCTGTGCTAAAACATAGTGCTTAAACATTTGATTTTGACAGGTCTAGGTCATGTCGCCAGTATTTGACTATGTTTTAACACTACGCTAGACCAGGTAGAAACCATTAGACTGGATCACTTCCGACTCTACAAAACCTACACTGTATTGCACAGAGTTATTCCAGCATTGGGCTGAGAAAAGAAATCGTATGCTGTTCATCAAATTATAATTATAATCGTACTGTAATTATACTGTGTCGCTTTTGGTGTATCTATAATATGTGTGACGGGATCCGTTTGTACGTGAGGCGTTGTCATTAGCACCCACTTTTTCATCCTTGGTATTTTTTTCATAATTTTAAAGGTACATACGAACCAAGCATCGGTGGAGCGTGGATTCCCAGTAACACATGTAAACCACTTCTACTAGATTCTTATATGACTCAAATAAATTCGACATGCCAAGGGATAAACTGAATAGATCACTCGATCAGCCATAAAAGACCTTTAGACTGCTCCTTTCTTAAAATTATTGGTTGTAAATTTAACCTACCTGTACTTTCGTGACCTACTTTCCTGCCCCATTGACATACAGCTTAGAATGCCAGCAGAAAAATCCGTTCAAACATCATTTTCGGGTAAAATTAAACAATGCCTTTTGATAATTGTTTTAGTTATACTACTTGAAACTATATGCTGGCATTTGGTTGGTTTTTGTGACAAAAAATTGACTTTGTATGCATCTTTAATGTAGCTTGGACATGATTTTCTGAGTATCCTCACTGCCTTTACAGGTGTACATCGCGTTGAAAATGAGTATCGTCTCAATAGTCCATAGCAATATATGACTAGAACATCGTGAATTCGGTGACCCAGATAAGGAATAATAACAAAAGCATTATATATATATATATATATATATATATATATATATATATATATATATATATATATATATATATATAATGATATTTAGCAGCCAAAGTCACTCTGCTCTTAGTCTGCTTCCGGCAGCAGTTCTCGAAAAAGCGTGGGTCGGTCTCGCTATCGGCATTGAAAGCGGAAATTTGGAGGGCATCCAAAACGGGACCAGGAGTGCACATCGAGAGAAAAAGAAAGGACTTTAACGTGAGCTAAACAAAGTGATGCTTGTAGACTGCAGAAAGAGTCAAACGTGTTAAGATCCTAGAAATTATAAGTGCTAAAGTTCTTTCTGATAATGACCATTTTTCATAGAACATCTGTTCGAACAGCTACATATTCATCGATGTAAGCGTTTCACTCAATCTGATCCACACAATTGCCTATGGAAAGAGGAAATTTATGTTTCACTATTCATTGCCAATCATCATTGCCAATCTTTTTATCTGGCCAGTTCTAACACTTTAAAACGACCGTTTGAAGATAATGAATGTCTGACCTAGGACAAGGACACCGTATCTCATTTCTAACTGTTGTGAGTGCCTTGAGAAAATTAACAGGTGAAACAGTCATTCCGCCATTTTATGTGCGAACGCAGCATCGGGCAGTCCTCGTTATTGAGATTTGCTTTTGACAAGGGACAGAAAGACAAAATATATTCTAAAAAGGCAAACTATTTCGACAAGTACCGGTACTTAAAAAGTAAGTAAAATAATTATTACACCGTACAGTGTATATGGTATTGTGCTACTTGAGTAAGTTAGAAAGAGGCATAAAAATCATGCCAGGGTCTTATTTCATTTCTCTCTCATTGGCCACCTGTATTGCAGCTTTCATTTATCAACTAGAAGGGTAGAACTTTTCCCATAATGGCTGCTTGTATTTCAGAACAAGATGTCAGCAGCTTCCTTCCCCAACTTTTGGGTGCGTAAAATGCGATCTTTCTTCGTCCTCTTTGACAGAGATCTTGACGGATTGGTCAACAAGAAAAATTACGTCGACTGGATTGCTGGGAGAGTGTGTAGATTCATGCCTAAGGAGAAAGCGGAGGCATACATCCCACTGTGGTCGGCGGCTTGGGACTTCTACTGGGCCGAGAAGGCTGTCAATGACAACGTCAACATAGATGATATGATTCAAATGCATTCTCGCTATCTCAGTGATCCGAACTTCCACGAGTCGGCGGAACAATGTTTGGCTGCGTTCTTCGACTCTGCGGACGCCAATAGTGACGGGATGATTTCCCTTCCCGAGTACGTGGCTTTTCTTGAATGTTACGGCGTGCACCCCCTATCGGTGACTCCATCTTTCGAGGCACTGGATACCAATCACGATGGGATGATCAGCAAGGAAGAGTTCGTAAAAGCTGGGACCGACTACTTCCAAGTAACTGCAGACACACCTGCAAAATTTTTCTGGGGTCCTTTCCGTGGTTGAGGTTGTGGTCAAGGTCAGTTGATCACGTGGTCAATGACATTTGCTCCGGTCAGTTTAACTGAATTCCAGTGGGATTGTTTTTTATAACTAATTTCTACGTGTATTATGTTACTGACTTGATTTGACGGTGCAGGGTTCAAATATCCCCCATCATATAAAAACATCATAATCAAAACAAATATTTGTTAGGAATGAAAATGGCAGGAAGCATGATAACATATACCCTGTAATATAAGTTATGTGTACTTATATTGCATACTGATGTTTTCACTTTCTTTTGGAAGGGTGGAAATAGCCGACTTCAGTAGAAAGATGGTGGATATACATCTATATCATCGCAGCAAGTTATGCATATGCCATAGCAATTGGACTTTACGTTGAAACGCCCTAAATGCACAACAAACATTGCATATACAGGGATGCCAACTTTCTAAAATTTCAAAAAAAGCATTTACCTCCGACAAGTATGTTATGTTTTAACCCCCGGCTTGTCTTTCTGCTTGTCTCTTTCTTCGTCGCCAGCGTTGTCCAAAGATTTATGGATGAATTTTGATGAAATTTTCAGGAAAGACCCCAAAAGTCTAGCAAAAATGTGTTTAGATTTTGGTGATGATCAATTTATTAACTAATGATTGCATATTGGTTAACTATTTGTCCTCTGAGATTTTCTAGTTTTTGTTTTCATTAAAAAAACAACGTAAACGATATGCAGAAAAGAGGATAAATTGTTACGTATACGTTTTATACTCGAGCGAGAATGGCTAATGTAAATACAGTGCAGTAGGCAAACCATTTCGTCTAAAAATAGCAAGTTATGGAAGGATCACTGTACGTATTCCGCATGCATCTTTTATGGTGCTAAAACATTTGATTTTGACGGATCTAGGTTATGTCGCCAGTATGTGACTATGTTTTAACACGACGCTAGACCAGGTAGAAACGATTAGACTGGATCCCTTCCGACTGTATTACACTTACACCGAGTTATGCCAATCACGCAGCATTGGGCTGAGAAAAGAAATCGTATTCTGTTCATCAAATTATAATTATAATCGTACTGTATTTATACTGCATCGCTTTTGGTGTATCTGAAATATGTGTGACGGGATCCACGTGTACGTGAGGCGTTGTCATTAGCACCGACGTTTTCATCCTTAAGATTTTTTTATAATTTTTATTGGCTTGGACATGATATTCTGAGCATCCCCACTGCCTTTACAGGTGTACATCGCGTTGAAAATGAGTATCTTCACAATAGCCCATAGTAATATATGACTAGAACATTGTGAATTCGGTGACCTGGATAAGGAATAATAACAAAAGCATTTATTCCGAATCAATACTGATTATCCGCTGTTATCATATTCGATTTTTATAAATAGCTACAAATAAAAAGATTAATTTCTTCTTGCCAGTCAGAAACTTTGTTTTCATTATTACTGAAATATGATATCTCCAACCATATCTGTATTCTTAACAAACTATTGTTGGGTTTTATATCTATTGGAATAAAAGTCTATTTCGATTAACAAATAGTTAAATTGATTTATACCGAATATATACCGAATATATACAAATATAATGCATAATGCAATAATATAAATACATATATATATGTAACGTCCTAGCCCTATGGGCTTACAAAGTCACCGGTTTTAACATTACTTATATAGCAACTTCTTTCTGACCTGAAAGCAGTTAAAGAGAAACCTCGCTGTTCTTCTATGAAAGTCTGTAAAAAGCACTTGAGGTCTCTCCCAATCTCCTCCAGGTCGTGAAAGATAAGATAGCCCATTTTTACTTTTTTTACACCATTTTTTTCCTGAATTTTGTTTTATAAATTGGACAATCAAATAAAAAATTAAGCTCATCTTCTACTTTTTTATCTTTACAGAGAAAACAGAGTCCATCGTCTATTTTTTTTATTAACAAAGCGGTTTGTTTCTACATATAATGGAAAAACTGACAACTTTCTAAAATTAAAAAAAAAGCATTCGAATTCCAGCCATTACCTCCGTCAAGTATGCAACGTTTTCATCTTTCATCTGCTCGTCTTTCTGCTTGTCTCTTTGTTCGTCACCAGCATTGTCCATAGACTTATCGATGAATTTTGATAAAATTTTCAGGAAAGGACTAAAAAATCTATCAAAAAATTGTTCAGCTTTTGGTGTTGACCAATTTATTACTGAATGATTACATATTGGTTAATTGTTTGTCCTCTGAGATTTTTGTTGTTTTTTCCTATCTTCATCAAAGAAACATTAACGTAAGAGATATGCAGAAAAGAATACCACAAATGTGTAACACGTTTCATACTCGAGTGAGAATAGCTGAAATTAGTACATTAGGCAACCATTTCGTTTTAAAATAGCAAGTAATGAACGGACCACTGTATGCATTCCGCATAGCCTGCGGCTTTTTATAGTGTTAAAACATTTGACTTATTCAGATCTAGGTCATGTAGCCAGTATGTAACTATGTTTTAACACTATGGTTTAAAAACCTTCGGACTGTATTTTACTGACACTGTACTGCACAGAGTTATTCCAATTACGCTGCATTTGGGTGAGTAAGGAAGTGTATATTGTTCATCATATTATAATTACAATCGCTGATGATATTTAGACTCTTTACTGGATCGCTTTTGGTGTATCTGAAATAAGTGTGACAGGACCCATTTGTACGTGAGACGTTGTCATTAGCACCGACGTTTTCATCTTTGGTATTTTTTTTCACAATTTTTTATGTAGATTGGAAATGATTTTCTGGCCGTCCTCACTGCCTTTACAGGTGTACATCGCCCCAAAAATGAGTATCTTCACAATAGTCCATAGTATTATATGACTAGAACATCGTGAATTCGTTGACCCTGATAAGGAATAATAACAAAAACATATTGATAAACCGCTGTTATCATATTCGAATTTTATATAATAGCTACAAATAAAAATTTTAATTTCTTCCTTTGCTTTAGAGATATATTGAAATATGATATCTCTAACTATATTTGTATTATTAACAAACTATTGTTTGGTTTTATATCTATTGGAATAGACGTCTATTCCGATTAAAAAATAAAAGTAGAAAAATAAAAATCACCTTGGCACAGGAAGTGAATTAAATATCATCAGTGACAGATTTAGGGATGTGCCATGTGAGAAAGCGGGGAAGAATGGATAAACATTTTCCGCTTCGATCGTTCGGCAAATAGTATAACAGATTCACTATATTACATAATGTATAGGGGTGAAAGGATATCTGTTTTCTCTATTTTCATTCGGGATGGTTTTTAGGAAAGAGAAGAGTTCCTTGTACCCTTTGTTTTGCGTGTAGGACTGCGCTCACAACTATCGCATGCACTAGCTATTTGATAATTCCAGTACAATTTTAACTATTTTAATTTTTTCACGATAAATTATTATTATTAACAACTCAAATTGAACATCTCTTGGCGTTCTTTCAGCTATAGCTTTAAACGATTAACAATCACCATTTCAAAAGTGGATTGGGTAAAAACTAAATGGGGGGAACTTCACTGTTATACTGAGGGAGGGGTGAGATATGAAAAACTGTTATATTATCTCGTTTTGCTCTTTACACATTTTGTTGTGGTGGTCAGCCGCAGGGAGGGGGTGTAGCGAATGATAAGCTAAGTATGGGTCTCATAACTTTGTCCTCCCTAAAATCCGCCATTGACCATGTACATTGTACACTGGAAATCGGGGCCACAGAAAACACAATTTCTTACTATGGTTTATAATCATTATTATTTTGCTGGGTAAGTGGCAACATGAAGTGGAGGTGTTGAACTAACATGGGGATGATATATCAATATTTATATATGATATTTAGCAGCCATAGTCACTCTGCTCTTAGTCTGCTTACTCAGCAGTTCTCGAGAAACGGTGGGTCGATCTTGCCATCGACAATAAGAGCGGAAAATTTGGATAGCATCCAAAACGGGACCAGGAGTGCACATCGAGAGAAAAAGAAAAGACGCTAGCGTGAGCAAAACAAAGTGATGATTGTAGACTGTAGAAAGAGTCAAACCTGTTGAGACCCTAGGGATTTTAAGTGCTAAAGTTCTTTCTGATAATTACCATTTTTGAGAGAATATCTGTTCAAACAGCTACATATTCTTCGATGTAAGTGTTTCACTCAATCTGAACCACACTTTTGCCTCTAGAAAAAAACATTGTATGTTTTACTATTCATTGCCAATTCTTTTTATCTGATCAGTTCTTACATTTCAAAACGACCATTTGAAGATAATGAATATCTGACCTAGGACAAGGACACCGTATCTCATTTCTAACTGTTGTGAGTGCCTTGAGAAAATTAACAGGTGAAACGGCCATTCCCCCATTTTATGTGCGAACGCAGCATCGGGTAGTCCTCACTTATGAAATCTGCTTTTGACAAGGGGCAGAAAGACAAAATAAAGTCGGAAAGAGTATACTATTTCGACAAATACTTTAAAAACGTAAGTAAAATAATAATTACAGTGTAAATGATATTGCGTTACTTAAATAAAAGAGACGTTAATGTCATGACAGGGTTTTAAATTGTGTATATTATTTCTCTCATATTGCCCAATTGTATTGCAGCTTCCATTTATCAACTAAAAAGTTAGAACTCTACTCCTTATGGCTGCTTTTATTTCAGAACAAAAATGGCAGCAGCTCCCTTCCCCTACTTTTGGGTACGCAAAATGCGCTCTTTCTTCGTCCTCTTTGACAGAGATCTTGACGGATTGGTCAACAAGAAGGATTACGTCGACTGGATTGCTGGAAGAGTGAGTCAATTAATACCCAAGGAGAAAGCGGAGGCATACATCCCACTGTGTTCGGCGGCTTGGGACTTCTACTGGGCCGACAAGGCGGTCAATGACAACGTCAACATAGATGATATGATTCAAACCCACTCTCGCTTTCTCAGTGATCCGAACTTCCACGAGACGGCGGAACAATGCTTCTCTGCGTTCTTCGACTCTGTGGACGCCAATAGTGACGGGATGATTTCCCTATCAGAGTACACTGCTTTTCTTGAGTGTTACGGCGTGCACCCCCTATCGGTGACTCCATCTTTTGAGGCACTGGACACCAATCACGATGGGATGATCAGCAAGGAAGAGTTCGTCAAAGCTGGTACTGACTATTTCCAAGTAACTGCAGACACACCTGCAAAACTTTTCTGGGGTCCTTTCCGTGGTTGAGGTTGTGGTCAAGGTCAGTTGATCACGTGGCCAGTGACAGTTGCAATCACACTGCTTTGGGCTGAGGAAGGGGAAAGTATATTGTTCATCAAAGTATAATTATTATCGTTGATGATATTTATACTGTATCGCTTTTGGTGTATCAGAAATAAGTGTGCCAGGATCCATTTGTACGCGAGACGTTGTCATTAGCACCGACGTTTCCATCCTTGATATTTTTTCATAATTTTTATGTAGCTTGGACATGATATTCTGGGCATCCTCCCTGCCTTTACAGGTGTACATCTACATTGCGCCGAAAATGAGTATCTTCACAATAGCCCATAGTAATATATGACTAGAACATCGTGAATTCGGTGACAAGGATACTGAATAATAACAAAAAAACATTTATGCCGAATCCATTCTGTTTAACCGCTGTTATCATATTCGAATTTTAATTAAAAGCTACAAATTAAATTGTTAATTTCTTCTTGACAGTCATAAACATTATAATTATAAACTTTATATATACTGTTATATATACTTAAGTATGATATCTCCAACTATGTAATAGCTCCTTCTGATAATTAATATTTTTCAGAGAACATCTGTTCAAACAGCTACATATTTATCGATGTACGTGTTTCACTCAATCTAAACCACACTTTTGCCTCTAGAAAAAGAAATTGTATGTTTTACTAGTCATTGCCAATTCTTTTTATCTGATCAGTTCTTACATTTCAAAACGACCGTTTGAAGATAATGGATATCTGACCTAGGACAGGGACACCGTATCTCATTTCTAACTGTTGTGAGTGCCTTGAGAAAATTAACAGGTGAAACAGTTATTACGCCACTTTATGTGCGAACTCAGCATCGAGAGGTACTCGTTAAGAAATCTACTTTTGACAAGGGACAAAAGGACAATATATACTCTGAAAGAGGATACTATTTCGACAAGTATTTTTTAAACGTAAGTAAAATAATTATTACATTGTATATGATATGACGTCACTTGAGTAAGTAAGAAAAGGGCATAAATATCATGCCAGGGTCTTATATTATTTCTCTCTCATTGCCCACATGTATTTGCCATTTATCACCTGGAACAGAAGAAATGTTCTCATAATGGCTTTCAGAACAAAATGGCAGCAGCTCCCTACCCCTACTTTTGGGTACGTAAGATGCGATCTTTCTTCGTCCTCTTTGACAGAGATCTTGACGGATTGGTCAACAAGAAGGATTACGTCGACTGGATTGCTGGAAGAGTGAGTCAATTAATACCCAAGGAGAAAGCGGAGGCATACATCCCACTGTGTTCGGCGGCTTGGGACTTCTACTGGGCCGACAAGGCGGTCAATGACAACGTCAACATAATTGATATGATTCAAATCCATTCTCGCTATCTCAGTGATCCGAACTTCCACGAGTCGGCCGAAGAATATTTTGCTGCTTTCTTCGACTCTGTGGACGCCAATAGCGACGGGATGATTTCCCTACCCGAGTACGTGGCTTTTCTTGAATGTTACGGCGTGCACCCCCTATCGGTGACTCCATCTTTCGAGGCACTGGACACCAATCACGATGGAATGATCAGCAAGGAAGAGTTCGTCAAAGCCGGGACCGACTATTTCCAAGTCACCGCAGACACGCCGGCAAAACTTTTCTGGGGTCCTTTCCGTGGTTGAGGTTGTGGTCAAGGCCAGTTGATCACGTGGCCAGTGACAGTTGCAATCATGCTGCTTTGGGCTGAGGAAGGGAATCGTATATTGTTCATCAAATTATCATTATAATAGTTAATGATATTTATACTGTATCGCTTTTGATGTATCTGAAATAAGTGTGACAGGATCCATTTGTACCACGTGATCAATAACATTTGTTCCAATCAGGTTAACTTTATTACAGAGGAATTGGTGGTTTTACTAATTGGACATTTGCTTCATGTTTTACTAGAAGAGACAATGTAGTGTTCAAGTTTCCCCTCATATTGACAAAAATGACGTTTTAATCAAGCCAAGTAATAGTATGTTACAAATATGGTGTGAAGCACAATTAGATGTTAAACCTGTAGAGTCTATCAAAGTTTTATCAAAGTGTTATTGACGCTTTTTATGGCGAAGATGGAAACAGTCGACTGTACATGGGCATCGTCACACCACGACTTTCATATCAAATTGAGAGCATTCACATCGAGAAGAGCCGAGGTCTAGCAAGGTCTTGACCTAAATATGGCAGACCTACATGAAAGGAAAACCGCGTAATCCTTTAATGGTCTCTCAATGAATGTCAATGAATGTCAATGAATGTCATTGAGAGGCCATTAAAAGATCAATCGGTCTTCATTCGTGTAGGTCCGCCATTTTTAGGTCTTGGCCTTGCTAGACTTCGGCTCTTCTCGATGTGAATGGTCTCAATGCTGAAACATGCGCCCAAATGCCCAAAACACACTGCATTTTAGGGGTGCCCAATCTTAAAACGAAAACCAAGCTGTGGAATTCGATTAATTTTTATTTTCATCAAAGACAACATTAACGTAAATGATATGCAGAAAAAGACTACAAATATGTTACATATGTTTTATACTCGAGTGAAAATTACTAATATATGTACAGTAGGCAAAACTAATTCCTTTAAAACTGCAAGTGACGCTTTATACATTCCTAATTGTCTCCGTCTTTTATATTATAGTGATACAGTTAGATAATGGAGTTAAAACATTTGGACCATATCAAACGTTGGTCATGTCGCAAGTGTGTTGCCATGTTCTCTAGATCAGTAAGACGAAATGTCAATTTACTGGATCACGCCCGACTGCTATCAACTGAGCGCCTGCAGCGCGCTATTCCAATCACACAATTTTTGACCGAGTAGGGAAATCAAAAAATGTCTATCAAGTTATAATCGTTAGTGGCATTTATACCGTTTTTTTTCGGTTTGTCTGAAACGAGTGTGACATAACCCATCTGTAAGCGAGGCACAGTTATTAGCACCAACGTTTTCGTCATTATATTATTTAATTTTGTTATAGCCTGGGGAAATTTTTATTGTTCATCGTCAGTGCTCTTATATCGCTATGAAAGTCAGTATCGCCACAATAGTCCAAGGTAATAGCAGTATATATATGCGGGAAACGCCGTGATCCTGGGGACCTGTTAACGGAATAATAACAAACATTATATTCATTAGATGCTGTTATTATATCAACATATTAGTTATCTGGATAATGAAAAAAAAACATCCTAGTTAGCCCCAGTTAGCATATCCATTATTTTAAAGAAAAACTACTACTATTAATAAAAAATCATTAATTTCTTCTTGCTAGTCATGTTCTCCTTATTCATATTTTGAAATACGATATCCCCAGATGTAGTTGCATTCTAAGCTATCATTTTGCTTTTTATCTTTTCATCTTTGGGGAAAAGTCTATATCGACTCAAAATGAAAGTTGAAAAAATAAAACCACCTTGGGCACCGGATGTGAAATTCGCTAGTGAATAATCTGGAGTTGTAGTTGCTGAAATGATACATATGTAATGTTGATAGCGGACTTAGATTAAGATCCTTACTGACAGATCCAGTGTCTGATTTATGATAAAAAATAACAGTAAATTATGCCAATTTTGGGGACAGGTAAAGATAATCTTAGGTTCAATTTCACTTCGCTCGTTATGACTTTCTGCAAGGGAAGACCAAAAGAGTACTTGGGATTTAAGATACAGGAAGGAAACATATCCACTGTATCCTCCTCCTCTGGATCCGTCATTGACTATATACTGTGGAAATCCGGATATCATGATTTAAAAAATTTGCTTATAACCGTTAAATTTCAGGTATGAGACAAAAATAAGACTGAATATGCTACAAAATGGAAGTAAAGGCGGGGTAATAAGCTACCATGCAGATGATATACTAATATGATATTTACCGGCCAAAGTCACATTAACCACGCCCTCTGGTTCCGGTTCCGGTTCCGGTTCTGGAGAAACGGTAGGTTCTAAATATAAAATAACACATTCACAATCAATTATTGTTAAGGTCACAATCACACAAACCATTCTTTTACGTCGAATGCTGGTTTGTGTGTGAATAAGCTGCAATAGTTTTTTTTCTAATAGTAATAATAAATCGACTAAGAAGATGCAATTTAGTTTGCATTTATCGTTTTCTGTAACGGGACGGTCACGGTAAATGAAATATTCTAGTGTCACAAGTACCGGGGCGTATGCATATATTTTTTAACAAGTAAAACGTACTCACCGACATTTGATGAAAAAAGTCAACCAAAAGAGATCAAATAGATTTCACGAAACATACAAACAAAATATCACTATCTATCTTCAGACCATGCCTACTTCACCATAGATCTATCTTTATTCAAAACATAAAACAAACCTGCAGCTGCTCGAGGGTTTATACTCATATTTGTCGCTGTAGTTAAGGTCACGTGGTTCATAGAACACGTGTACGTGACGTCAGTGGTCTCTGTGACGTCGATCATGCTTTCAACTGTGAACAAGCCATCTGTCTGTGATGTCACCACATTGCTGTTGTTAGAACTGACGTTTAGCGACACCCCATCCCGATACCACGTGATACTAGGTGCTGGCCGACCACCGGAAGCTGTGCAGTTAAGACGGTAAGTAGATTCCGACAGTATGCTTGCTTGGGGCTCCTGTAGTTGCGGGGTAACTGGATAAAAATTTTAAAGAATCATTGTATCGACTGCAAAGATTTTTCCTCTAAGTCTTTTTTATCGACTCTGTCCTTAATAAGTCATAAAGTAAAAAAAAACTTAGGTAAACAAACAGTTTTTAAGTACCACAAATCATAAAAGCTTTTGCTCTTATAGAATATATGTACATGAATGCATGCATAGAAGTGTAAATTTGTCTCTTCGATTTTAGCATAGGCTTATATATCTGGCATCAGTATAATACGTTCACACAATCTATTTTTGTAACGGTAAACCGAAAAAAGAAATATTTTATAATACATGCACATACTTGACTTTTATAATACTTAAGCATCCATCGAATGCGCTTGGCACTCGTATAACTTACCGTTGACGACTATGACTGCGGGAGAGCTGGTTTCTGAAGATGAAGAGTCAAGGGTCAGAGTGCACGTGTAGTCTCCGTCGTCTGTGGCTCTCAGAGATGATATGGATAAGGTGTTTCTGAAATATCACAAAGGCGTGAAAAATGTATGACCGCTTTTTAGAAATCCCTGACATCTGAAACTTCATACTAGAAAATACTTTGGAATATCAATAATAGGTAATTATAATAATACATATAATTTGTTCAATACTGGAGAAAAGCAAGTCACACTTTTTCTCTGTTTTAACTCTTCACATACATGTTCATTTATACTCATGGAATACGCCTTATCAACGTTAAGTAATCATTTCACCTACTTCTTCCCAACCCACACCTAGCGGCCAAGAATATTCAGATTTATGAGATGTATTTTTGTTAGAATGATTTCATATAATTACTTGCCGAGTACATGTCTCCGGCTTTTGGTTGTATATCTTAAAAATAGTAAAACAGACCAGACGAAACTGTGGTACTGGTATTTACAAACTTGAACCCGTGTTGGTAATGTAGAGACAAAACGGAAAACGGAACAGCAAACGGAAAATAGTGGTTCAGTACTGATATGAGTATCAAATACCTGTACGTTTTAACTCAAACAGACCCAGATTTGAGAAGACATCATCCATAAAGTCAAAATCAACAAAGCTGACAATTTTATTTTCTGCACACTTTACCTGTTAGCATCCCGGTCATTCAAAATAATAACACCCGGGCGGGTGTCGAATTCAGCAAATTTGTACTCTCGATCACTTATGAAGGAAAACCTGTACAGTTTCTCTGGAACGACATCTGCCTTCCATTTGGGGACTCTGTACCATTCAAGACTCAACGGATACTCGGTGGTGTCGAGGGTATAGGAGCACGCAATACTGGCGGTGGCCCCCGTCTCGAAGATTAAAGACGCGTTCCAAGGGTGTTCCAAAGATATATTAAGACCGTCGGCTGAAAAAAAGAGGATAGATATATTTCATAAATGTATAAGCAAAAATATGTGGGTTGAATTGTACTAAAAAAGAAAAGGCAGGGAGGCTATGGTGGAGTACATACAAGTAGATTACACCCCATTCTCATAGATTAGATCGACCTACATTGGATCGACCTAACTCCCTGGGGGTTCACGCTAAATAGCTGTCAGCCGGGCGGACATGAAAGTTAATTATCCCTTTCTGCTTGTAGTAGGCGGGGACGGACACTTAAGGCGGATTATCTGACAGTAATCTAGTGAGACTCCCCGCGGTGATAGATCGATCTAAAAGTTGTGAGAACAGAGCCTNTACATGTATAAAATTAGTGGTGGAGACTATTCTCATAAGAGATTTTAAACGGGGACATTTTGCAAGGGCGTTGATAATGGCCAAATCAGTCACACGCAGTCACTGAACACTTGCATATTAATTTAACGAGTCATAGCGTTATAGTTATTTTGAAAAAAAAAATCCCAATGCACAGCAAGCCAGTGGAACTTAAATTGTATCTAATTGCGCATGGCAGCTACTACAGTGGTCCTTATTCTAAGACACGACCTATATTATTCAATGGGTGGAACTGGAATCGCTTGTATAACAGCATACAGATGGTTTATATGGTACATGGATCAGTGCTGACGCAGCAGTATGGTGATTTGATTTTAACCACTGTCAGCGTGTTTTCTGTTCATACTTGGACAACATTTAACTCACACTGAAGGAATTTACATTCAATTGTGTATCCCTCGTGACCAATTAACATCTTTTTTAATGTATACTCCCTTAGTAAGAAAAAAAACCATCGCAGCAACCTGATTTGTACAAGACAAAGGGTCCGTCTCAATAAAAAATAATAAGTATGAGGTCGCTGTAAGATTTAAGTTTGCTTTTATCCAGGATAAATCAACAACTGGATGAAACGGATACATTTCTCATCGATATTCTAGCATTTTACGTTGAAACGTTTGAACTGACAGTCAACGCCAACTTAATTTTCAACTTGCGTTGATTAAATAGAAAATGTAGGAGCATCGGAATTGAAGTAATTCACCAGACACCTCGTGGCAGATAAGCATTAACATTATTACTTCTTACTAAATTATTCATCTTAATGAATTTGAAAATATAATTTAAAACATGTTATAATATTACTTTTCCTTTTTCTGTTCTTTTCGCTCCAAGTTCTTGGTTCAATAGTTGCACTTTCCCTTGCTTCGTTGAAAAAATACCTTCACTTTGCTACGTGCTCACATCCACGCTTCTGTGTTTATTAACAAAGCGGTTATGACGGGTTGTCAAAAACGATAACTACCCGCGTGGCACATGGGGCGAAGGTGTAGAGGTGTTTTGGGCTTGAAAATAAGGTTTTAGGAATAATTTTGGGACTTGACCCGATAATTTTGGCATGGATGATAATAAACAGTTAACCTATTAAATTGATCATTTTTGTATATTACAACAACAAACGTATGGGAACAATCGCTTGAAAACAAAGCCCAGCTGTTGTTCTTATGAACAGTCACGTGTATATAAGTTTCAATGATTTGCTTTGCATTTTGCATGATTACATTTTGCACACTTCCTAGGACTCTCTGTGAGGGTCCCCAAAACAAAACGATTAAAGGCAATGACTCGTATATTTTTTACCGGGCTGAAAATAATTGGGATCGATTTTGACGTTTAACCCGCAGGAGGCTAGCTTAGCCTAGCATTTTTTCAATCCTGCCAACCAACACTTCTTTGTTCATAATGTTAAGCTTGATATCTTTTGATTAAGGGGATACATGTAGGTTCATATGAATTTATGAAGTTGAGAAAAAACAAATACCTTGATCAAAATCTTAGAACAACTGAATAACTCTTAAGACATATGTAACATGCCCGCGACAATTGTGTATGTTCCCAGTGCATAAAACACTACGGGGCTTGATAAAGGTTTAAGGTACAAATATACAGGCGAAAAACAACCATCCGATTGGTGTATACATGTTTAATCTTAGCACACAAAAGCATTGCGCAAATTACACACACGCTTTAGAATTTACCTGTGAAAATTATGTCAGGAAGCTACCATTCATTCACGCGGCCTCTTTCTTAAACCGTAACTTTTCTGTTAACATTCTTACATCGGTTTTCAAAAAGAGTTTTTTTTGTCATATCTTTATCCCTCTGTGGAAGCATATCATGTATCAGAAGCTTACTTACCTCCGGAATAAAACAAACAAAGAATGAGCACTAGAGTCCCCCGACACTGGTCCATTTTCCTCTTCTGCAGTGGACGGCTCAAGATCACTTGTCAATTTTCTTTACAGGTGCGCATGCGCTGACGTGCCAGTGGCGCACTCATTACATACACTTTGTTGCTGTGAGGCTAATTATTCCACGATGACTGTTGTGGCAATCTCTTTACAAAATGAGTTACTGAATTGCGGAAGCAACGAATTGACGCCCTGTTTACCTCATAGTAGAATATCTCATTATGGCCTATATATGTACCAGTACCGTACCTGTATTTGGTGATATGTGAGATCAGAAATATACTTCTACAGTTACAATGTACATACAGCTTTAAGGGTACTGACAGGGTTTATGATTGCCAAAGTCCGGAAATTCAGTAATATATCTACTTTTTGCTGATTAAAAAAAATCCCCTTAGAAATATAAAACATCGGCATTTATATTTCACGTTGCAAAGCATAAGCATAGGCTCCTAGGAGCGTTGATAGTTCATTTAACACCTTCCTAATTTGAGGTGAGATAGTAATCGGTATGGGGCGTGACTCCATCTCTAAACATAATCTTATCTCTTAAAGTGTACTCGTATGGGCTTTAATCCTGTGCCGCCATTCTGCAGATTTTCATCGAACAAATGCATTACTTTGCTTTATTAACGATTAAATTTGAACTAAGGCTTCTTGGGAAAACGCTGGAGGGTTTTGAAAGACTAACTGCTGTTTTTAATTGACTTTGGATCGGAGTTCGTGGGTGCCTAGCTAAGGGAGAACTTTGAAAAACTGATTTTGCAAATTTTACCCCAAAATGACATCATCGGTATGATGACATATAGTAGTACTATCGTGGACTAGAAGAACACAGTAAATCCTAAAGTAAAGATAATCCAAAACTTGGGACGATCAATTCATTTATTATCCAATTGTTATATTTAATTTCGCTTATATTTAGGCCCGCTTACGTATGTTCAGTCCAAAATCTTGCATGTACTAGTGCATGTAGCCTACAGAGGTACATGTAGATGTAGCGTAGTCGATTCTTCCCTCATACCACGCCTGGCTGTTACCTTGATGGGTGAATGAACATAACATAATGATGACTTAATTTAGAATACCACACTACGGGTAGTCTACCATAAAGCAAAAGTCGCGATCAAAATTTGTTAATGAATATAATTTATAAACGAATTTTATTTTATGGGGGGGGGGGGGGGGATATACATGTACTTGTACCCCACGTAGGTTGCTGCTAATCGTGGAAGTATATTGACCCATTAGAGCCTGCGTCATCAAAACAAACGGCAGCCATTCTGGAGGGAGACCGGAATCGTCTGCTGCGCATGAACAAGCCATGCCTGTAGTTCAGTTTTCGTTTTCTGTATTTTCTTTGATATTTAACCGAGCAAAATGATGAATTACTGCAGGTTATTTGATCGAGAGAAGATAACTAACTTTACAAGCGTTCACAGGCTGCCTGCAGTGGTAACAATCCATGGTGAAGGAACTAAAACCATAAACGGAGGAGAGACGGCGAGGTGGCTTTGAATCAAGACTCTTCGGAAAAGTAAAGGATAAAACTAATTTATTTTATAGCAAAGAATGGAGAGCCAGCTGTGCCGATTTTACCATAAAAGAAAAAACAGTAGAAAACAAAAGACCTAGGTGTGTACATTTGGGGCGCACGTACACTACATATATATTTAAAGTAGTGCCCAAAAAGTTTGGGTGGAGAGTGTGTTAATTTGTTAAAACGTGTGGAAATACCCAGGCAGGGTTTCAACTTTTCTAATGAAGACTCACCTATTGCCTTGGGTGTAATTTGTTATCAGTTACGGTGCTCTCTAGATTTTAT